GCTTCTCCATGCAAAATCCCACGTTATCCAGGGAGTAGGACGTCAACGGCCCCCAAAAGGGGCATCTCATGTCGCCACGGACCGGCAAATGATCCCGACGTTGCTCCTCCCAATACTCCCTCACACATCACGCATGCCTCGTAAGCCTTCTCCCCCCCGTATCTCAGAGCTGTCATGCAACACACACAATGCTTAGACTCGAGAAAGTGGATACGGCCCCTTCTGGCAGCGGAACTATCCGATCAAGCAAGAAAGCGACGTGCTCTGCGTGCTCTGCGCGCCCACCAACACGGCATCCCAACCCAGCGCATGTTGGTTCTGCTAGCTGAGCCATGCCGGTAGCGTTGTCCTAGCCTGTCGAAGCGGGTAAAAAGAAGCGAATGCGACGCTGAGCAGAATAAAGAAGGCCGACGGTGTACCTGAGACTGGCATTAGAGCGCCATGGTGGGTGCGGTTGTCTAGTCCCTGCTATTCCATCTCGTCGCCTGCTTAGCTTCTATCATGGCCCACGAGTTTGACGGCCTGCAGTAACCATGTTCCTGGCAGCCTCGGAAGCCTCGTCCAACTGCCGTGGTTACCAATCCATTACTAAAAAGTCTCTCGTCAACAGGGGCCGACTAACCATCTCGAACATGATACAAACATGTGCGTCCCAACACGAGGCTGCGTTGCTTCCTGGACCCCAAAGACGCGACCTGCTGCAACCTGCATAATTCCCCTGGGAGATGTATGCCGCCGAACCACTTGGTACGAAGTTAGGATCAACACAGCTGCCCTGGACTCCTGGCCCTGTCCACAAGACGGCCTGTTTGTGGCCCTCACGATGTTGAAGTTTTGCACCAACCCCATTCTTTAAACTCTGCACCACCGACACACGGCCGAGGCTCGGATCTCGGGATACAAGCAGACATGACGATGGACAAAGACGGGTTGGGTTCTCGCAGAACAATTCGCTTCAGCCTTGTGGCGGCAGAGTTTGGTCTGACGTGTGGAGAAACAAAGCAGGCCGGCCCAGTCTCGTGAAGGTGAACGTGGGCCAAAGGCGAAAAAGCCATCTCGGCCGAGTGAACAAGCCAACGCACCCCGACGACCCCCGCCTCGTCCGAACAAATCACGTCCTGTTCCCACCGGAGACATTTGATCGATTCGATCCGGGCAGAGCCATCAGACCATTTGCGGCATATCGTAGAGGTTGCACCGAGCATTGTCCGCAGCCTTGGAAGCCTTGGCCAGCATCCGTCATCCACCTGCATGCAAACCAGCAGACTTGGCTTGCATCTGACGACAAGCTCCATGTCCTCTTTCCCGGCCAACAAGTGGCAGCTGTGCCGTCTTCCCGAACACGCACGACGGAGCCTGCGGCCAACGCTTCTGGTTGCCGGACGTGGCATTTCGTTGGTACGTTGCCAACATTCGGACCGCGTGCTGTGAGTCAAGAGAGACAAGATATCCATGACAAAAGACCAGGGTTAACATTTGGCATGGTTGTTGTAGTATTAAGAACCCTGTCAGACTTGACAGAGCACCAGAGTGGAAAAGTAAACCAAGAGAAGATCCATGAGCCTCGTTCCCATCTATTGCTCCAATTAAAACTCCATTTCTACCATGCAGATGCCAATGTCCCGTACTTGTTTTCTCCATTTCACCTTGCCTCGCAGTTTTCCCACGCCCCTTCCCATATCGCCTTCTCCTTTTTTCATGCGACGTCGCCTGCTACCGGGCAACATGAATAACAAAAAAGAAACAGACTGAAACGTGTGCAATGCACCACCATGTGTTGTACAATACGGCCAATGAGATGTAGACGTTCTGCTGATTATGCCCAGAACGACGAATGACTGGCACCACCTTGTGAGGAACAAGGTTTAGCAACAAGGAGAATTTGTGGGGTAAGAGGGATAACGGCAATGAAACGTTGTTGCGCGTGCGTGCTACTTTTAATTACAAGGGGATACATGGCTGGTTGATTATAGGGTCGCGGACCGGCTTCCGACTTTTTGGAATATAGCGTCGTTTACAAAATAAGGGCGTGAATGGTTGGCCAAATGCAGCCAGGTCTATGCGTATAGAGCCTCGAGGAAGTAAATGAAGCCAAAGATCAGGAAGGCAACGGCCCCGCCGACGGTGACTAGACACGCATGTTAGGAAAATCACGGGGTCAAAGCATGCATGTCGACGCAGGGGAGACATACCGATTTTCAGACTGACTCTTCCGGCGATGGCCCGTCCTCCAATAACAGCCACACCGGTGCAAATGGCATGTCCGCACGTTGCACCGAGAGTCACCCACCAGTAGTCCTGGCCAGCAGCCATGGCAATAGTTGCGATTTGGCTGCGATCACCCCATTCGCCCAAAAACGTCATGGCAAAGGTCTGGACCCAGGCCGGGCTCAAGAGCAGAGAGCAGAGGTTACCAACTCCCTGCATGAAACCGCCCATGGATCCGGAGCGTCGGGAAGGGCTGCGTGACGGGGATTGTGATGGCGATCGAGGCGGCGAGGGGAAACGGCTCTTAGACCGAGAATTCCTGCCACCAAGTCCCATTTCTAGGTTGTAAGCGGAAACACCGTTATGCCCATTGCCCATCTCCTTTTCCTTCTCTGCTAGCTCCTGTTCTACCTCGTGCATCTCAGCTGAAACGCCTTCATTGGGGTCCATCTTCATACCCTCATTGAGGAGTTTAGCACCAAAGACAAAGAACAGGGCCGCTGCCATGAAGCTTGTGAGGCGCTTAGGAATCAGAGTAGGAACAGCATGTCCCAGAACAGCAGACAAGACAGTCATGACAAGCAAGGCACCAAAAGCGGCAGAAAACACCACCATTCTATCATGCTTCATGGCCATCAGTGCAGCCACAAGAAAAGTCTTGTCACCAATTTCAGAGACAAGAATCATGGTAAAGGATAGCATCCATGAATGGAATGGCTGGATAATGCTGTCATCCTTTTGTTCGACGGGGACTTGGGATTTGGACTGGGATGTGTCCTTGGTTTTCGGTGGTGGGGGCTCGAGCGGATCTTTTGTTGTCGTCGACGATGATTTGGATTTGTTTGGTGTATCGGGGAGATCATCGGGTTTCTAATAAATCAACAATCGATTAGCTATACGTCTTGCGACGGCGAAAAAAAAAAGCGACTGAACCGTAACAGCACGACTCACATCGAGACCTGTATAGTCTTTGCTGCCGTCCTGCTTGTGCAGTTTCGACTTGTCAGTGTCTTCGTCCTTGCCGCCATGCAATTTCCGTTCCTCGCTATGTGGCAGTGGTGGCTTCTCTTTGGGAGATTCTGGTTGCGTGAGGACCTTCTCGCCGGTCTTTCCCTCCTTTTCCTTCCGTGCCTTTGACTTCTCGGTGACGCCGCCTTCGGTGCCCGTAGAAATTCCCTTTTCAGGTCGATCACGATTCTTATCGAACATGACACCAGAATTCGTCTCGGGGATCTTCTGGTCCCCAACCCGGGTTGGGTCGTTGGGTCGGCCCTTTAATAGCGGTAGTTGCTTGCCATCCGCATCGACAGCCACACCGTCAGTCTCGACAAAGGGGCCGAGATGAGGCTTCCCATCCTCAACGGGGCCATCTCTAGTGGATATGAAAGGTCGGTCTGCAGCGGCTGCTTCGACATTCGTAGCATCGTCGGCATTACGAGAAGAAGAGGAGATGGATTTGGAGTTGTCGTCCTTGGCTGCGGCGACGGCGCGAGGCGAGATGCCGACGGCCAGCGAAGGCAGCAGTAGGAGCAGCAGGGGTGAATGGCCGGTCTGGAACTTCATGACGGCAGCTCAATTCCTCGGCGCGCGTTGTCAAACTGGCAATCCTGCTAATCGAAATGGATCTGTGATGATGGCTCAATCTGCCGATGGCAACACGGGGAGGCAATGATGAGGCGACGAGAGAAGGGTGGACTGAATGACTTGTAGCTGCGTCAACAGGCAGCCAAAGGTAAAAAAAGCCAGACGCAAGCACAGCCTCTACACCTCGACAACCCTTGGTGCCAACACTCGGCACTCCCTTACTCCGTAGGGGGCCCCTGGTCGCTTTAGGCTGGTCTGATTTCTGGGCTTCTGGATTGGTCGCGAGTGGCGCTCTCCGCTCTCCGTTTGCGTGGTTTGTGTTTGTGTGGCCTTGAGTGGTCCCGGTTGCGTGTCGTCCACCGGGAAATAGTATTGCCAAGTAGATTTAGCGTTCGTCCAAGGAGCTGCGCCAAAGCCAGCACCGAAGATGACTTGATTGTAAGATGAACCAAAATGCCGCGCAAATAAATACACAAATAAAGGGAGAATTCAACCCGTAAATAATGTGCGTTGGTTGACAAAATGAATTTCTTCAGCTACAGCAGGTTCGACAGTGCACGAGGGGGAAAAAAGGAAGAAAGAAAGGGGAGAGAGCAGACAGACCAGTTGACGGGTAGTAAGTACAAGGTACCAAACAAGCAAGTGCAAGTCGGCTGAAGAGCACCCGGCCGCTTCTAAAACGAGAAAATATTCAGGGATACGGAGTAAACTGACGAGGATCCGGACGCGGACAACGCCCATGGACAAGGATCAACATAGCCACGGCGCACGAGCATGTTCTCATCCGAAACCCCATAAAATCTTGCCATAATTTCCGCCCATTTCTTTATATAGCCAGCTGTCAAATCAAGTAATGCGAGTTGTGTAGATCAATATTAATGCCAGGCCGAACCAATACTAGCTGCACGTCATCTCTTTAGCTGCCCAATGGTTCACGGGGCTTCCTCTGCCATACAGTTTTCTTAGGTAAGCGAGTCTCCATGAGCCATTGGGAAGCAAAAGAGATAGAATCTGACATCACTTTGGCTAGTCTTCATGAGACGAGAATAAATACTTGGGATACATGCCTCCTAGATAGGTAGACAAGGACGAGGTATCTAACCATCACAGGATATACTATGATATTTTTTTATTACGTAATATACTATAGTATATTAGTGTGTATTTACTAACGGGCAAATATATTCTGCAATTGGCTGGATCAAATTCTAGTGATTCCTCTTGGAATACTTGGAATAAAACGGGGGGCTTGTGCAAGGCCTCGAACGTTTCTGCATCGGAGCCTTGAGAGTTGGGGATCCCTGGCCGGGATTTGACGAGCCTTCGTTCCCATAAGATATTGCTTCGTCTTCGTCTTCCAAGGCGAGCTGTTGCTGAAGCGCGTCGTCCGCGTCTTGCAGGGTTGTGTATGCTGGATCTTCTCTGGAGTCGTGGGGGGTAGAGTCATTCAGGTTTTCTTGCACGCTTGGCATAGTTTGGGTGGCTTTGGCATTCGCAGCCTGTATAAAGTGATTTCGGTATCGTTGCGCCGAGTCTCTAGCGTTTCGAAAAGCGGTCGCCCCGCGCCGAAAGGAATTAATATTACCTGTCATTTGCCATCCATCAATCTGTATCATGTGGTATTTGGGTCGCTCATTATTGACGGTCGCAGGCGCCGTAACATGATGGGCGTAGAGCTGAAGAGTACCCGTGCCGGCGTAATAGGTCGAGCTATAGGTGTAGGCATTGCCGTCATATATTGGTTCGGTCTCTTTGTAGTTTTGTAAGGCGTGGATAGCGCGAGTCCCATAGGCCCCGTCATAACAAGCTTGCAGCTGGGCCACGGAAGCATTTCCATCAGGGCCTTGGACTTCTAAGAAGAAGTTCGGCACTACCGGGACGTTAGGATGCTTGGTAGGAATGGCTGCTGATAGTATGCCCTCATCATTCCTGATATTCTGATCAAGATCACCTAGGCGAGCTCCATCAAAAAAATCTGGTTTCGGCTGTACAGCACCTGAGTTTGTGATGGGCTCCAGCTCAGTAAATAGGACGTTCTGCTTGTTATGAATGCTCGAGTTGCCACATAGAATGGGAAGGACAGAGGTTATAACCTCGCTCTCCAAGGCCGGGTCCTCATTTTTTCTGCGGAATTCTTCAAAATCACTTTCAGAGAATTGAGATGGAGATAATGATGCCCTTTCATGGGCTAGCTCTGATTGCATTTCTGTAGCATTTAGAGCTTTTGAACGCCAGTTGTTCACGTGCACATTATAGTCAGCAAGATGCTGTTGAAAGTCTTTGCCGTATGCTGAAGATCTTCCACTTCTAGAGCCAACGCTAGTCGCTTTCGAGGATTGTGGCCGCCGACTTCTCGAAATCGACGACTGGAGGGAGCTCATATCAATATTTGAATGTTTGGTAAACTTAACTCAGTTAGTCCTCAGTAATTCAGCAAGGGTCGAAAGTCGTACGCGTCGGAGATGACGGAGATCTGCCCCCCCGTGTCTTGCAAACCGAGCAAGCTCTGTCCGATACACTTCAGGTACTCCTACCGTTAGGTGAGAATGCGTGCTATTACGGCGGTCAAGTTCTCTTAGGGCACGCGGCGTAAGCGAGACTTTAGATAAATCATCCCAAAAAGATGGGGAGAAATTATATTTTCTGTCAGCCTTTTTAACCGAGGTTTCTTGTAGGGACTCGTATGTACGCCGCCGCTTTTGATTTTGTGGCCTCGCCATGAGGGGCCCATTGTCGCAACATATGTATGAGGGATTAGAAATGTTTTTAGTGACGCGCCTACTGTTTGCTGTAGGAAGAGGAAGAGGTGATAAATTGCGTTCAGGGGCGTCCAGACCAGACCAAGCAAGTTTCGCTAGGTGGGCGGCACGCCCCACCAAGCCTCAATCTCGATTTAATGGCTGGGCCGACTGCCACGCCCTAAGCAATTTACTACTAGAGGCTGAAAAGACTAATTAACAAGGGATATCGCTTTTTTGAGCTTTTTTAAGTCTATTTAAAAGGGTACTAACTTTATAATTTAATTAAGATTTGTTAATACTAAAAACCTATATTAAAATATATTATAAAGTATAATAACTTAGCTGCCAGCCTAAAACCAGGTAGTAGTAGAGGTGACCGCGCCCGTAGCAAAATCGACCGCGCCCTGAGCAATCCACGTGCTGTATACTATAATATACTAGCGTATACTCTGTATATGTATTACCTACCTAGGTACTTTATCTCGAAGGTACTTCTTGTTTGGCAAATGCCACAGAATGGGGTGCAGGGGCACGCTGTGGCAGCTTGGGGTCTGTGGGTCACGAGTCGATGATGTGGATGTGGGCAGCAGGACCAAGCAGCTTCCTTGAACCTTCAATGTTCTCCATTGGCCCCCCCCCAAGAATTGCCTGGTCCAACTGCCTAATATGCGGGCCGATTTGACCCATTGATCACTGTCCGGTATCACAGTGCACACAACACTGATGTGCTTTGGATTGGCCTCATCCAACAAAACACAGACGCAACTCGCAGCGCCTTCAGCTCCTGCCATGCATAATGATGGTACGAACAATGCATCTTTATAACAGCGGGACACTAAGTGCCCTTGTTTAGGATATCATCATTGATGAGAAATACCGCGTGGACCGCAAAATTGGGGAAGGAGGCTTTGGCCTCGTTTACCTGGGTACAGATTCAGCTGTTCTGATATTGAATACTTACAGATGCTGATAGACAGCTAGGCACGGACATCCGGTCAAATGAGGAGGTTGCAATGAAGCTCATGCACATTCGAGATGATACGACATTCTCAAGAGCGAGGCAGAGACATACAAGGCCTTGTCTGGCGGTGTTGGAATGCCAAAATTCTTATGGTTCGGACAAGAGTGCGATTACTTTGCACTAATCCACGAACTTCTCGGTCCTTCACTCGAGGACTTGCTCAACTATTGTGACCGGAGTTTTTCGCTCAAGACCATACTCCTCATTGCGGACCAGGCCATTTCTCGAATCGAGTATATCCATTCCAAAGGTCTTCTGCATCGGGATATCAAGCCTGATAATTTCCTCTTGGGCGTTGGCAAACGAGGAAACATATTGTACACTATTGACTTTGGCCTGGCGAAGGAGTTCCGCGACGCAGAGCATTATCCGACTCTGGAAGGTCGCGTTCTTTGCGGACTGCTCGATACGCCAGCATCAACAACCATAATGGACGCGGTAGGTCGTTTTTCTTTCCTTTTCTTCTTCCGCGTTTGATCACATATTACCGTGACGTTCTCTCTACTAAGCTTCGCACAGAACAATCCTGGAGTGATGATTTGGAGTCCCTGGGCTATGTACTCCTCTACTTTGCCCGTGGCTCATTGCCATGGCAGGGCATTAAAGCCGCGACCGATAAGGAAAAATTAGAACGTGTCAAAAACTACAAGAAGACTTTATCAGTGGAAGAGCTTTGCAGTGGGCTTCCGGAGGAATTCTCCACATACATCAACTACACTCGGTCGCTTGGGTTCCAGGACAAACCGAATTATGCATATCTTCGTCGACTGTTCCGCCGCCTGTTCACGTCAAAGGGTTTCAACTATGACAACGTATTCGATTGGACGGAGAAAAGATTTTACGAATTACGTGACAAAGCTGAGGAGCCGATAATGGAACAAGGGTCGGACTCAAATGATGCATGACTACTCTCAGAATAACCGGTCACATTTAGGCCAGTGACGCATGTCCAGAAACAACCAAAAGGCAACTTACATGTCATAGATTCTATGGCTGGATAGTCCTGGGGGGCTCTGTTCGGGTTGACATCTTCCAGAAGTAGAATAACCGCCAATCCATCCTCTAGAAATTTGGTTAGTTCATCTGCATTTCCCTGTATACCTGATCATGTTTAGCATGGTGTGAAGCGGAGGTCAAGGTACAAGAGCAGCCAGTATTGCAATATTAAATACCGACCTCATTGGCGTGCTGTGTGGCACACACTACAGGTTGAAAAATTCACTGGTGTCGGTAGTCATCCTTGTATTGATTCTTGCCGGGGTTCCTGGGCACCCGCGAGACCCGAAAGCGTCGATTCATGAACAAAAATGAATACCTTATTCCCTCACAGTCCATGTCTGTATCAAAGAGAATTTGAGGTTGCAAATCCCAGTCACCAAGTTTTCTAGAGGGTCAAGCATCACACCACACACATCATGAATGGATGCCTGTACAACTAATTCGCCCACCGCACTGGGGGAATCATGTGTTAATTGGTGTTGGTCGGTTGCCTTGATAGTTGGAAATTACGTACAAATCAAAGGTCCTGTCGGTGACTCAGTGCAGCCCCGGAACCCCAGTAGGAACGGATGAGGGAATATCGGCTTGTTTGTTGCTGTTGCCTGAGCATGTAAGTATTGGCCGCCGTATCACCATCCACAATGACTGACGGTTGACAGTCCCAACGCTTGGAGAAACCTTTGTCATACCCTTCGAGACGAATCATTGGCGGATGTTGGATGTGTTGGTGATGTGCCAACGAATTTTACCGGATTTGTCTTAGGAGCACTCCGCAACCTTATTAGATGCGACATCATCCCTTGTCCACCGGGCCAAAATCAGGCATATTATCAAGCCTCAACTGCGGGATTGGCTACTAGAGTGGTGGCAAGCCGTGGGCTCGGAAAATCGATTGATCAACCAACACGAGATTTCCTGTTTTCTGGGACTATCTTGCCCCTGTTGGGCGGCCATGTCAGTCAGAAAAGAGCGAAGAGGTTGTTGGCCATGATGCGCAAATTCTGGACAAGACTTCGTCACTTTGGCTGCTATCCTCAGTGGTGTATGTGCAGTAAAAAATAAACAACCACCCCTCCCCTAATCAGATGCTTGCAATACCCATTGAGCACATACAAACAAGATAGTTTCTATCACCCACTACGCCTCTTCCATGTGCTAAAATGGTTCCCTTGCCCTCTCACAACATCTACCTCGAGCCCGAGACAGCATTCCTAAAACTCCTCAATATACACTGCCACCCATTAAATCAGAATCCCCCATATTCGTCAAGATGGCAACCACTCAAGAGATCCATGATCGCAAACCTAAAGGCTCCGACGTTACTCTCTTTGACAAAGTATCCTGGAGGGTGAACAGCTCTTGCATCAAGCGGACGCTGTGCCACTATGAACGCCAAATAACCACTCAAGGTGACCTCTATATCCCCCCGACAACTTTTCCACAGCGATTGCGGACGGATGAGGCCGTCTTACAATACCTATTTGCCAAGACTGACATACCTCTTCCTCGTTCGCTATGCGCTTTCGAATCGATAGGGGCGTTCTTTCATCTTACTGAGCATGTATCCGGCATTGCCATGAGCGACCTCAGCGAGCCGAACAAACAATTCGTTAAGCAGCAACTTGTCCAACATGTCAAAGCCCTACAGAACCTACACTCAGACACTCCTGGAGTTCCCGGCCAGCAGCTGCTCTGCCCTCCGCTCCGAGTCAACGCCGGCAAGTGGAGAGTGAATAGCTGCTGGAAGCCGCGAGCAGACCTCCCGAAAGAAGACTACGTCTTCTGCCACAATGATCTGAGACAAGATAATGTCATCGTGAACCCCATGTCGTTGAAGATTGTGGCCATCCTCAACTGGGAATCTGGGGGCTTTTGGCCTATATGGTTCGAAATGGCGTTTTGGGAACTTGCCGGACCTAACGCCATGTTGGAGGGAGAGGCCGATAACACGGAACGATGTAGGGAGTGGCTCTTGAAGAATTGTGAGGAAGTGGTGATGCCACCTTTGCTACGGCAAGATCAATAAGGTATAGTCCCGTCATTAGACAACGGGTTGCTTTGAAGCACTTGCTTACATGTATACAGGTAGCCGTCATCTTCAAGATTGCCGTGCCCTGGCGAAAGAGACACAGACGCGCATGGGCAGAGAGAAAGTTCAAAGCAGTTCACTAATTATAACTACTTGCTCGTCAACCATTTTCTTTTCTTTAACCGCAAGCTCGACGAAGAATAGAAGCAGTGATGCAGGAAAATAGTCTGATTTTGAACGTTTCAAACACGCTCTATATTTGTGCCGTCCAGAATTACGCAAACGTGGCTTTCATTCAAAAACTCTTCTTTCCTTGACCCGCATCCAGTAAGTTTGTGGCTTTTCTGTAATTATCAATGGCGGTATACGCAGCCTCTGGTGGCCCCCAACCTGGGCTTGAGGACATGGCGACGAGAAAGTGCTTGATATGCACATGCAAAGCATATCGCTGATTTCTTCTGTAAATTCGCTTTCTCGCCAGCGACAATCCTAGCTTCCATACGCTCCATTTCTACTGGAGGTTTTTGGACATTGACCATAGAGATGCGCTTGTCTGGTACGGAAATATATTCAGATTCAGTTCGTCCATGGGGCTCAATCGAAATCCGGCGTGTGGAATAGACTGTGAGACATTTCTTTCCCTTCTTTGGAAAGCTCAAGGCTGTGGTGTACAGATTTTGACACTACAAGAATTAGAACGCGAGATGGGATTGCCAATATTCGGTATTGTCGCATACACAGGCTTGTCGGCGGACAAGTCTGGTCCCTCGGTTGCAGCACCTGGAATAGGGGTCATTGGCAATGCCTGAGAGTGAGCCTTCCCAGGCATGTCCAAGCTCAGAGCAGACGCGATATCCTGGCCATTATGGGATTTCAATCATTGACGTATGATGCTGTTGCGAGGAAAAGAACAGATTGCCGAATATGTCCACGATAGCTTAGATCAACTTCAATGCCAAGTTGATCAGCTGAAAGAGTCCAACTTGGAAATTCTGCAAAAGACGTGAACCAGTACTGACAGAGCCAGGCCGCTGCCATGAAGGAAGAAGCTCGATGCCAGGAAGGCAATCTCCTGCCGTGTATATGCTAGAAGTGGCTCACAGGGCGCTCAAAGGGAGCGGCAGGAGCCTGGATGATTAACGGCTGTCCTCGAATGATGAATTCAGGGCTGATACTCGGCAATAGGAATGCCGATAGTGTAGATAAGAATTGAGACATAACCGGTACTTGTGATTCCCCAACTAAACACTGTGAAATCGCGATCAAAAGGGCCTAAAAGCATGCTCCATCACGTCTTTTGGATTCGGCTAGAAGGGATCTCAAGCACCTTTTAGCCTATACTCGCTATTGTATGCCACGATTTCTAAAACGACATCTAGATTTGTCTGCTACCATATTTAACAAGAAAGCGCACTACTGGTGGTCCAGTTCTACTATATCCAAGCGAGATATTATGCTCGATAAGCGTAGCAGAGCTGATAGTATACGACGGATATTGCGTTGGACGTTGAGCCGTGGAGCAAAAGGTCCAAGCATTATTGACCATCAGCTAAATACCTGGAATACCTGGCTTATATGAGTGCTCTTTTGACCTCTGCTAGTAATGGAGACTGAGTCTATCTCAAAGACTAGGGTATTCTTGATCCTATTAGCATCTTTAATTATACTATAATATTGGAGAGTAGTATATCTTGTACAATAGCTTCAATAAATTCCAAGCCGCAGCAAATATACAGCTCCAATAATATTGAAATCTCTATAAAGAATTAGGTAAAACGGCTCATGTCAACGTCCGATACGGAAAGAGGTCAGGTCATTCGCACCTAATACTACTGGAAATAATAATAATAACTGAGAAGACAATAAGTTAGGAGGGAGTCTCATAGTTCCTTTATTTCAAGAATGCTGGAAGCATGGCTTTTGCTTGCCCCCTCTACAATGACGTACTTCAATGCTGCTGTTTTCATGGTAGCAATACCTTTCGGGATATCGAAGCTCTCACTAAGATGGGGAAATTATACGCGGTTAACCCTGTACACAGAGATAAAATGTTTCCTGACCCCCCGCCCGCAGTTTACGTCGCACTGGAGATGGCGCTGTGATGCGAGAGTATGACGGCTTTTTGATGGCGAATAATCGATTTCTAGTGATAAGTACCGGGAGATAATGAACGTAACTGAGCGGAAATAGCAAGGAAATGACGGGGGCCTCTGAACTTCTACGGTTTAGGCAGGGATTTGCCCTCTCCAGCAAACTGATCTACTATGACAAACGACGGATTTGATTCTGTGTGAGACAAATCCAGGAGTGAGACACTAATTTCCTCAATGCCAGTACCCCTTGCGGCTTGCAACGCATTCCGTGAAAGCGGAGAGCAAGGAAGAAAGATGCTAATGTGATGAGCAATAACACCATCTCGTTCTATGCCTTGATAGGGATCGAAATTCGGGCGGGTAAAGAAAGCGTACATACACATGTTCTGGCGATTGCTGGACATTCTGGAGATGGAGAAGCTGCCTGACCATGCAGAGGCTAAGAATGTGGTAAGAAGACCATGTCGAAGATGAGCAAATAGAGGGGAAATTCTTCAGTCGTACTCATTGCCGGGTGCAAAGGGATCCTCTTGGTAAAGCTGGTCTGATGATGACATGGGTTCGATGATTGCTTTTTATATTAGATGATCGATTTCTGGAACCTACCCTCGGCTCCCTTGTTTCCCCTGGATGTCTCGGTTTTTCGTTTATCGTCATCGAACTATTATCAGGGAGACGACGATCTTAGGAGCGTGTACGTCATTTATTAAGAGGATCAAAGACATGAAATCTGACGGTATTCCGCATCCTTTTGAGTGTGCTAACGTGTCAGTAAAGTCTCCTACAAGAAGAATACATTGTAAGAATTACCAGTTAATTAAATATACACACACCACACACACATATATATACATCTATTCTAATAATAAAAGTATTGTAAATTGTCTCTGACTTGGTAGTGTTGTAAGCCAAGATACAATAAAAATACCGGGCATGGGTATTCTGGAGTAGATACAAAGGCGCCACCTCAACACATTTAAAAGGATATTGATACTTCTGTTGAGAGAAGGGTTTTTAAAACCAAAGTAGAATACAAAAACAACTGCTTACACATGTCCTGGGAGAAACAATGCTTTATATCTACGGCCGAATATGGTGAGATACTCGAAGAGTAAAAAGCAACAGATCAGACCCTTTTTCTGTGCTTCGAGGGGCCATCTGACTCATTCCAAGACGAATGATACATTATGTTTCAAACCGCAAGCAGAGTCTTGAGTGGGAGAAAGTGTCAATGGTGGGCATTGCGGTGCTATGGTAACCCGGCACCATTCCGTCATATTGTTTGAACTTGTCTGACTCACTTAGCAATCGCAGCCAATACAAAGAAGCGGATATTGGTATTAGAACAGTGTCTCGGGACTCCTTTTGAAGCTTTCAAGGGAGTCTGATAAATGAGGCACGAAACTCTTTTGCCCTCTTCTAGCAAACGATCTATCCAAATCTCGCCTTCAGCATAGGCATAGCTGGTTGTATACCGTTGATGATAAAATTCATGGCCCATGTCTCCTACTTTTGGTCAAACTGAGTTAGTAATTACATCCATGAGACAAATCATCCATATTTGTGCATCACGAGCCGCTCATCCCGGTGTCTGTGGTATGTGTCTCAGTTCAGCAAGGTTCGTGTTGTGATTTACCAGCTACGGTATTCTCAAGGGATAGTTAAGAAGCTGGTATTTATGCACCCCCAGACTGTCCTTTATTGCATACTTTCGTTTCATTTCCGAGAATCCGGCAGCAGAATTCTGCCCGGGAAAAACCAAAATCATCCAACTTCGCTTCGTGGCCGAACATGCAACCCCCCGTGTGCGAGGCATCACTTGATCGGCCACCCGGTTCAATGGCAATGCCAAATGTCGTACATCGCTCCGAGAAGCATGAGTGGAATTTTACGGCGCGAAATACCCTCGCAGGGACTGGTCCGAAGATGCCACCGTTGACTGAAGAGCCTGAAGATAGTCAGATCAGTCAAGAAAAGCCATTTTCTGTGCTGGGCGATGATGGGGCCAAACACCAAACAGGGATGAAACTCTTTTGGATTATTCTAGCTCTCTGTTTAAGCGTATTCCTTGAAGCGCTCGGTATATGCTCCCAACACCTACTATAAGATGCAGCTGCTCGAATTCAACTAACCGGCGGCCACAACTCCCCAGATCTCACCATCGTTACAACTGCTATTCCAACGATAACGGATCACTTTCATAGTTTACAGGATGTAGGATGGTACGGCAGTGGTATGTCTAATCTGCGGCTTCTTCTGCGTCGCAAACCTTGTGCTGACATGATGTTCCTACGCACAGCCTACCTCCTTACCAGCGCTTCACTGCAACTCCTTTTCGGCCGAATATACAGCCAGTTTACCATAAAATGGGTCTACCTCTCTTCCATTGTCATCTTCGAACTAGGAAGTTTAATATGCGGCGTGGCCAACCGGAGCTCAATATTCATCATCGGCCGCGCCATTGCCGGCGTCGGCTCCGCCGGTATATTCACAGGCTCACTTGTTATCCTGTCTCAGTCGGTACGCCTTGAACGCCGGCCGTTCTTCACTGGTATTATCGGGAGTATGTACGGCATTGCGTCTGTCGTTGGCCCGGTCCTCGGGGGCCTCTTCGCCAATAAGTTGACATGGCGTTGGTGTTTTCTTATCAACTTACCCCTGGGCGCGGTCGCCGCCCTCGTCATCATCACGCTCCTCGAGCCGACGCGGCATCCAGGCGAACAAGACACGAAAGCAAATCGCCTGAGGAAATGCGACCCTTTCGGCAGTGTCCTCTTCATTGCTGCTACAGTCTGTCTACTCCTCGCCCTACAGTGGGGAGGCACGCAGCATGACTGGAATAGCTGGCGTGTCATTGTGTTATTCTGCAGTTTCGGCATCTTGATACTCGTCTTTGTGCTTGTCCAGTATATACGGCAGGAGTGTGCTACCGTCCCGCCACGCATCTTCCTTCAGCGGACTGTCTGGTCCTCTTCTCTCTTTGGCTTTTGCCTCGGCGGCGCGGCTCTCAGTTCCGTCTACTTCCTACCGATCTGGTTCCAGGCTGTCAAGGGTGTGAGCCCTGTCGTCTCTGGCTTCATGATGCTTCCTATACTCATAAGCTTCGCTCTTGTGTCCGTCCTCTCGGGTATTTTGGTCACAGTCGCCGGCTACTACACGCCATTCATGTTGGCTGGCACTGTATTCTGCAGCTTTGCGTACGGCCTGATGAGCACGGCTACCCCGGACACCTCCATGCTTACTTGGGTTGGTTATCAGATTCTCGCTGGCGCTGGCGCCGGCTTTGCGACGAACCAGTGTCTTATTGCTGTTCAGGTTGTCCTCGACACGGACGATATACCTACCGGTACTGCTCTCGTATTCTTCTTCCGCATACTCGGCAGTGCCATCTTTGTCTCCATCAGCGACTGTGTCTTTACAAACAATCTCAGGCAGCTCCTTTTGGTAAATGTGCCTAGCCTAGACCCGGATGTCATTCTCAAGGCGGGCGCCACCAACTTTCGGGACGTTGTCTCCCTTGCTGACCAACCGGCCGTGCTCGCGGCATACAACGGAGCTATTAGTAAAACTTTTATTGTCTTTGCCGTTGTCTCTGCTGTAGGTATATTGGGTGCACTGAGTGCGGAGTGGAAGAGTGTCAGAGCAAGCAACGCGTCATCAAAATTATGATGTCCGCTATATATGTAATTGAGGTTCAATAGTTGTCATAATTCGATAAAGTACATTTCATTCTACGAAATACTGTCCGCTATACATGTCGTCAAGGAGTATTTTGTGCTTTCCATATGGGCTATTTCATGATCCAAAGTAACCATCAACTTAAACTATGACCGGGAGCGAGTCTGCCACAGCAAAACAGCAAGAACAAGAATAGAAAACAGCAGAGGAAAAGTATACACAAGACCCCACCACTTATAAGGTCCAATTCGTAGTCCTTCCAACATATACTCGCCCATCGACACGACCTTCTCACCATCGTTCCCTTGCCCGGAAGCCCAGTACATCCCTATTCCAATGGCCACGGTAACCCACAATCCTGCCTCCAACTTGCTAACTCTAGATACTGTATCATTCCAATTAACCGTTGTAGCAAGAAGCGTGTCGAGGTGTCCGTCGAGATGGCTTCGCTCCCGAAGGAGTTGCCAGGGAGCGGAAGCACCAACCGCCAGAGCGGTGGATGTCGACATCCAATCAAGCGACATGTTGCCTTGGCATGGTAAGTCATTGAACCTGTCCCTAGTGACCGCAAACTGGAAATTGTAGTTGATCTTATCGAGATATTTCCGCGAGTAGCGAGCTAACTTGAGTCGGCGTATCGCGATAGAGGGCCGGAGGTCGATGGAACACGTCAAAGCGAAGGTGTCATTCTGTGTCTGGCCTGCGAAGCCTGCAAAGTCACTAAACTCAGTGGCATGTGTTCCTATGGATCCAAAAACAATCGTTGAAGTCCCTCTTGGTCGTTGGCACAAATACCAGCAACTGTAGCACCTTGACTAGACGGGTCAACACTATAGAACATGGTACTCGCCACGCATCCGTTGGACGAGACGGTCAGGTTTCTTCCGGAAAGGAGGAGACTACCTGTTTTGAAACAGGAAACAGGCTTGGTTTCCAGTATCGGGAGGCAGATCGACACAGACTCCAACTCGGACCAGAATCCTACCGGCTCACCCAAAGTATGAAGCCCGAAAGCACCAACAAAGGCTTCGTACAGCACCTCGAACGGCACGCCCATGGCGGACTTGTTGACTGGTACACCTCCCATGCTGTATGCTAGATCAGGATCATCCAGCGTGAAGGCAATGCTTTGGGCCAGGAACGGGAGTACACGCTGCAATTCACATGAACCCGTGGCGTTGACACCGAGTAACTTTTCCAGATGACAACTTCCACACCAACCCATCCACAGAACCTGCTCCGCCATCAGTGAAGCACCGGTCGACGGCGTAGTCATCTAGTTGTATGACGTGTTCAGGGAAGAAGTATGTAAGGCCGGGATACTTGAATGGAAACAAGGATGGCGTGACGGCCAGTATAATGCCTGCCGATATCAAGCTCACAATGAGAAAAGTACCAGAAATGTACCAATACCTCAACATGTTGCGTAGAGAGGATAGACCAACAACGGTAGTGGCTTGCCGTAACATGGGCTTACTCGACTCTCGGGCTTGTACTTTTTTCAAGTATACCATCCTTAGTGTGGTGGCAGCAGGCATAGAGACGAGTACTGAGGCAATTCCAACGCCTAATGAATATAAGAATTGGCATTTAGCCTCGAGAACCCCGTATCCGGGCTTGCGTATGGAAATCGGGATGCATCTTGCCACGACAAGAAATATAAAAACCGCCAACTGAAGAAGCAGAACCAGGATTGCGTTGCGTCGAAAGTTCTGTGGAAGCTTGATTTCTATTGTCTCTGGTGCTTCTTCAGTCTGACTTTCAGCCTCGGTTTCCTCATCGCTTGTTGCTTCCTCGTTACGATCTTCCGGATACACCATGATTTCCAAAGTCGGCTACAAGGTGCAGATTTTATGCGGCAAAGTCGGAATAGATGAACCTGAACGAAGGTTTATGATGAGAAAGAGGGCAAGGTAGCAACCTGAAGTGAATAAATGTTGGCAAACTTTACGGCTCAGGGCTACCTTGGTTGGAAACCCCGTAGAAATGTGTAGTTTCCGCGGTTGATGCGCCCGTTATATAACATATGATTGAGGACAACATGGCTGTTTTTATGACTTCGCTACAATTCTCTTGAGAGACGCACCTTGCACTGCTACTGGTGCGAGATGTCTCACATCCAGGCGCTTAGGTGCATCCGACAAACTCCATTCAACTGCTACTCGCGACCCGCGGAATAGAACGAGGCTGAGCCTGGTTTGAGCTTTGAGAGCTGTCATAATTCCTCATGAAAAATGATAGGTCCGTAGATGCCATTGGTGTCTAAGATGCATACCTCGCTCGGTGAGCCCTCGTACTACCCACCATCTTGGTAGCTCGTGAAGCAACTTCAAGGCCTAGAACTCAAGTCCAAAGGCTGGAGGGCTGTTGTTTATTTTGAATTAGAAATTTCAAGGTAGTTCCTGAAACATCATATTTCGTTAGATGTTTAAATTTCCGAGCCAAGGTTGGCTTTGTTGGAGTGGAAAGCACAGTTATACAGATGTAAGACGGAATAGTTATACCTAGTTATACGGAGTGCCAAATCCTCATATCCGAACCGCCGACCCGTAGCGACTAATGTTGTACGACCCCCGCTGTCAAACAGGAAGAACCAACTCGACTCAACCCGGGTCGGGCCGTCGTCTCACGTCATCCTAGCCCTTGCCAATGCAGGTTTCACGATTAAGACATACAGTATATATTAAAGGGTTCCAACGGCCTCAACCCAACCAGGCAGAAGGCTGGTCAAACACCAGGATTGCATTCATTGACAATCCCGGAGACCTCAGTTCCGTAGCTAGATAGATTCGACCACGGACGAATTCATTCAACCATTCCATTCGGTTTATATATACAACTCATAATATAGCACTTGGACTTTGCCAGTTTAGGGAAACTTGTCCCGTCCTATGATGCCCTGTCTCAGGGGCAAGGGCAATGTCACGGCTTCAGTCTTCGGTAGTCGGTGTTACCAAAGGCTTGCAGAATGTGTGTGTAATTTCTCCTTTAGATAGAAATTTTCATTTGCAGCCAACGCGAGCCTGCAAGGCAGAAATCGGTGTTGCCCGAATGTTTGACACGTCAGGCCTAGCCGTGCCGCGGCGTATGCGCCTTGTTGTTGGCATGGAAGCAAGCATTGTGCGTGAGCTTCTCGGAGTAGGTATAATTACTAGTTTATATTAGTTCACCTGTTAGCAATAGGCAGAAATTAAAATCTGTATTAATAATTCTAGTTCTTGGCTATTATTGGCCAGGCGTGCCAATAATAGCAGCGCCATGGCATTTCTCCATCATCATGGAGTCTGTCACGGCGGAAACCCCAGTTCCTTAAACGGAAGACTAGCCCCAACTGACTGAGGAGCACATGATGGCAGATCTCATTTTGTCCAAAAGTTCTTATTCCCCACGGCCCTTCGCATATCGAGATCCCAATCGGTACTATTGTGAGCTATCTCGGTCCGACACTCCGACACTGGCGGGCAAGGTTTAATTTCGAGGAATATGGAATACGGCTACTGCGAGCCGGAACAAGTACATGAAACAACAGAACCAGGCGCAGTGGTTTGAGGACAAACACATCTTTCCACCGTCGATTCACTTCCAGCAGGGCAGAAGGATTGTTGAGAGTCCAAACCCCGACATCAACTGAATGCGATTACGATTATCGGGCTATTAATAGCTTCATTATATATTTCCAACACACAACTCAGACTCTATCACATCCAAGCTTCTTTGAACAAAAGCCAGGGTACTCCCTCAGTGTTTTGCCCATGAAGCCCCATGGCGGTTCACAGCCATTGCCGCCAGCCTTCTCGTTCTCCGTGTTGAGCAGGTAGAACCAGCCTATAATTTTATGAGAGTGAATACTAAGCATTTCGCCATAAAAGGAGACGTACCGTTGCGGCACCAGCAGTAGGCCGGGATACAGCATGGCTCATATGCCCTAGGCGCGTGTCAGCTTTCTGCTACAGGTATGGATATAAAGGGGACTCAGACGGCCATGGGTAGCAGCCGCTCGCAGTTGACGCCTGAGCCACGGGGATGAGACGCCCTGTATCCTTCTCCGGAGGCGTGGGCTTGGCCGAGGCCACGGCCGCAAGAGCGCCGAGAGAGGAAAGGATATGGCGGCTCTTCATTCTTCTTGAGATGTATCGTAAGCTTGTGCCAAGTGAGATTGATCCGGGGATGAAGAGAATAAAGAATGAAAAATGGTTTCTAGCATTGCGTGGACAGGGGAATCCCTAAATACCTATTCCTAGTATAAAACGCGTTGTTGACTCGAGGTAGCTGTCAACAACATCTATTTCCCATTACAGTAATTGACACGGGCCTCTTGTCCACCTGGCGCATGGAGCTTGTCATAGCTCCCTCTGTGCTTCTAGTTTCACGATACCTTCTGCTCTTTGTCTTGGAAGGAAAACAATAGGGGCCGTGATCCGGGGCAGGGTCTTATAGTCGGTCCAAGCTCGACTATAGTTTGAGGGCTCCATGTCAGAGAAACGACTAGTAGTTGGCGAATGAAAGGGATGGAGTCTTCTAGGCCTTTGCGATTATTGCCCACGGGCATGGCCAGCTATCTCTGTCACGTTTGAGATGCCTACTTGGGCCTTGCAAATTGATCTCACTGAACAATATGATAGCACGACATTACGCAACACGACACCAGAGAGGTTTCATGCCGCTAGGATCCCTGAAAAATTGGGTGGCTGAGTCTTTCCAGGTCGTTTGCTTCCATCATGATTCCTTAATCCCATTGTCAAGACTAGACGGATCTCGAGTTATGCACAGTGAGCCGACCATACTCTCGGTCTCCCATGTAAGAAACAGAAGTAGTTCTAGACTGGATAGGCGTGGTGAAAAGTATCATATCTCTAAATAGTCAATGGTGATGCGAGAATACAGGTTCACGTAGGCCTGAATGCTGCTTCTCGCCAACGAAGTTGCCGATTTTTTCCAGGGCTTGGCGAGATACCTAGGTGGCTCGTGTATACTAGCACAGGGTTAGATCCGTGAACACTGCAACGGAGATGCCAAGTACTCATAGGCGAGGGCAGATTCCAGCCATGCACAAAACCAACATGGAATTAGCTTGGGCAGCGTATCCAAGTTGAGACGGTCATTCGTTGGCGTGCTTGTAGTGCCTCGGCGCCCAGGCATCAGAAGGGACTGGCTAGGGACCTAGGGTACTCCGTTGGAGCGTAGCGACTTGCAGACGACGGACAATGCAATTGATTGATTGCCGGCAACCGTGTCAAAGCTGGCTCATGGAATGCCGGCGCCTTGGTGCATGAAACATTGAATGTGGTGAGTCCCGGCGATTCGGAAACAAGATCGAGTGCATTTGGTGACTGGTTAACTGTCTGGTCGGCTAGTCAAGTCTGGACCGGTGCTTGTGGAGTCGGCGACAACCAATGTTAACTCCGGCTGGCCGTGATGCACAACCAACGCTGAGCCCCGCCACTGAGTAATGCTCAAGGCCAGCATCTGCGTATTCCGTGGATGGCGTCACTGCTACTCCGTACACCGACCTCTACCCTTCAATCGCATTCCATCAGCATCAGCAGTGGTGCCGTCTTTGCGCGCTTGCCATCCATCATATCCAATCTAGCCAATATTGAGAATATACCTGTACATATACCCGTTTACTTGCTGCTGCTTCAATATCGTAAACCATCCTTGTATCCTCGGATCTAGGAGTTCTGGAGCCCTGCGAGAGGGACCTCACTCGCCTTTCACAACCCGTTGAATAATCTATCCAATACCTGCACCGGCTGCTGAAGCCATCTTCCGCTTTTTCGGCAACCGAATTTGTCCATGGATCTGAATGATCCTGATCGGAACTCAGATTCCTCAGATCCGTCTCAGCAACCTGATCCAGACGAGGGCAGTGCTGGGGATACAGCCAGCTGGTACTATGATTTAGACGATACGGCAGATGATGACGATCCGGACTACAGAGATGAACCCGACGAGGACGATGACGAAGATGACGATTTTCAAGGTACGTGTGGAAAATGAGCAACGTGACATCCGTTCTCTCTAATATTCTGCGGGTTCTCCGGGAAGTTTGGTTACTAATGCATCGCTTTTCGCAGATGCATTGACTCATGAGGTAGAGCTTGAATTTATTATTGGAGGAGGCGGCGATGACGATGGAGAGGAAGATGAGGACGGGCATGATGAAGATGAGGATAACGACGACGACGACGACGACGACGCGAATGATGCGGTTCGACACATCATGTCTCTCTTTAGAGGTGCGCTCCGCTGCTTGCACTCGGTCAACGTATTTGTGCACTAACATCACCTTAGAAGGCGGAGGATCGGGATTGCTCACGAGAACTCAACTCATGGCCCTCTTGCGGAATCGTGACCTCACCAATGTCCTCTTCAGTGACAACGCCGAGGACGAAGGCATCCTAAGTCACTGGGGGATCCGTAGACGCCGTCAGCCCAAGGATCCTAATCGGTTTCCAAAAGTACCCAGTGAAGAAGGACTCCAGCTCATGCGTGCTGGTGCTTTTGGTACAAACGACTACGAGCTCCGCATGCGAAAGCACATTGCTAGGCGCATGTTGGAGAGAGAGCTTGGCGTCGGGGACGACGAAGAAAGACGACGAAATGGCGACTTGATAACTCAGGTACGTTTTTTTGTTAATTCGGCCATCTCCATAACCCCAATGCATCGTCGCTCACGTTGTCGATAGGCAATGATACCGGGAACGAGGACCGAACAGATCATTCACTACGACGACCCAGTCTACTCTGGGCAGTTCTCCGATGATGGCAACTTCTTCTATTCATGCTGCCAGGACTTCAAGGTTCGCATGTATGACACATCCAACCCATACAACTGGAAACATTACAAGACAGTTTCGTATCCCTGGGGCCAATGGACTTTGACCGACGCATCGCTCAGCCCAGACAACCGCTGGCTGGCATACACATCCATCCAGAGCATGGTGTCAATCGCCCCAACCGACCCGAATGACACTGGAGACCCCTATACTCTGGAATTGGACGATGGCCGCGGCAGACCGACCCAATGGGGTTGGAGAAACCGCGGAGGGTTCGGTATTTGGTCTATTCGGTTTTCAGGCGACGGACGAGAGCTCGTCGCGGGCACGAGCTCGAACTCGCTTGTGGTATATGACATCGAGTCGCGTCAAGTCCTACATCATGTCGACGGACACGATGACCATGTAAATGCTGTCTGCTTTGCAGACAAGTCTTCACCACACGTTCTATACTCTGGCTCTGACGACGCCACGATAAAGGTGTGGGATCGGAGAAGTATGGGAGACGGGCGAGAAGCCGGCGCGTTTGTCGGTCACATCGAGGGCTTGACGTACATTGATAGTAAAGGCGACGGACGATATATTCTGAGCAACGGAAAGGATCAGAGCATGAAACTGTGGGATCTGCGAATGGTCATGTCTACCAACCGGTTTCGGGAAACCGAACCGGCCCAGTACAGCAACACTAGTGGTTTCGATTATCGCAGAGAATTATACGATGACGAGGATTGGGACGTACATCCTCACGACAACTCTGTCGTGACTTTCAGGGGCCACAAGGTCTTGCGAACTTTGATTAGATGCCACTTCTCGCCGCCTTCTGCGACCAACTCTCGATATGTGTACTCGGGTAGCGCCGATGGGAAAGCCTACATTTGGAACATGGACGCGACTCTGGCGGGCAAGATCGATGTCAAGAAGGCGACAATGGGGACGCGCCGCGTGGACCGCCATACACGACTGTATTTCGAGGAACCTACTGGTTGGGGCACGTGTGTGCGTGATGCAAGTTGGCATCCGAGTGCTCCTGTCATGGTCGGTAAGTGGCTCTTGCTTCTCCGAAGCTAGGCTTAAAATTTTAAACTCGTGAGGGACAATGCTAACTGGAGCATCAAAGCGTCGGCCTGGAATGGGTACAGCATGGCTCGGGGTACGTGCACTTTGCATGCATTTAATGAGTCTTCTGATGACGAGGGAGAGCCTGAGATGCGCCGGAGCGTGGACGCCATGTTGAGGCCTAATCCAGATGTATACCAAATGTCAAACTACTAAATGGGTATAATGAGTGCACATACATACTATTTCACCAGTAAATATAGCTAGGCATTTGGTGTTGGAGGCTTTGATTATCTTGCCGAGGATCTGATACGAGACCAACAATGGATCAAAGGTCGTTCAGGTATGACGGAGAAGTCAAGTGATCCTGCCCAAAGGCCCTTTATAGTATCCCGAGATTCGTCCCAGGAGCCTGTCTGTCTGCCATCTCTCACATTAACAGCGGGACAGTGCTTCCTAGGATCGTTGATGCAATTCGTCGCATCTCTGTATGGGGAAGGGGGGCAGTCGTCATCACCAAGTCTCAATCTCGTAAGCAAACGTCACCGAAGAAACCCCAAGTCACCTATCTAGTTCCTTGAATCTGTCTGTTGTGCAATCTCATTCGTCACACATGCACAAGCACCTGCCACGTAGATGGCTTATTGCGTCAAATGGTGGCTGAGACAGCTCGAGCCTCAGTACACCGCCATTCGTCAGCGTGTGTGCTAAGCCCTCTGGGGGTCGCGGCCAGATTCGCCTGCCATTGACTGTTGCTTTTGCAATTCAACAATAGGCAACAAAGGATTTCAATGCCCAAGACAAACCGACCGTTGACGTGTGATGGGTCCGTGATGAGGTCGCGTCCTGTCGCACAGTGATGCCCGTGTGATGCCCGTGATGATGCATTGATGCCCGTGTATAAAGCAACACTGAATCCATGGCGAAGACAACCCTGGGAAAAAAGACACACGCTAGCAGATCCAAGCAGAAAGATTCAAGATGATGACTATGCTTCCGTGTCTCCTTTTTCTTGCTGGACTCCCTGCAGTCCTCGCCCACGTAGGAGGCCATTGCCCGCCAGCAGGCCCGGTCCTACCGCCGCCGGAACTATCTGCAAGACTCGACCTGTCCAAACTCGATTCTCAGCTCGACAGTATCGTGAGAAACGCCTCGAGGTCCTTCAATGCCACCGAAAACTCATTCTCTATACTACTTACTTCCAGAAATGCCACTGTATACCAGTACCATCACACGGCTGCGGTCCGGGACCCGTCCGGCGTCAAGAAGGTGGATGGCGATACAGTATATCGGCTCTGTAGCGTTACGAAATTGTTCAATGTGTTGACGGTGTTGTTGAATGCGGGGGATCTTTTGGACACGTGTATTACCAAGTATGTTCCCGAATTGGCGGGAGACCAAGTGTACGAGGGTATTACGTTGAGGATGCTGAGCAGCCAGGTGTCTGGGTTACCGAGAAGTGGTGAGTCGGCTCCATCATGGCAATCTTGTGCCGTTCCATGATGCATCATCCCCTTCTTTCCTAGAATAAAGGCGGTTGAACTAACTTGTCTACTAGGTGATGCATTTGACCTGGCCAGTACAGACGCCAAGAGCTGGGAAGATGACGGCTTTCCGGTTCCCCCCAAGGGGGATATGCCACCGTGCGACGTGGTCGGAGGAGAAGTGTGTAATCGTGCTCGTATGGGTGCCACCGTCCAAGCTTTGCCAACATGTTTGCTGACCTTTGAGAGCAGAGTTCTTTGAGAATCTCAAGAGCAACCAGTTGATTTGGCTGCCCGGGGCCAAGACGGCGTATTCGAACCAGGCGTACACCCTTCTGGGGATGGCTATGCAGAATATAACGGGAAAGACATTCGCTCAACTCCTACGGGATAGCGTCACGACGCCCCTTGGCATGTCACTCACTGGGCTGAACACGCCCGATAATTCACGGGGCATCATTCCGAATGGGGCAGGCAAAGTCCTTTGGGACCAGGACATGGGGAATTACAATGCGTACGAGTGCTCACTGCCCTCTCCGAAACGCACCGTGTACTGACTGCGTCAAAGGACCGCCGGCCTTTTCTCGACTCCCAATGAGCTGGGCAAGTTTGTCCGCGGCATCATGAACCACGAGCTTCTGTCTGCCGCGAACACAAGAGAGTGGATGCGCCCAGCTAGCTTCGCTGGCTCATACTCCATGTCTGTTGGCGCGCCATGGGAAATCTTCCGCGTTGCCCATCTCACGCCTGATCAGCGACCCATTGACATCTACACCAAGTCGGGTAGCATGCCCGGCTGGGGGACATACGTATTTTTTGTCCCCGACTACAATGTCGGAGGCGCCATTGCTGTTTCTGGAGATGATGGAGATGCGGCTAGTTTGGCACTGCTTGATATGGTTGCCGCTACATTCGTTCCGGCTGTCGACTCTCTTGCACGACAGCAAGCCAAAGCAGCTTACACGGGACAATATGGTGCATCGTCCAACGACAATAAACCCATGAATGAAACAGCCCATCTCGAGCTAGTCATTGACCAGGGGCCGGGATTGAAGGTCAAGTCATGGTTCAACAACGGAAAATCCATAATCAAGGCCATCGCAGATCACAAGGGAGTCAAGCCGGAGGGGACGGATCTTCGACTTTACCCAATTGGTGAGAATAACAGATGGCAACTGAGCGTTGAGACGCTGAAGCGACGGGTTGACGTAGCTAGGAAGCCGAGTGACGCTTGTTCGAATTGGTTTCAAACCGATTCCATGCGCTGGGCGACGCTGCCGGTTGATGAGTTCGACTTTGAGGTCACCAATGGACGGGTAGTTGGGGTTCGGAACCTGGGCTTGAGAGCAAATCTCAGCAAGATCCACTAGGTGCCAAAGATATATACGAGTATACCACTCAACAGTGCGAAGTATGTTGTCGTATATCGTTGTATGACAACCAATGGCCATGTACCGGGTCTGGTGAAATACCTACCTGGGTACTGTCGCCTTCCACCGGAGCTGGGGAAGCTTGAGCACCACCATGATGCGTCCGGGGTCCAAGAAACGTTGCACTAGTTAGCCCATCAAAATGATGTCATCGCGATGGGGCACGTCTGTCAAAGAAGAAGAAAAAGCGATCTATTTACGTTGATTTCCCATCTGCTGCCAAACTTCGTGTCCCGTGATGCTTGCGTTCTGCAGCGGTTGCAGGTTCCAGTGCCGCACGAGCTCCCATTGAATCCCACCGTTCGCCAGATGGCGGCGGAACAATAATGCTCCGTCACCGATGACGAGTAGCCTGCCTGCCCCAGTAAGCTTCACCAGCTGTCATGGCTCGTGCGCCGCCTATGCAGCCTCGCCTTCGGACGGAAAGCTCCTCCAGAACTTCGCCTCTTTCCTCCGTCGCCCTTGTCACCTGCTCGTCATCCGCCATCCACATCGAGTCGATCAAGGTGCACTCAACGACCAAGTGCGAAGATTCGATTATTTCCACCATTGATTTCGCTCCGAAATCTGCCATCGTGACGCTTACGACGCGATCGGATTGATGGTCCTGCTGCTGAACCGCAAGAGGTGATCCGCGTAACAGCACCAACGGCCGAAAGAGGATCACGTATTTCTTGCAGGACTGTAGTATCTGGCTCTAGACGATTGAGGTCTAGGAGATATTCATAGGATCACGGGTTGTTGGTCCGCATTGCCTGTACCATTCCAGGAACGGATTTGTTCACCTGGTCTCGTTGGGTTGATGATTGAGAACTACCAGGGACTATATGATACAGGAGTCCGTCTTCTAAGCTGATGCGATTACTTTGTTCTTTATTAATTTTCTACTACATTGTACGTATTAGAGCTTTTGTATCTCTCACTTTTTTGCTCTTTCTTTTCTTCTTTTCTGTCTTTTGCAGTCATCTTCCTCTATTGGCGGTTCTGGTTTCTTCGTTTTGTACCTAAGCCTCCCTTGATTTCCGAGGTAGTAACGATCACTTCGAGACTAATAAATATGATTACGAAAGACCAAGGGCCTCCTCACACCATCACTCGATCACATAATAAGGTCATAGGCAGCTGCTGTTCCGTCGATTCATACTGCCTGCAAATAAGCATCGCTCTGCTCTCTTCGGCTTGCGTATTTCAACATGGCGGAAGCTGACTTTGAGATCGACTTCTACGGAGATACTGCCACCGACCAGCAGTCGGAACACCAGGATGGAAACCAACACAACGAAAGTGACTACCAAGGCCATGACGAAACCAATGGAGGAGATGAACATACGGACAGCCACAAAGGCCATCACGATGACCATCACGAGCAAGCCGAAAGCCATACCCATCAACAAGGCATAAAACGAAAGTCAGAAGAGGATGACCGACCAGTTGATCCAGCCGCCACTTCTGCACTTATGGTCTCAGAACTGAGTTGGTGGACCACGGATGATGATATTCGAGGGTGGCTTCGGAAAGCAGACGGCGAAACCGACATCAAGGAGATGACATTTAGTGAGCACAAGGTAAATGGAAAAAGTAAAGGGTAAGATGATCCAATATGTAACACACGTTCTGAAGTGAGGAGCGACCCGCTCACAAGTCTTGCAGACAAGCATATATTGAGTTCTACTCACGCCAAGCCGCCACGTCGGCAAAACGTTGCATAGATCAGCTAGCCAACGATGGTGGCCAGTCTTGGCAGAAGAAGTTGTTGCCTACATATTGGAACTCGGCAGTGAACCCTTTCAGGACGCTGCCCAAGGATGCCCCAGCACGAGGAGTGAAAGAACAGCCGAGAGCCTCCCCGCCAGGCCCCTATGCCGAACGCGGCAACTACAGTGGAGGTTACCGCGGCCGTGGAGGATTTGGCAACCGAGGAAATATGAACCAGGGCAACTTCAACACTAACCGCAACTATAACAATAGCAACATGGGATTTAACAACAACATGGGCGGTGGGTTCAATGGCCCCATGGGTGGTAACTTTGGCTTCAACAACCGCGGTAATATGATGGGTGGCGGCATGCGCGGCGGGCCTGGAGGTATGAGAGGTAATCGCGGCGGCGGTAACATGATGGGAATGAACCCCATGGGCGGTATGCCGATGGGTATGCCTGGTAACATGGGCATGATGGGCATGGGTGGTGGGATGCCAGGTATGTGCACAATTTTTCTCGCCAACACGCCGTGTATTTCAAGTCACCCTCTAATCCGCAGCAGGCTTCCAAGGCATGGGTCCCAACTTTGGAGGTGGCTTCGGTTTCGGCCAGAACCAAGGCGGTGGTGGCGGCGATTGGGGTAATCCGCATGGAGTGAAGCGTCCTCGACCAGAGTGAAGAGCTGCTGGTCGTCCAAACTGCAGGGGATCACGTTAACTCGTCATGAAATTGCTCCGTGTACAGCAACGGGTAGGATAATATACGCACAATTTTTTGGAGGCCTCGGGACTAGCTGCATTCATGTACTATAGACAAATTACGGACAGGTTGCTACGGAAATGGCGCGAATAGCGTTGGATGGGTTTGTTTTAATGGCATCTATTCAAAAGGGAAAAAAAAAATTTCACCATCTGTCACTGCCTATCTGGACATTCAACCAGCTGTGTGAACACGTCATCGTCGATTCATGTCCTCAATTACGGAGCAAAACATGGCATTTTTATTGCAGTCTCACTATGGTGGCGGTAACCAGTTCACCCATCTGCAACCACCTCTCTCTCAAAGCACTCCTAGAAACCTCGTTCCCGGCAGTACACCGCTCCAGCTCAGTCAATTTGCTCCTCAGGTCCTTGTCGCACGCCCTCAAAACCTGCACCAGCTTGTCGTTGACAGCGTCCCGGTCCACATCCTCGTCCCTCAAGCCGTCGAGCACGTCTCTCCACTGGGTATACGAGCAGCACAGCATGCGCAGCGCCGTGTGCGTCCTGTAGCAGGCCGTTTCCGAGTCGAGCATGTACCTGCCCCAGAAGCCGGTCTCTTCCAGCTCCGCTTTCTGTCTCTTCGTAAACAGCGGACACAGGTGGTCGTCTAGGCAGATCTCGTCCCAGGGGTTCGTGGCCCCCGGCAGCGTGAAGCCGTATTCCACCAGCAGGAAGTCATTGGAGTGCGAGCCGTACCGGATAAACAGCTCGTCGCCCTGCTCGACTGGGTGCGTCGTGGTGATGGTGAATGAGGCATCGTCAAAGGCAACTTTACACCCGTCGGGCGAGTGGTTGAACAGATCGGCGACGGGCTGGAGAACCATGTGGTCTGCCTTGGGGAGCTTCTCAGTCGCCCGGGTGACGTGGTAGAATGTTCGGCTGTTGACTAGGTGCCACGAGTAGAGAAATTGGGTCCTGGATATGGAGGGGTGCGCGGCCGTGACGAGGGCCCAGTCCGTGTCAAACTTGGTCTTTTGCTTGGCAAGGAGAGCTTTTGCGTTGGGAGGCAAGAGATGCTGTAGCTCTGAGGGCCAGCTCAGCGGCATGCAGGTCCTGATGTCGTCTTCTGTGGGGAATACGGCTCTCCATGTGGCGAATTCGGGGTCGGTTTCTAGACAGAGGGATGTGGCGAGGATGGCGTGGACGGTTGACCCTTTGAGGCTGTGGAGGATGGGTTGGGGTGTGTTTTTTAGAGTCCTGAGCATGTTCAATGGGACTGTGAGGATGTCTTCGCCGGTCTGTGGGATGCTTAGCTAGAGTTGGATGGATCATGGGGGTAGGGGAGATGAAAGACCTTCAAGGCGCGAGTTGCGACGATACCTATACCACGGCCTGGAAGCGGTTTAGGGCCGATTCCGTTGATGGTTACGCCCTTTATCTCTGCCCAGTTGAGCAGGCGCTCGATTTCCTGCATTTTGAGTAATGGGTGAGACTGCCCGTTTGGCAATGGCGTCGAGGTTACTTCTTTCTTTTTTTGCCTACAGAGTGTTGGATGTTCCTGGTAGGAATTTTGGGCAATGGCATGAGTGAGCCAATGGCTTCAAGAGGTTGAATATAACATGGTTGTAGGACATGTGCGCTGTGCAGCCTTTTGAGGGTGATGTATAAAATTGGAAATGCTTAGCGTAAGCTCTCAAAGTGAGGTTGAAGCACACCATGACTCCATGAGCATCGAGCAATGGTGGAAGTGGGGAACCAGTCAAAATCATCAGCTCCAGGCAAACAACTCACAACAAGATGCAACAAGACGTCGACTGATGCCTGGCATCCAACATGGCGAGTCGCATTGTTTTGCCCGAGTTCTTCATAGTGCTAGACAACAATGGGGAGTTGACCCAGACGAGCTTCAGCCTAACCGACCATGTCGCCTCCCTCCCAACACCTAGCTTCATCTCTTGCAATTTAAAGCGATCAAAGTAATCACCTATAGAATGGCGCATTGCCGGTCCTAAGTCTGACGGTGCCAATGCAATGCCAACGCGCTATCACGCAAAGCAACATCATCTGGAGTGGCAAAACGAAGAGCTCTGCGAGCCCTTATGAGCCGAGAATTACGTCGAATCGATGGTGTATTGTGAGACGAATCGCGTGGTCTCTGCCTCAGAGAGGGTTGTGAATGGTGTTGATTTGATGCATAGCCGCGGACATATGAAGTGCACTGGTCCGGACTGACTTAACCAGTGATACACGAGCTTGTCTGTTAAGAGCTTGTAGATGGTAACAAACCACCGGAAAATTGAAGTTGTAAATCGCATGACTTGGAGATTGCATCGTGCGTCGGCGCTTTGCGAGTTGTGCAACCAACACAACACCGACACTTTGGTCCGTACACACAGCCTTCCGAGACTCACGCAGAGATAGAGAGCCAAGACGCTCTACGCCGCTGTTTACTTGAAAGCATGACAAGGATCAAGACGCCTGGAGGCATTGCTGTTGAGGATAAAGGTCACTGCAAGGAACTCATGAAGGTAACTGAGTACTTGGACCCACCAAATAGGAAAGCGTCTGGTCCCATCGTCGTTCCACCAAGGCACCTATGTACAAGGCTACATCTCTTACATGAACTTCCGTCTCACAACCTCTGGCGCTGGTATAATCGCCGGCTTCCCAATTCGACAATTCAATGGATCTGGCATTGCGACGAGCTCAGCCAGCTACGACAGCTCGCCATGCTGTCCGCGCTGTAACCTGCGCGAGCTGTTCGCAATCCAATTCTAGACAATTCTCGGTGCTGAACCGACCACCGCCCAACTATCCTGGCCATGTGCCTCTCACGAAGCTCGAGCGACTCGGTATGGCAATCGGGTCCAGTGCCATGGCACTGATCAATCCCTACCGTGCCGGTATGAAATCTATCCGTCATGGCTTCTCTCCCGAGCTTCTGTACCTAACATGTTTAGACCTCATCGCGCAAGTGGGCGAATCCACCGCGACACCATACTTCATCTACCGCCTCCGCGACGCCATGCTTGCCGACCCAACCGGCCGCCGCATCCTCCGTCTCCGGCCCCGAATTACATCCAAAACCCTCTCCATGTCCTATCTCCGCTCCCTCCCCGAGAACACCGTCGGCCGCACCTACGTGGGCTGGCTCGACCGCGAGGGCGTATCGCCCGACACCCGCTCCGAAACCCGCTACATCGACGACGAAGAGTGCGCATACGTCATGCAGCGCTACCGCGAATGCCACGACTTTTACCACTCCATCACCGGCTTGCCTATTGTTCGCGAAGGCGAAGTTGCTCTCAAGGCGTTTGAATGGGCCAATACATTGCTGCCCATGCCGGGCTTGAGCATGTTTGCCGCCGCGACCATGAAGCCGCAGGAGAGACAGCGCTTCTGGGACATTTACCTGCCCTGGGCGTTGCGGAATGGATCCAGAAGCAAGGAGGTGATTAATGTCTTTTGGGAAGAGCAGCTGGAGCGGGATGTCGAGGAGCTGAGGGGGGAATTGGGCATTGAGCAGCCTCCTGATCTGAGGGCGATACGGAAGGCCGCGAGGGAGGAGAAGAAGAGATTGAACGAGATCAAGGCCAAGGGCATCTGAGTGTAACATATTAGAACTTCTTTTTTTGTTGGAGTATATTGCATAGTAAGCGCTTGTTTCAAATAGACATGGACTTGTCTCGTTATATCAACCAAACCACAGTAGCACCAATCCACGCAAGAGAATCAGTACGAATCACCCGCAGCATCAAACGAATTGATTGACAAAAAAATCATGGTATCGTAAGTATAATCCAGCCCGGGTTTCACCTCGCGCACAATGTGCTCTTTTGCCCCTTCACAAGTCCAACAGGTCGTCGTCGTCGTCGTCCCAGCCCTTCCGTCTGCTCACCACAATTTTCTCCTCCTCCTTGTTGTCCGCCATCGCATTCAGCAGCTCCTTCAGCTGCGTCTCCGTGACCTTCTGCCTCAGCTGGCCCGTCTGCGCCAGCGTGATCAATCTGTTCTCGATATCCGTCGCACGCTGCTCCTTCACGAGCCTGATGCGGCCCAGGCGGTCGGCGGCCTCGGGGTGCAGAATCTGATTCAATATGTGCTGGCGAGCATCATCTTGCTGTCTGAACATGCACAAGAAGGGTTAGTGCGCTGGGCCCGGTTGTCAGGGGGACATGTGGGATGTGGGAGACGTGCTGTTTTTGGCGTTCTTGGTCCTGGCCGCCGTTGTTGGATGATGGGCCACCGCTGCCTGCGCCGGACTGCGCCTTGAGCTGCTCGAGGCGAGCCCTTCTGATCTATCGCGAGCTAGTTAGATGGGCTTGCAACGGAGAAGGGTACGAAGCAGAGGTACCTGCTCGAGTTCGGAGTCGTCCATGGTGACTTGTTTGGATTGAAGATGGTTCGAGGTAACGGCGGGGCAAGCTTGCTGCTGGAGGGGCAGCCTAGATAGCTTCAGTGGGCATCACGTGAGCAAGGTAGAAACAATGGAACGAAACGCAAAATGACGGACTGCGTGAATATTGACATTGTTTAGCAGTCTGTTAGGTAGGTGACCCTATTTTTGGTACGATATCCTCAGGCAAGACATGCTGGCAGGTCACGGCATAGTTGGCTAGACTTGACTAGACTTTACCATTGAAAATGTAACCCTTTATACACGCCCTTGCTATGCTGAAATACATAATAAAAACAATACAGCTATTGTACAGCCATCACCGTGGCATTGTCCTATATCTGAATGCCAAATGGCTCGGTATGGATGTCTCCTCCACCGGTATAAATGAGTTGAGTCGCTCGATTGCTTGAGAATGCTTCGCCTTGATCATATCGCGCATCATCAAATTCATGTGCAGGTCCAATCCTAGCTTCTGGCCACGCCGCAGGAAATATCCATTCAAATACTCCACGTCTGTTGGTAATCCGTTCTCAATTCGCCTCACCAGCTGGCTTGGCTGTGATCGCTTCCCCATTATTCTGCTGTACATAAACTTTCGAATGCCCTTGCTTTGGACATAGTCTCTGATAACTGTGGATCCTTCTAGTTCCGGCATGCTTTCGAGAACTTGGATTATCTCGGACAGTAAACTATGCATCATGCGTTGTGCCGCTGGGTTTTGCAGTAGGCCTTGGTATGGCATCTCCAGGAGCACACATACAGGCTCAACGACAGAGTCGAAGATGACTGTAGGCAGCTTAAATCGGAGCCACTGGTCAAACGGAGTCAGTGTCGTATGCAGGTCCTTTGCTTCTTCTAATGTCTTGACAAAATTCGGTCGCGACTCGACTTTGTGCATATCCTTGACGCGCATACGAGGCGCCTCGGCAAAGGTCAACTTTGTTTGGCCTTGCTTAAGCTGGGTAACTGCGTCGTAGGTTCGATTAAACGCCAGGCGGTGGCTCATGTGGCCTAGCAAGAAGTTTGGTGCGGCATCCGATCCCTCGAAAATCTTCTTCCTCACATCCTCCAGCACACCAAGCCCATCGTTCATCAAACATACTGTAGTATTTCCATCGATTCGATTTTTCACCGATTGGAGAGCCTCTACAGCTTCTTGACCTCGGCCTGATACCACAAGCTGGTCAATCCGTGAATCATCGCTCTGGGTAATGGCCCGAGGCATAGCGAGGTTGGCTTCGACGTTGGCAGCTGACCGTCGGTTGTGAGGACGGACTTTCTGGATGTTTCGATATTTTGAGGAAGGGCTGCTTCTCCATCCAAGCATTTCGACGGAATCGTATACGCTTGACAACGCATGGGCAATAAATTTGGACCGTTCATCGTCGCCCAAAATATGAATTTTGTGTACAGTCGCTGAGTTTGCCGCTTCCTTGGGGAGCAGCACGGAAGGTACGTAGAACTGAGGTGTTGGCCGCGGCTTGGCTATTGATGGCTCGGGTTGAGATGAGATCGACCATGGCCGTTGTAGCGGGCTTGCTGTACTGCTCGGAGGCGCCGGCTCGCGCAATTTGTGTCCATCAGTGCTCGAAGCAACAGTGCCGTAACGACACCTGGCCACCCGGCCATCGCAGGGACTACCTCGGATGCATGATGTGTATTTCTGAGATATCCGTGCGGATAACCGCAAATTTCTTAGTCCAGCCACCTTGAAGGCTATTATGAAGAGGCTCGCGAACGTCGCAAGGGGAAGGTGTGGCGAAGGCGGGTGTCCCGAAGAAGTACCCAGCTATCGCTCACATTAGACAATACAACAGGAAAGTAGAATGGATTGTCTTATCGGCTGTCTTGTTGACAGGTCGCAAGCTCGCGTCGAACGTCGAGTTGAGCTCAATCGCTAGAGAGTAGCAAGGCAATGAATGAGGTGATGAAGATCCCGGCCCGGGAAATGATGGAGTTTTCCGGCTCCTTGAAAAATCGCCATCACGTGAGCCAATCAGGAGCCAGCAGTTCCTACTCAGAATAGCCCCATAAATTCTGCAAAAGACAGCCTCTGATTTGCCAAACTCAAACCATCACAGGTCGATCACAGACCTGGCCACACCTGACCGCAGCCAGACAGCACAGCGAGAGCCGCAGATGGCTTGCAGGGCTGTCCGTTTGGCGTGAAGACGTGAGGTTCACTTGGATAGCTTTTGCTTTTTCCTATTTAGGGAGTTTCTATCTCTGTTCGTTCAATTTCACAACTGTATCGAGCCCTGTTGCCTACTCTTCGGTCCTACGTCAACTGAAACCATGCAGATTTGCTCGGAATAGACTCCGGTCGCGGCAATGCAGAGCCAAGAATGTGCCAGAAGTTGCCAACATGGCTGACCTTGTTGCCGTTAAGTGACTAGGCGAATCGGAAGAAACTCCCGCGAACAGACGAGAACAAGCATCGCTTTCCGAGGGATAAATTACGCCTTTGGAGTGGGTCGCTTGTCACCTTGTTGAGTTGGAGGATTTTCTCGGTTTTAACTGGAATTTCCAGCCCAGACAGTGAATGTCGTGCCAAGCATGGTTGGGCCAATATAAATAAGGGCCGGCCCCTCGTTGACCGGCATATGTTTATGGATATTGTTTAAACTACAAAATCATTTCACTAGTTGAAGAAGACAGTTTAAAGCATTTCGCCGTTGATGAGTCGATTATCATGGCAACCTGTACTCAAACGCAAGTGGCCTTGGCGCCATCTGTGACCCTCAACACTCACGATACTGCTCAGCGGCAATTGTCAGAAACCAGCAGCGCCAGTGAGTCCAGTGATTCGATTGACGAAGCTCGTCAGATGTCTCCGTTCCGCAAGGTGGCCGTGATCATACAACTATCTGGAGTCAACTTCGCTTCCAGCGCTGTCAATGGCCTTGTCGTCGTCAGCCTACCTACCATTACTGCCGATGTCAACCTAGATCCTTCGTTGGCATTTTGGCCAACTTCGGTCTCAAACTTGGCCAATGCCTCTACCATCTTGCTTGCCGGCTCTCTGGCCGACTCGATTGGCCCACGAACGGTTAATCTTGCTGGCAGTATTGTAACAGGGGCCTTCATACTCGCCTCCGGTGCAAGTAAAACAGGTCCTCAGCTGGTTGTGATGCGAGCCTTGCAGGGCGTTGGCTATGCCATGCATCTTGCGTCGTCTGTCGCCATTGTCACGAGCACCCTTCCACGTGGAAGACCACGGAACTTTGCCTTCTCCTGCCTTGGTCTTAGCCAACCCTTGGGTTTCTCGTTTGGCCTAGTTATTGGGGGCGTTCTTCAAGATCTCCTCGGTTGGAGAGCAGGCTGGTATATTTACGGATCTTTGACTCTTGTCCTCTCTGCGGTTGCCACCTGGGCGTTGCCAAAGTCCCTCTACGGAAGAACGTTTTGGGGCACCTTGCGCAATTGCAAGGAGCGAGTAGACTGGGTTGGCGCATTGCTCGCATCGGCTTTCATGGCGTTGCTGTCCTACCTGTTTGCGTAAGTTCATGCCTGTTTACACCAGTTTTTCCCAAGCTTACAGTCTTTGAAGAACTATTAGTGTCGATCTAAAAAGGATGCGAAACCCGGAAAGTATTGTATTCGTTTGCTTGATTGGGACTTTGTTGCCGCTGTTTATTGGCTGGGTTCATCGCCAAGTCCGGCTAGGCAAACCAGCATTGATTCCCAACTCACTGTGGAAGAATACTGCGTTTTCCAGCATTTGTGGTACAGTGGCTCTTTCGTTCGGTGTAACAACAGCCATGGAGTTGTTCTCCAGTCTGTTGTAAGTGCGAAGCCCGTAAGTAGCCAGCATTTCTGTACTAACAAGGTTTCCAGTTTCCAGGAGGTCCAGCACCTCTCTGCTCTTCAAACTGGCCTCAGAATCATACCCAGTCTAGTCGTTGGGGTTATTCTTAACTTCACTACAGGTCTATTTGTCGACAGAGTCCCAGCTCTGTGGCTTGTGACAGGGTCATCCGTGATCTGTTCAATCTCTCCTCTCCTAATGGCCGCGATCAAGGTGCAATCCCCGTATTGGACCAATGCCTTCATTGCCCAGCTGCTGTCACCGGTGAGCACGGATGTACTCTTCACAGTGGGTCTAATCATCATCTCGGATAACTTCCCTGATGACACGCAAGCACTGGCCGGTGCCGTGTTCAATACCGCATCTCAATTTGGCCAGGCGCTCGTCTTGGGCATAATGCAAATTGTGTCAACGGTTGTGACCAAGGACAACAGTGGCAAGAGCATGCCGATGGCTGTCATGGAGGGACTCAGGGCAAGCTTCTGGACCATGTTTGGCCTCATGATGGTCTGCACTTTATGGGGAGCAGTCGGTCTACGAAAGACGGGGAAAGTTGGGCTCAAGCGAGATTAGACTTGTGGTCATCGCCGCGCGACTGTGGTGGTCACAAGAGGAAGGAAGGAAGAAGTAGAAAAGTCAAATGCACCACATGTCATATGAAGTCATCACATAGCATAATTAGTGACAGCAAGCGACAAATACCACATTTTCGTCTTTGACACAGCCATGATACGCCACAAGGTACGTCTGGTTGTCTCGTCGCAAATATTTCCAAAAACTGCATACTGAATTTGAACGGGTCAGCTCGGCAATCCTCAGAAGTCCGAGGTGGCATTCCTAAAGCGAAGGATACGTACTTGCCGCGTGTGTTTCACCACTGGCTGGTTGGCACCTGTCAGCCACCTGGCGCCTCATCGGGCCCCCAGGCCGAATTGGGAACATTTGATTGAAGTCATTCGATCAGGTATGTTTTTTTGGTTTCTTTACACGGAACGTCATGGCTCAACAAAAAAAGTATAAAATATGATGGGACGTCTCTTTCTTGGTTTAAAAAAGTTAGATGACGAACAAACACCTCTTTTCGCATACTTAACTTGCTCAGACCAACATCACAAATATGAAGATTATCATCATCGGAGCTGGAATCGCAGGCTGCACAATCTACCTTGAACTGCGGAAGCATCTTCCCAAACCACCCTCTGGAGAAGCGCACAAAATCACAATCTACGAGGCGTACGACACAAATATTGACACTACTGCTGATGATCGCGGCAATGGTCCAACCTATTCCTCCACCCTCATTGTGGGCGGCGGTCTGGGGGTTGCTGCCAACGGACTCAACGTCATCAAGCGGCTGGATGAGAACATGCTGCGTGAAATCGTCCGCGGCGGATATAGCTGTGCCACGATGAACATGAAGAGCAAAAATGGCAGAGTTCTAGCACGGATGCAGCCCGCCGGTAAGCCAGCTTTAGATGGAAAGGGACAAGGGACCATGAATACCGTTGCGTGTAGTCGCCATGGGCTGTGGCGGGAACTTCGTAAGAGGGTCCCGGACGACGATATTGTCACAAGGAGAGTTTCTGAAGTGGTCGCAAGGTCTGATGGCCTTAATGTGGTGAGTTTCGTCGATGGGAGTCCTTCTGCGGAGGCAGATCTAGTCATCGGCGCCGATGGGCTCAAGGGCCTGGCCAAGAAGGCATTGTTTCCGGGTGAAAAGACAGATCCATTCCCCCCGCATTATGAGTGAGTATTTCGCATCACTTAGTTGAAACTCGGCATCTGACAGTGTTGCAGGGGTCTTTGCGGAGTTGGTGGCTTCGCCCCTTACTCGCTCGTCAAAGGTCACGTTGAGATTGGATCGATGAACTTTGTCATGGGCGGCAACGGTTTCTTTGGGTATTTCATCGCAGAGAGCGCACTCGACGCACCCCATCGCGACTCTCCTTATCATGTTTCACCACCAGGCGAGAGCGTCGGTTGGTGGTCAACATATTCTGTCGACGAGTGTCCCGATCCAAAGTCGGTGGACAAGGAAGACATACTCAAACAGCTGCGCGAGCGTCACAAGAACTGGAAAGACCCTGTTATATGCAAAGTCCTTGAGACTTCAAAGGTGACGAGCATGTATCCTACGTGGATCGTGCCTCCGCTGCCAACGTGGGAGCGGGACGGCGTCGTCTTGGTAGGGGATGCTGCGCATGCGCTGCCCCCTACCTCCGGCCAAGGCAGCTCCCAAGCGCTGGAAGACGTCGAGTGCTTCTCTCTCTTTCTCGGCCACCACTTGGGCAAAGCCTATGAGTCTGGTGGGCATGATCCCACGGACTACAAAGAGGTCATCAGGGCGGCAGCGAAACAATACATGGATCTCCGCCAGCCTCACGTAAAGAGGATTCTCGATCACGCTCAACAGTCACAGAACCGCAAGCGCGACAAGACGGTCATCGAGGAATACATCATGTACGCCTTTATGTGGATGATAGGTAAGCAGGCCACCGAGATTGTAGCCTTTTGTCACATTTCTCTCCCTTCTCGTTTTCCCTTCTTTTTAGTGATTTAATCCTGTTGAGACACTGACACGGCACAGGGTGGTTCCCAAACGTAATGACGAAGCCGTTGAAACAGCTGGTGGAATACGATATTGCTTCCGAGGTATACAAGGTGTTACATGTCAAGTCATAAGGCTATATGCGCTCGTGTCTACTCTTGGGGCATAGGGACAACATGAGCTAGTGAAATCAGCACATACTCCGCTATTTACAGAGGTCAATGTTAGTATGTAATAGATCATCTACTCTCCGATCAACTTGCAGCTGCTAGTATAACTGCTGTACTTCCCTAATAGCATTACCTGTGGTTGCAGAGCCTGGCCCTGGTAACTCAACGCCGGGATTGTGAGTATGAATCTGGGCTCTCTTTAAACTTGGCCATTACGTTTCTTGCCTTGAGGATGTCCTTTGATATGAGTAATTACACTCAGATCTCGAAAGCAGGAGTTGCAATCACGACGCGATTCTACAGGCGCGACGGTCCTTGCAGACCTATTTGAAGAGGCCTCATGGTCAAGAAAGGCCTTTTTGCCCAGCCGTCTCCATGCTGAAACAAAAGACAAGGAATTCAGCACGCACACAAGTGGAAAATTGTTATTCAGTCCTAGTGAGGTGAGCCACAATCAAGAGTTAACCGTTCTGTACGCATGTCTGGTCAGTGTCGTACCATACACTCTATGCTTGAAAGCAAAACTTGAGCAGTGGATGTAGGACGGATTCTCTAGAACAAATATCGAAACCAGCTTTGAATCTCGGCAGGGTCAGGTCCGGAATAAGGTTGCGTCGGTCGGCAAACTCGATGAAAACGCCATTTTGGTCTTTTGTGCAACTCCTACTCTTGGACTGCGGACTACGGAGTTTAGAGTGCGGACTTGTTTTATTTTCTTTGTTTTTTTTTCTTCTCTCTCGATCAATACTCCATACACGGACGATAACGGTGAAATTAGGATTCAACGCAAAACTCCGACCCTTGATCAGCCTCGGCGCCTCATCTCCACTGACAAATCAAAAATCGCTGGCAAATGCGTGGCTTAATTGGGTAGACTTGTCAAGCTGCTCCCACGAAATACAACTCTAGGCGAAAATGAGTCCGCATCTCCAGCAGATTGCCACACTCGTGAGTCGTCGGCACTGTCGTGCAGTTGCGGGTTAGACCTTACCGGCATGATGGTTGCACCGAGACATAAGCACCGGAATGGATCTGGCCATGTAGATCCAGATGACTAAACAGAGGAGGTTCTCAAAGAAGGGAAGAGAATTGCAATGAAGACCTGCCATCGCGATACAAAAAGACAATCACGCGCAAATAGACTTTATCCTTTTGCAGCATCGAACCCGGATGTCAACTTGGCTGACGTGGAAGCTTACCTCTCCTCACCGAAACCTAAAAAGAAACCCGACGGGCCGCTCAACACTCACCTTGGCCGCGCATTAAAAACATTGCTCATTTGCATTCGCCATGGCCACGATGCAGTCTATTAACACGACGGCCTACTCGGACCCTTCCGGGTACCGGCTATCGTCTCTGCCCAAGCCCGAGGTCAGCGATCCTGGTGATGTGGTTATCCAGGTTCATGCGGCCAGCATCAACCCGATTGATGTGAAGAAAGCCGCCGGCGCCATGAAGATGGTGCTCAAGGACTCGTGAGTTGTATCCATCATTTCAAGCCCCTTTCCCATGACCACATGTGATGGCCCAATTGTCGCTTACACGTTACACGTCTCGCATAGTTTTCCATACAAGGTCGGATACGACTGCGCCGGCATCGTGCTGGCCGTTGGGGAAACCGTCACGCGAGTCAAAGTCGGCGACGAGGTGTACATCCGATTGCCTGAATCTCATCGAGGTACAGAGTCCCTCTTGACTTGGTACATCTAGTCGCCGCAGCACTACTAACTCTGGCGACACAGGATCCTGGAGTCAGTTTGCGAAATGCCCCGAGAGCTACGTGGCTCTCAAGCCGGCATCCCTGTCCTTCGAGGCAGCCGCCTCGCTTCCTCTCGCTGCCATGACGGCCTTCCAGGCCCTCAAGAAGTACGACGGCTCACTAGCCGGGAAGACGGTATTTGTACCTGCCGGCCGTGCGTATTTCCCTCCTCCCACTCCATCCCGACAAGCACGAAGCAATCCAGTATAATACGTTAGCTAACAGAGATTGCACCTTCTAGTCAGCGGGACAGGTTCCTATGCGTGCCAATTGGCCAAGAACGTGTTTGGAGCAGGCAAGGTCATTACCACCGTGTCGACATCCAAGGTAGCCAGAGTCCCCGAACTCCTTGGCCAAGGCGTCGTTGACGAAAGTATGTATTTTTTTTCACGCCTACATGTCCAACAACTTCCCAGAGAGTTGATTCTATGCCCCAAGTTTCAGTTCCAAATCCCTCCCCTCATGACGGGCCCCTTGCTGACGGGCAATTCGCACAGTCATCGACTACACCCAGGCAAACCCGGCAGCCAGCATCCCCGCCAAGTCGGTAGACTTCATGCTCGACACCACCGGCCAGGCAATGGAGTTCCTGAGCCGGATGGTCCCGGAGACAGGCCTCGTCGTCTCCATCTCCACCACGCCGTCCGGCAAGCAGATGCAGGACGCGGCCGTCACCAGGTCGTCCGACTCGGGCAAGATTCCGTTCGTAGCCTCCACCGTGCTGAACACGCTGGATTCTATGCGCAAGTGGCGCGCGAAGCGGTGGCGCGTCAGCTACGAGTACATGTTCCTGGACCCCAGCGGTGCTGACCTCGATGCGCTGCGTGAGCATGTCGCCGCCGGAAAGCTGAAGCCTGTTGTAGGACTCACGGTCAAGTTTGAGGACATCGAGGCCGTTAGGCAGGCTGCCATGACTTCATACCAGGGAAAAGGCGGCATCGGGAAGACTGTGATTAAAATGGACGTCAAGTGAGATTCTGTCAATTTCCCGAGTCTTTCTCGAATGGGCTCGCCTTGGTCATGGTCTTGTCGCGGTTAAAATCTGTTTTGCTGGGCTCCTTCACACAAAGGCTGGGTTTTTAATTTTTCATAATACCACTTATGTCCGTACAATGCGGCTAAAACCACTTGGCATTTTCGTAATTATTTCATAGTCATCGGAAAACCTTGAACATGTCGGCGCACCAACCCCTAACGTGTGGACGAGCCCCCCAAAGCATCAATAACCTCCCTCGCACCCCGAAGTCCAGAACGAACCGCGCCCTCCATATACCCCCTCCACACATCCGCCGTCTCCGTCCCAACAAAGTGAATGTTCTGAAACGGCTCATACAGCGCCTTGCCGGCCTCGCTTGTAAGCAGCCCAGGAGGCATCACAGGACTAGGCGCACCCAATGTCCAGGGGTCTTTTGTCCACTCCTTCTCGATGACGTTGACGGGATCGGGAATCCCCTCCCCCGTCGCGGTTTCAAACGCCGTCTTAAATTCCTCGAGCACAGCGGTCCGCCTCTCCTCCGCGGACAAACGAGACCAGGAGCGCCCCGTCTCTCCCGTGTGAAAGCACGTAATGCTGTATTGGCCATCTTCAGGGACACAAGTATCCCGCGTGAAGGAAATCGCAGTACCAGTAGACGTGTATACCCCCGATAGGTCGGCGGCAAGCCACCACGGTTCTGAAAATACAAGAATTGTCTTTGAGTAGTAGCCCAGCTTGGTGGATTGGCTGAGAAGCTGCTTGGGCTGCGGCAGCCTGGGGGAGAATTGGACAGTGGGGAGGAGACAGCTTGGAAGGGACATGATGACTTTCTTGGCCGTGTATTTGTCCCCGGTTTTGGATTCGACGACGCATCCTGTGGCGGACTGGGTAATGCTTGTGACTGGGCTGGAGAGTTTGACGGCACCGGGTGTCAACCCTCGTGCTATTTCAACGCTGAAACTCTGGTTTCCTGAGGCCATGGACGTTAGTTTACGTCTTGATCTTGTGACTGTGTTGATGTATACATCTACGCATGTCTTCGTTGGAGATGGGTGGCATTCTCACCTTGGCGGTTTCGTAGGTACTGCCCCCCGTTCTTCCCATCAGAAATCATGTTTGCAAGTCCGGCTGCGCGCTTGATGGTGTCCAGAAAGTACAATGCGCTGGGATAGCTGCTTTCCAACCCCACAAGTGCCTTGACCAGCTCGTTCACGAGAGTGTTTGCATCCTCGTTTTTGAACTTGTCTGCCACAAAATCGTGCAGCGACACCGAGTCGAGTGTCTCTGCGTGGGGTGTGAGGCTAGGATCGCTGGTATTGCTTTTCTCGGCAAGCTCTCCGATCTTTTGTAGAAGATGCATGAGCCGCTCGAGTTGTTCTGGCTCCAACTATGACACGCGCATGGTTAATATTACGAGATTAGGAATGCCGCGCTTTTCTTGGTATCATTGTATAACGTAAACGTACGTTTGCCAGCATTCCGTAGGGAACCTTGTCAATTTTGCCATCTGGGGCTCTGACCATTGAGTCCCCTTCATCTCGTTGCTTGACGAGATCAAAGCTGAATTCTTGGGCTAGCGAATACATTTCAGACTGGTTTGTATCGTTGATCCAAGCCGCGCCCAGGTCTACAACGCCAGTGCCCTTGGATGATGCAGGAACCGAGAGCGTCTTGCCGCCCACGCGGTCCATAGCTTCCAGGACAACATATTTCAGGCCTGCGGCGTGTATTTCTCTTGCTGCTCGGAGACCGCTTAGGCCAGCTCCAACTATTACAACGTCCAAGTTGTTGATTTGGGTTGTCGCCATGTTGAGATGTCGTGCTTGGAAAATGATTCAGGGTGTACCTCTTGGAAAAGTGAAGGACGAGTGATTGAGTTATTGTTCCAGATGTCGAGGCGAGCTGGGCAATATATAGCAGAAAATGAATGTTTTCAATGTCACCATGTCTTCAAACACGATGGTTACCACATAAAATGCCGAGAGATATCGACAATCTAGCCGCGATGTGACCGAATCGAATCGCTGGCTCCCAATTCTCGGAGCTCAAAACACCATTGTGAGCCACAGTCCACGCGTCCTAGGCAAGGATGGCAAGGGCCTAAGCACCGCCATGTATATGGATTCAGCCATGGCTCCAGCAATGACAGACACACTCACATCCTATGAGAACAGCTGATATGCATCAGCAACCTTGTTTTCGAGCCACACCAAGCGCGGCAAGAGAAAACAGTTGCCGCGCCCCTCAGATCTCACGTCGTCCCGCTTCACCCACTTACCACCCCGGGCAGCTTACTCTTAACTCTGGGGCTGAAGCTTCTCCGCATCTCATTCTTGTGCTGGATCTGAACAAGATGGACGGTATGGGCTGGGTCCATCGCCGGCCGCGGTCGCCGAGGCCTCCGGAGACTCCGGACACCAGATCGGCCAGCCAGGTTCCCCACAAAGTTCCATATCAGGCATGCGCGAACGAAGACCGGATGTACGACATGTTGTTGCCGTGAGAAGAAGTGCGACGAATCCCAGCCTCGCTGTACTGGTTGTATGAGAAACGGGCTGGGTTGCTGGCCCAAGGTTGATGAGCCTGCCAAAACCCAATGTCGGGGCAGAGAGAGACGCCAGCAGAGTCGGGGATATGCGTTCCAGACGGAAGAATATCAGACCCCGTTGCACTTGAACGTAGTTTTCTTGCTTCCCATGGAGGCAAGGACAAGTCTGACCTCGCAATCGCATCTCCTCCTCCAACACTACTTAACAGACACGGCTACCATGGTCTTCGCCGGCGTGCTGTCTCCGAACCCATTCATAACATACCTACTTCCGCTGGCGCTGACCAACCCGTTGCTCATGCATAGTATACTCACTGTCAGTGGCTCTCATCTCGCCTACAGGCTTGCGGAAGAAGCACAGGGAGCAAATTCTCCGTCCAAAGACTTAAATATAGCCAACGAAGCTTTGGTGAAGTGCATTAAGGCGTGGGCCATGGATCCGTTGCCAGATGTAGCCTCGAGCAGGGACACGGCAAGCCTCGAGGCTCGCATCTTTGACTCGGAGCAGAAGAGAAAAGCGGCAGAATGCCTACGCCAGACATTATAAATTTATGCTGCGCTGTCGCTGCTTGGTTCGTCGTCTCCTAGTGACGGTCTCAGAAGGGAGGTTCAGCAAAGGATTGACAGCACAATCCGCCTGGCGACATACCTGCGGAACTCGCCATGCTCAACAAATCTTCTATGGGCGATTTTCATTGCAGGCTCTTGCAAGGAGGATACAAAACAGCGTGAAGGACTCATTTATGGTCTCAAGAATAGCAGGTACCAAATGCAGCATCTGCGAGTTGTTCAACGAGGCTTGCAGTTGCTCTGGGCGGATGATGACACTCATGCCTATGGGCCGTTTGGTTTACGCTATGTCGCCCAGAAACATGGCCTTGGCCTGGTTATTGTGTAACTAAACAAGGCCTTCATTGAGCTGTACGTTTCTTCCAGCTTTGTATAAAGCATTACTATGGATGACCAAGAATTGAGATAGAAATCATATGCCACACTTACAGAGAGCTGACTGGCATATTCTCTCATTGAGTTGCCTGCTAGCGAAATTCGTTGATGTCGCTACAAGATCCGAACCCAGTCAATCATGCTATGGGGCCATGGCCATGTACTCGTCATGCTTTCATCAGAATACTACAGTGTAGGCGTTGCATCACTTGTTCTGTCAGAGTGTCAGCAATATCAAAAGACAACGCTGCGGGTTCCGCCGTAACTGAAGACTTGAAACATTTCATCGAGCCCAGCGAAACCAACCACCTGGTTCATATACCCGCGTGCATAAACATAGATAATTGTATATCCGCAAAGCCAAGGCATCGTGACTAGCTGTAGCTGGGGTCCCTTGTCCTCGAAGTACACACATCGGACTGTAGTCATATTATTCTTTTACACAGGACCTTGTTTGCTGATTTCACCTCTTTCAGCTGATGTTTGACGATACGTAGCTTCGGGCTGAGGTTGCAGTTCAACAATTGTGACCATCGCACTTGTCCTTGAACTACCCAGGTACCTAGGTTATGTAGCATCGTTGTTCAACGTGCCATCCTGGGGCCGAATGGCAACATTGAACCATTCACGCTTTAATGGCTCCACAACCGAAGGAATAAATAGGTCACTATCCCTTCGACAAAGCAGGCATCCCTAGCAATCTCTTTCAATAACGAGCAAGGTTGGTACGGTTGCTGGTTGGCGAAACCTTGTCTTCGGGCGAAAATGCTCTTGGGTTGTTGCCTCTAACTGCCATTCTCAGTCCAAACGGCCGGGTATCTTGTTGGTATTAGGACGAGGACCATGGACTCTGCCGGTTGTATGCAGCCTTCAGCTGGCGGGCCGAAGGCATGGAGGTTGCTGCATGCGCAGACGTACCATTACATGAAGGATTCGCGCAGGGTTTAGGGCTTGACATTTTCTAGCAATAGGACGGCCTTGTTGCAACCATGCCAAGCTTTCATGTCATGTAGACTGGCGGACTCGGGCCAGGGCTCTTCAATGCACTGACACGTGCCGGGGTCTTTTGTTTTCTTTATTTTGGGAATACTTTTTGTTACTATTGCTGGCATCATTTCTTGGGGGCGTCTTGTGCGGCACTGGCATCCGTCAGGAGTGTGGGACACTAATCCAGTCCTTCCCTTCGGACAAAATTCGGCGTTTGCTACTCGATAGGCAGAATGGCGAACGGCGAACGGCACGGTCTGGTCGTCGCCTTGCAAGGCATGAGGATCTTCTGGGTACTATCGCTTGCGTAGGGATCTCGGAGTATACCGTCAAGTTAGTTGCCTCATTCCAGACAACGGGGTTCCCAACATGTAACGCGGGGAAAGTTGAGGGGCCGAGGCCCAATGGGCGACCGGTTGAAGCCTTCTAAGTTCTAGCCCTTGCTAGCCTTTGAAGGTAGCTCCCGAAGCCGAAATGAGACGCAAGCGCTCCTCCCGCCAGTTTTTATTCTGATGGTTAGTCTGACCCAGCTCTGCGGCACCCAGTAGGCTCTAGTACTAGTAGTCTGGTACTACTAGGGGACGTTGGCCGAGCAGGGGTCCAGACGTCGCCTCGGACGGACAGCCTCGCTTGATGCCCACCAGACCCTTCCTCAGCACTGCCGGTCGATCATCACATGCGGCAACGGCAGCCGGACCAAACTAAAAAGCCATCGGCGTGGGGGAGAGACGGCTCGGAGTCGAAACACGGCAGTGACTTGTGGAATTGATTTGGGTGAGTGCGTAGTATGTGTCGCCAAATCAACCTAAAGGACGACCAAGAATCAGCGCTCGCTACTCCGTAGAAGAGATGCTCGGTCCCGCCTGCCTGAAGAAGTCAGGAGCTCTGGATATCAAATGTGACAACCATGCAAATACGAGACTTACGAAGCAAGGTCCAGGCACAAACCGACATGTATTATTCCTAGTCCAGGACACTCCAATGGCTGCGCAGCAATGACACCACAGAGGGGTTCGACCTTGGTTTTTTAAGATGACTGGTGGTAAGTGCCTAGAATATTGTCGCCGTGCTGCGTGCATGTAGATTCTGCAAGTACGGAGTACCGTACCTATCTGGAGTCCAAGCAATCAAATGGCAAGAGCGGACAGGACAGTCTTGGGCCTTGATGACAAAAAAAGGAACAAGCACTTGACTGGCCAAAGCGTCATGATGCGCTCCTGCAGGACATCAAGTCCCCGACACAAAACTTTACGTGATCCAAACTTCCCGAAGGCAAGGTCACATCTCAGCACCATCCCGTAACTACTTCATGCCGTTGTCGCAATGCCACCTGCAAGGGCACGGCACAGAATGCACGAACATGCAATCGCCTCCCGGAGCTACAAGCGATGCCCATTTTGGTTCTGCTTGCGCTGTGAGACACAAGGACCACAGGGCGGAACGGACCTGCATCACCACATTACTGCCCGTCGCCTTCATGAAACCCTCGGACCATCATCCTTGTTTGATCGAAGTTTAGGAAGCGGCGTGGCCTAGCCTGGCTACTTCTAAGTACTTAAGTACCTTACTTACTTAAGTACCTAGGTAGGTAGGTACCTAGTACCTTGAGTTAGTACTTAAGTAGTCATCGGCAAATTTGGCCACGGAAAACGTGCGCTGCGGCCGCATGGACTTTATGTACTCACCAAGCTCAACAAGCCCTACAAGACTCTGAGGACTCCGTCCACTCGGTCCCCAGCACCAACATCATCAGTCAATGATTCCGTCATCCTGCTAATAATAATAAATACTACCGAGTACCTGTCAGCGACCAAGTGGCTAGCCACTGCACTTGCTCCAGTGCCCCACAATCGGCGACAGCAGAAAAGATCACCACCCCTTGAAGCAACAACTGAGCCTGGCCACCTTGCCACTGGCGTAGCTCACCACGTACCAAGTACCCCGTTCCCCGTATGTACATGATGGACTAAGGCGGCATTCTGATTGTTACTTTTGTGTAGCATTGGCTTTGGAACCATCAAACGCCTCTGGGAGTCAGTCTTCACTTCAGTAGCAAACACAAAACCACTTTTCCACTCAACGCCACAAATGCGGTTCCCTACAGCCGGGATTATGTGGAGGCCCAGACACTGATGTGTGGAGAAACGCCATAATCCATGATCATTGACATCGGCGGACTGATAATTAGTGGCCCATGCCAGCAAGCCTCCGACTTCTTCCTTTATCATGGAATGTGGCCCGCCTCTTTCTGGAAGCTCACGAATCTTCATCATGCTGTCATTTTATCAGAAGATAGAAATTGGATGAACCGCAACCATGGTGTACGGTGGCAAGCCTTCGCGGGGCTGCCAAATGTGCAGAATTCGCAGAATTAAGGTACATACATGATTTGCCCATGCCCATACTCAACTCTTCTGCTTGTACAGTCCTGGAATAAACCAATTGGCGGGTTGTTGTCATTGCACTCGAAAAACTCGTTAACTGGTTCATAATACAGTGTGACGAAACAAAACCTACTTGCAAGCAGTGCGCAAAGGCGAGGCGCGTATGTCCCGGGTATCGAGACGTCAACCAATCTCATCCCGCTTCCGAAGGAGGTAGTGCAAGCTCACAAGTTCCGGACAAACCTCAGCAATCAGCAACACCATCACTCGCACCCAAGTCAGGAAGAAGCGACGGATTATCTTTGGAAGGCACTGGCACGCCTTCTCCACGCTCGTCTAGCGACAAGTCGATTCAAGCTCCGCCACCGCTAGCTGTAGACGAGCTTGCGTCCTGTCACTTCATTTCCAACTATGTTTTGATTCCTAAACAAGGCTTAGCAACTACTCGTGGGTTCTTGGAGTTCGTACTCCCCTTGTTAAAAACACCGGAGCCATCGCAGCACTTTCTCTATGCGTTCAAAGCATGTTCTCTAGCGTCTCTCAACAACCGTGTTGGAACTGGAAATGATTTTGACCGGGCCGCCCTGGGCTGCTACACGAAGGCTTTGGCTTGTACCTTCACAGCTTTGAAGGACCCAGTCTTGACAAAACGAGACGACACTCTGGCTGCCATCTTGCTACTTGGACTTTTTGAGAATATCACTGCAAAGACACTTGGAATGCTAGCATGGAGCTCCCACATCGAAGGTGCGATTCAGCTTGTCAAGTCCAGAGGTCAGGAGCAACTACGAAGCAAAATAGGCCTGGACCTATTCATTGCTGTCCGAACCCAGATGGTAAGTACTAGTATCGCCCGTCTTTGTTCCCAACCACTCTCCTTCTTAAAGCAACTCTAATGGGTCATGACTAGGTTATTCATTCCCTTAGTACTGGCAAACCACCAACACTCGACGTAGACTGGTGGGTCACCGATCCGGGTAGTAACGAGTATAGCATGCAGCTCCAGCAACTCAGTAGTCGTGTGGGAGAGCTCAAGAGCGAGGTCAATGCCCTTCTCGCCACAGTGACTCGCTCGTCTGAAAATATGGAGTTAATGAAAGACACGATACAAAATTGCAAGTCTCTGGACAAGGAAATCGTTACCTGGCTTCGAGAACTGCCAGAGCAATATATGTGGAAAACAGTTGCATGGGAGCCGTACAATCCAAGGTGCGATTATTCAAAGGCCGAGGTCTTTCCCGGCCGTATCGACGCCTACGTCGATTTATGGGTTGTAAACTTCTGGAATGTTATGCGTTGTATGCGTATTGTACTGGCGTCACTCACGATACGCTGCACAGCCTGGATCAACTTCCCGGCTGATTACCGTACGACTTCAGAATACGCGACGACAGTAAGAACTTGCGTTGAGGCAATTTCGGATATTATTGCCTCGGTGCCTTACCAAATGGGGCTCTTCTCAAAGCGCAAGGACTTGCGGAGTCACGCGACGCATTCCGTGTTTGGTTGCGGAGAAGACACATCAGAGAAAGGCTTAGCCGGGTATTTCTTACTTTGGCCGTTGGCCTGTATTCAGGGCCAGGATTATCTCACAGACTCTCAGAGGACTTGGGTGAAGGGACGCTTGAAGTCTATTGGCAACACTCTTGGTGTAAGATATGGCAACCTGCTGTCTCAGGTACGTAAAGCTAGTTGTTGTATCAGGACTGTCGCTACGTTCGCACTGATCGAGGCACATGACGTGTTGTAGCACTCGTATACTGACTCTCAATTAAAGTTAAACGTGCGGGTACCATCTATGCTGATTCTCCGGGACCGCCTGAAGAATGATCCTCACGAGATGCCAGCTGACATTGCAGCTATTATGGCCGGCACAGCAGCTAGCGGCGCCTCTCCTCCAAGCCCAGTCGCATCGACGGCTGGAGGAGCTATGCCACCGGGCTTACCCGGCATGTCAAACCCGGGGATATCAATCCCCGGGATGTCCGAAATACCGTCAGCTCCTGGCGCTTCAGCGGATGCTTTGGCGAATCAGGAAGCCATTCGTAAGCAGATGCTTAAGCGTCAAACGGAAGAACTGGTAACAAAGGCTGTGGAGAAACCTGGGAAGCTTGATGACTGGACGGTAAAGACGTGGCTGCAATTATAGTGTACCGATATGTTGCGTAACGGTAATAGGAGCAACAAAGTGGTGCAAGTTTACGGAGCAGATGAAATAGACTACAATATGTTTCTGGACGATGCCAGCGTTAGGCATCGGGCTGCGAGAAGGAATCAATTGTCCTAGATGTGACAAGAATCGAGAAGATGGATAGAAATATCCTGGAAGGAGGGCGTCCCACTTCTACTGCTCGTGCAATTTGAGGGATTCGATGTCTCTCGTCAAGTTTCGGCCTGCGTTTCATACACCCGCAGTTATTGACATCCATGCTAGTGTTGAACCATGACCAGTATATCAGATATTCAAAAAAGACCATGGAGTTAACGAAGCCGGCCACAAAATAATAAACAAATAAATGAAATAGTGATGGCTTTTTATTTTATTTCCACAAAGCTGCCTCAGTAATGTGCTGTTCTTTAAGTCCTGTTGCGCTGAGTAATGCTCTAGGTTAGCCCGCAAGCAACCCAAAATTAAAGTGGAGACGCAACGCGATACTCCGTAGACAGTCGAACATCAAAAAAGCTCTGCGTCACCAGCACCCTGACTTTGCAAAATGGTTTTACGAGCCATCCAAGACTTCCACTAGAGCCGAGACGGGTGAAAAATAAATCGAAATCGATCAGCAGCGTAAGAACCGTCTCGACTTTCAGCATGAGCGACGTCAAAGACATCAGCCCCGACCTGGACAGGCTGGACCGGCAGCTTGACAACCTCGAAGATGCGCTCGCGCCGTTGCTCAACAACCTCAATGAGAAGGCCTCTCAATTACCGCTCCTCGACAAGGCCAAGCTATTTTCCCTGACGGCCTATTCAATCGAATCCCTTCTCTTCTGTGAGCATGCGCCACTCGCCCTCTGTTTATGAGCGACGGGCTGTTACTGACTTGGCTGTTTAATAGCCTATCTGAGACTCCAGGGCTTAGACGCCCAGAACCATGCCGTATACGCTGAGCTGAAGCGTGTGCAGCAGTATTTCGGCAAGATCAAAGCCGCCGAGGAGCCGGAGACGCAGAGAAGCCTGGTGGTGAACCAGGAAGCCGCGGCTCGGATCTTGAAGGCCGATTTGGTACGTGGATTCACGCCCCCCTTTTATCCATGGGAAATCTGCTGGGGGAGCATACGAGAGCTGACCTCTTTTGAAATGTAGGCCGACAACAAGTCTATCAGCAGCAAGCTGGCTGAAAAGATTGCTGAAGAGCGTGCCAAGGCGCTGCTCAAGTCGGTGGAGAGCAGGAAACGACCTGCTGATGAATCGGCTGCGTCTGGGGGATCGGGCAGTGATGCGCAGGTGAACAAGAAGAGGAAGCAGAAGGGAAGGGGGAAGGGGAAGCAGAAATGATGGGGGTATCGTGGATGACATATCGTGGTGGTATGAGCCACGGAGATGTGGTGTTTGGCACTTGGTGGCTTCTTTTTCTGGAAGCGTTACTGGCTGACCGGCTGGAAACTGGGTATTTTGTTGGACACGGATGACGCTTTTGTTCCCTTTCCATCCTTGGGTTTATTATGGTCATTCATAGTCACGGAGCATGGCGTCGGGATACACTGTTTTGATTAGATGGACCTGAACAAGAATAAATGCTTGAATTCCTCGTCAAACCATGATGCTGCAACTGGAAAAACATGGTGGTTTACAAAACACCAGCAAGATGAATATAAAACAAAAGCATACAGCCCAATACTGTTTAGATTTTACGCTTGCACGATACTTGTATCATGTGTGTAATTTCATTTGACTACAGAGCGAAACAATTGAACATTAATAAAACAAAAGCAACATTGAATCGCCCATGGGCTATAAACAGCCAAGGCACGATGACTACTTAGGTACCTGGACCCCTGCCACTCTCCCGAGGCCACCCGGCCCACGCCTGCAAACCCGTCCCCTCCCATTGGCCACGTCCGCCAGCCGCTCCAGAGCATCGCCAACTCTTCTCCAAGCTTCCACTTTGCCCATTTCTCCCATTTTTATATCCCCCCCCATCCGCCACAACTCTCCTCCTCGTCCTCCTCCACCGTTCCCAACCGCCAAAAACCTCACCACCGAAGAAGATGCCTCGCAACAGATCCGTCGGCCGCGCCCCCGCGCCTTCACGGGCACCCACCCGTCCCACGGTGCCTGCCTCCAACCCCATGCCTCAGCAGCAGCGTCCTGCCACCACCATGGCCGCTCCTCCCCAGCATGCTCCCCAGCAAATGGCTCCCGCGCCGGCCGCCTCACAAGGCCCCGGGCTGTTTGGCCAGATGGCCAGCACCGCCGCGTACGTATGACCACGCCCCGGGAAAAGAATCCGACCCAGAGCAAGCGTGGTGAGGGTTGCACCCAACAAGCACGATTCACTCTCCCGCATGCACCATGAGGGATTGAAAACGACAAAAGGGAAGGGGGGTAACATGCTAACTTTGTACGTAGTGGCGTCGCCATCGGCTCATCGGTCGGCCATGCCATCGGCGGCCTCTTCTCGGGCGGCTCGTCGGAGCCCGCGCCGCAGCCGGTGCAGGCCCAGGCCTCCCAGCAGCAGCAGCAATGGGGCAACAACTGCCAGGCCGCTACGCAGCAGTTCACCAAGTGCATGGACGACAATGGCGGCAACATGCAGATTTGCAACTGGTACCTCGAGCAGCTGAAGGCTTGCCAGGCCGCTGCGAGCCAGTACTAGACGGCGTTGAAAAGGACAAAAGGAGGGGGCAAGGGAGCACGGGAAAGAGAGCACGGGGCAGTGTAACCATGAGACTTGAGGGAAACGGGTGATTTAAGCGCGTTCACGTTCGATCCGTTGGGCCGCTATGGGAGTGTACGGGATTATACAGCATCGTCATTGAGTTGGGGGTTGTCTGACAGACTTACACCGAAATGGCTCGGTGGTTCTTGTATTATAGATGGAATTGCCGCTCTGGGAGAATCCAATCACCTCTCGGTTTGCTATCTGGCTCTTTTCTGCTGTGTTGCATGGTGAATGTGTACATACTGACTGATCATACGTGCTCCAGCATATGCTGCCACCATTGCGGGCTCAGGGACGATTACGAGATGGGGTCTGCTTTGCAGATATATCCAACGCATTTCACCATTTCATGTGGCGGAATACGAAAGTTCAGCATTTTATTACTCGTGCAGAATATTGACATCTTCTGAGCTGATACACAGTATGCCTTGACTTTAATTTCAGACAGCTATTTCTCATCCTCGTCAGGTCTGGGTTCAAAGTTTAACTACGGTCGTGTTAGCCAGCACAGTTTCATCCCAGCAACATTTCTAACTTCTGCTTACCGAATTCCCATTATACAACTGGTGGTCCCGTCGCTTATCATTGGGATTCTCAAACCCCTGAACACGACCGCTCTTGGTTTGTGTAGAGGCCGAATCTAACTGTTCGCCGACTGTCTCCTGGCTGTTGTTGCCACCGCCTCTACCAAGACCGATCAAGCCGAGGACCCAGGTGAAAAAACCTAATATTGAGCCGACAATCCAAGAGAGGAGTCCTTGTGATGAGTTGTTATATGCAGAGGTATAGCTTCGGACATGGATCAAAATAAGTGTTGACGAAGGAGATAAGCCAATCTCTCCCAAAGACTTTCCCTCCTCTGTTTCGTCAATCGATTTGTTGGGCAGCGGCGTAAGCAGTTGCGTGAATGTATAGGGCAGTTCGCCGTCGGTTCTGTTCTCGTCGACCCACTTCCGAACCTCCTTCACAGGGTCCGAAGTCTTGAAACGGGATCGAATAGTCGAGCCATCAAACAGGCGGACTTGGATGGAGGCAAGACTGCTGTTCTTGGCTGCAGACGACATTGTCGATGAAGATGCGGTGCCCACTGGCAAGGAAGAGTCACTTTTTGAGTGGATTTCCTTCCTTTGCTGCTCTCGTTCGGCCGCCCGCTGGCGTCGTTCCTCTTTATCATCCTGGATACGCTTCAGGATTCGCTTCCGTTCCTCTGATTCTTGCTGTTTTTTCTTCCTGACCAAGGCCGCTTGTTTCTGCGTACTTTCGCTGGCTTCCGCGGCTGCCTTGGCCCTCCTCTTGGCCAACTCTTCCTTGGCCTTTTGTTCAGCGGCCTCTTTGGCGGCTTTTAGCCTCGCAGCTCGCTCTTCTAGGACGCGGCGTACGCTATCTGATCGCTCTACTGTTGGTGGGATTCCACTCGAGCTAGACAAGGTGGGGGACGAGGACGAAAGCGATTCGGAAGCTGGTTGCGCCGTGTGTGGTGGTGAAATATTGAACGAGTTTTGGATTCGGCGGAGGAAATCCTCTTTCGAAGTTCCGGCAGCAATGTACTCCTTGAGTTCGCCATTCTTCATGATGACGATGGTGGGTGTCTGAGGAAGAGGGAAGATTTGCGCCAGGTAGCCGAATTCTTCTGAACCGTGTGTCAACCGCAAGGCCACGGCCTGCTTGGCAATTACGTCTACCAACTTGAACGAAATGTCAACACTCGAATCAATTAAAACCCCCCCTTTTGGAAGAAAGGCATCATACTGAAGGATCCTGCAAGAACTCGTGCTCCCAAGTCTGGCTCTCGTCATTGTCATCTGGCCAGGTCAGCACGTAGCTTCGTCCATGCGTCAATGGGCGATTACCAAGCACGCTTACTCGTAACAAAGCAAAAGACGGATTTTTGCTGGCCAACAGCCGTGGAAATTCCCTCTTGGAGAGACCCTTGGTAAAACATGATGGCTAATTTCGACGGGATTCAGGCAGGCGTGCGCATGAAACACATGTGGCCATGTGGCAATGTGCGTGGGTGATGGATGCTCAACGCCACGTTTGGTGGATGAAGGAGGGCGTGAGGAAGTTCAGTTGCTGGTCAGCTCCGCAAATGGGCTATCACGAGACGAATTCAACATGCAGAAGAAATGAATAAGTACAAAAAAAAAGGCGCGTTATCCCATGGCAATACGGACGACAAATGGGTACAGGGAAACAAGCCAATGCCAACGCTGCCGCGGAAAGCTCAACCTAACATTTCGACGTCAACAGTTGAGCTCGGGCATCTGCAGTTGGGGACACGACGCTGGGTGGGCGATGAGTGGGGCAGGCGGTGAAGCTGGGATCGGCAGCCATGAGGAAGTCACCAACCCTAACCCTCCACTCCGACTCTCGGAGCTCGGCAGAAATTTCTTGGTGTGACGCATTGGAAGCCTCAAGCCACTATTTTCTCAGTGGCCTCGGACCGCTCCATTAAATCTAGGGACGATCTCTGAATCCACTAAATCTCGAGAGCTTCAATCCATCAACTCCCTCAGCCGCCCAATCTCTTCACAGCCTTCGTCGGCCGTAGTCAGCAGTAGTTTTTTGATATTGTGTATCAGTACGACCGCCATAATGTCCCTACCTGATCCTACCGAAGACCTCGACTGGGGAGGTTACCTTGGAGGCATTCATGAGATATTCCACAAGAATGCCGTGGCTCATCCTGACAGGCCGTGTGTGACAGAGACCAAGACGCCAAAGTGAGTGACGTCCCTTTGCATTAAGACAGGGCTATGTTGTTGTCAGTCACTGACAACGCATCCAGGGCGCCAACAAGAACATACACCTACCGCCAAATTGATGAGGCAAGCAACAACATCGCAAACTATTTGCGCGATGCTGGCATCCAGAATGGAGACGCAGTCATGATTTTTGCGCACCGCTCAGTTGAGTTGGTCTGTGCGTACATGGGAACCCTGGCTGCTGGTGCTATCGTCACCGTCCTCGATCCTCAATATCCCCCACAGAGACAACAAAGTATGATGTACCTCGGACGAGAACTGGAACGAGAATCAACTAACGTATCATACCAGTCTATCTTCAAGTCTCTCAGCCCAAGGCGCTGATCTCCATTCGCAAGGCTACGGAGGAGAGTGGGTAAGTGCAAACCCCCAACTCTTCCATGATCTGAGAACTCACAATATTGACATCTTGTTACATTACAGTCCTCTTGCTCCTCTGGTCCAGAAGTACATTGATGATGACCTTGCCATTAAGATCAAGATTCCAGACCTCCGCTTCGCCGACGATGGCGCGTTGACTGGCGGCGACCAAGACAGCGGCGATATCTTCGCCAACGTTAGGGAGAGGGCCTCAACACCTCCTGATGTGCTCATCGGACCCGATTCCAACTGTACGCTGTCATTTACGAGCGGAACTCAAGGTTTGCCAAAGTGCGAGCAATTCCTTTTCTTTTCTTTTTCTTTCTTTTTCGTCAAAAGTCGAGCTTTTACTAATGTTCAACAGGGGCGTGCTTGGCCGTCATTACAGCCTGGCAAAATATTTCCCATGGATGGCTGAGAAGTTCGGCCTCTCATCAGAGAGCGTGTACGCCTGTCTTTCTGGGATTGCCCATGACCCAATTCAGCGAGGTGCGAATTCGTTTGCCATGTAGTTCAAAAGCTATTACTAATTGTGGCCTCAGATATCATGACGCCCCTTTTCTTGGGCGCTCAGCTCCTGATACCCGCCAAGGAGGACATCCAGCACGAGAGGTTGAGTGAATGGATGAGAGAGTGGTCACCAACGACGACTCACCTTACGCCTGCTATGGGACAGATTCTGGTCGGTGGCGCCACAGCTCAGTTTCCCAACCTGCGCCAGGTCTTCTTCGTTGGTGACGTCCTCACCACTCGCGACTGCAAGGCCCTTCGTAAGCTTGGTCCTGCCTGCACTATCATCAACATGTACGGAACCACTGAAACTTCTCGCGCCGTGTCCTACTTTGAGGTCCCTTCCGCCGAGGAAGACCCGACAGCCCTGGATTCACTCGGCGACTCTGTTCCCGCTGGCTGGGGCATGAAGAATGTCCAGGTGCTGGTCGTGGATCGGGAAGATCGCACCAGGATCTGTCCGATTGGTGTGGTTGGAGAGATCTATATCCGCGCCGCTGGTCTTGCCGAAGGATACCTTAATGATCCTGAGAAGAACAAGGAGAAGTTCATTGACAATTGGTTCGTCGACAACAACAAGTGGGTGGAAGCAGACAAGGCCAACGACAAGGGCGAACCGTGGCGCAAGTACTACAAGGGACCGCGAGACAGACTTTACGTCACAGGGGACCTCGGAGAATATCGATCGGACGGGGCTGTGCGTGTCTCAGGCCGTATCGACTCACAAGTCAAGGTAGCTAATGATCCATTCATTCACTCGGTTTTTCAAAGCTAACTCAGCAGATCCGTGGATTCCGGGTTGAACTTAACGAGATTGATGCGAACCTCGGTGGCAGTCCTCTGATCCGAGACTGCAAGACCCTGGTTCGAAGAGATCGTAACGAGGAGCCGACGCTCGTCAGCTACATCGTGCCTGAAATCGCTGAATGGAAGCGCTGGCTTGAGACTCAGGGCCTCCAGGATATCGAAGAGGAGGGTGTGGAAATGGGACCCTGTATTGTCTACCTCAAGAAGAGGTTCCGCCGTATCCAGGCCGAGGTGCGAGACCACCTCAAGTCTCGCTTACCAGCGCACTCGGTTCCCTCGATCTACATTGTGTTACAGAAGCTGCCTCTCAACCCGAACGGAAAGGTTGACTCTCCTAATCTACCTTTCCCCGATGCCTCTCTCATGATGGAGGATGCCTCAGAGGAGGATCTGAAGAGCTGGGAGAGCCTATCCGACACTGAGAAGACTATTGCGACACAATGGTCAACTCTGATCCCGGGTCTAAATGCCCAGACCGTCAGGTATGCCTCTGCTGATGATTCACTTCTCTACAAAGTTCAAACACTGACCCTCGATTCTTAGGCCAGACTCCAGTTTCTTCGACTGCGGTGGTCACAGTCTTCTTGCCCAGCAGCTCCTGCTTGACATTCGCAAGAACCTGGGCGTCGACATCACCATCGGTGTCCTCTATGCAAACCCTACTCTTCGCGGCCTGAGCACCCAAGTCGACCGTCTTCGCAGCGGCCAGGCCGTTACAGTCGACCATTCTGACGATACTGTCTACTCTAACTCCCTCGATGAACTTACCAAGACCCTGGATGCAAAGTACCAGAGCGCGGATCCCGATGCTCTGAGCCCTTCCAACAGCACCACTTTCTTCCTTACCGGTGCTACTGGCTTTCTCGGCGCATACCTAGCCAAGGACATACTAGAAAGGAAGAACACCAAGCTTATCGCCCATATCCGTGGAGCCAAGGACCTGAAGTTCGCCAAGGAGCGTCTTGTAAGGTCCCTTAAGGGCTACAGTCTCTGGCAAGACTCCTGGGCCAATAGGATCTCCTGCGTTATTGGTGATCTCTCTAAGCCTCATCTTGGCCTCGATGATGCTAGCTGGAAGCATGTCGCTAATACAGCTGATGTATTTATCCACAATGCTGCGTATGTCCACTGGATTGCTCGTTACGAGCAGATGATGCGTCCTAATGTTCTCTCTACTATCGACGCTATGAAGCTCTGCAACGAGGGCAAGCCTAAGCTCTTCACCTTTGTATCCTCGACTTCCACCCTCGACACAGACTACTATATTAACCTATCCAACGCTCAGACTGCTACCGGCCGCAGCGCCATCCTCGAGTCCGACGCCATGACTGGTAGCCGCACCGGTCTTGGCACCGGCTACGGTCAAACGAAGTGGGTGTCTGAGCAACTCGTCCGCGAGGCCGGCCGCCGTGGTCTCCGCGGCGCAGTCGTCCGACCAGGCTATATCCTTGGCAGCCGCAATGGCGGTGTCTCCAACACAGATGATTTTCTTATTCGCCTCTGCAAGGGCTGTGTCCAACTCGGTGCTCGTCCTCGCATTGTCAACTCGGTCAACGCCGTCCCTGTCGACCACGTCGCTCGCGTTGTTGTCGCTTCGGCGCTGAACCCCCTTCCCGGCGTTAACGTTGTGCACGTTACTGCCCACCCGCGTCTGCGGATGAACGAGTTCCTCTCTGTACTAAACTACTATGGTTACGAGGTGCCCGAGGTCGACTACGATGACTGGAAAAAGCAGCTGGAGGAGTTTGTCTCAGCTGGACCCGTCGAGAAGGATCAGGAGCAAAGCGCGCTAATGCCGCTGTTCCACATGGCTACGTCAAACCTCCCGAGCACCACTCGTGCTCCTGAGCTGGATGATAGAAACGCCGTGGCTATTCTCAAGGCTGATGCAGAGCGCTGGACAGGCGTCGATGATAGTGCGGGAGAGGGCATCACTCGTGAGGATATCGGTAGGTATCTCCGGTACCTCGTTGAGATCAAGTTCATGGCCGCACCCACGGGTAGAGGTCGTGAGTTGCCCGCGATTGACACCTCGATCGCCGAGGCGCAGGCACAGTGGGGAGTCGGTGGTCGCGGGGGTGCTTCTTGAGAAGGCTCTTTTGGCTAGAGATATGAGGCTGTGTTTTGTTGATAAAAATGTTTGCATGTTCAAAGGGGGTGTGACTTGGAAAACAAATTAGGGGGGCGCTCACGTGTAGAACACGAGCATAGGACAGCATTTGTCATAAGGAGGAATTGAGTACATCCAGAGATGGCAACACCCGGGAAAGAGCAATATAATGGTTGCGGTTTGACGGCAGGCGACTGTTCAGTCGCTCATGAGACCGGGTACATTGACAGCTGATTCTCGGATCAAGGGCCATCAGATACCTTGCTCCCTGCTGCACCTCAAGATCCAAATAAAATAAGCTCATCACAGGCTTGTGTTTGTAATACCTCGGGATCATTGCAGATCAGATACTTTAAAACCTCTGGTTACATTTCACATTCGGACCATAGACAATGTCGGGAGTTGGCGATGCATGACCAAGGGAATGACGGGTATATACAATAAATAGAATACATCAAATCAGGTCTCATCAACCTCGATACAAGATACATGCACCATATAATCAGTGAATAAGGGAGTCCATGTACTTATATATAAACTGCAAACTGGGGCCTACTCAAAGCTGTCAGCCGATCCGATCCGTCGCCGGCCATCCTTGTGGGGCCAAGCTCAAACACCACGACGTCAGCCGCCGCAGAAAGCTCATCCATCGTCCCCTCGACACGCCACTCCGTCACATTCAACGCCGTAGAGGCCGCACCTCACAACATGAACTGCCCGAGCAGTTTCCAGCGAGGCCTTCGCGCGGGCAGCATCCCCCCACGGCTCAGCCAACCCACAGCCCTCGCGACACGCCGCCCCCCAACAAGGCCAATCCACCATCGCCATCGCCAACTGACCACGACTCCCCGGCGCCGCCTCGCAGACAAGCAAGCCGCCGACGACCCGGGCTTCACATCCATCCTCGACGCGCCGCCGCAAATCGTCCGCGCCGGCAAACGCCACGGCCCGGGCATCATCCTCCTGGCCCTCATCCCCATCACGGCCTTCGCCCTCGGGACGTGGCAGGTCCAGCGCCTCGGGTGGAAGACAGACCTCATCGCCAAGCTGGAGGACCGCCTCGTCCGCGACCCCCTCCCGCTCCCGCCGTCCGTCGACCCCTCCGCCGTGCACGACTTCGACTACCGCCGCGTCCGCGCGACCGGCACCTTCCGCCACGACCAGGAGATGCTCATCGGGCCCCGCATGCGCGACGGCAAGGACGGCTACATGGTCGTCACGCCGCTCGAGCGCGACGGCGGCACCACCGTCCTCGTCAACAGGGGCTGGATCAGCAAGGCGCACCGCGACCAGCGCTCCCGCCCCGACAGCCTGCCCACGGGGCAGGTCACCGTCCAGGGACTGCTGCGCGAGCCCTGGAAGAAGAACATGTTTACGCCCGAGAACCGGCCCGACCGGGGCATGTTCTACTTCCCAGACGTCAAGCAGATGGCCGAGCTGACGGGCAGCCAGCCGGTTTGGATCGAGGTGACAATGGGTATGTCGTGAGAGTTCCCAACCCCCATGCGTGAGCCACTGGGGGGAACGGCGCTTGCTGAGTCGCTAACTGGACAAAGAACCCGAGTTTATGCGAATGATGGACTTTGAGGCAAGGGGCATTCCCTACGGGCGACCGGCAGAGGTCAACTTGAGGAATAATCACGCACAGTACATTTTTACATGGTACGCCGCACAATGTGATACTGTTTCTTTTTCCCTTTTCCGGTACGAAACTCGTGGTACCATCATCGTTGCTGACATTGTGTAGGTATGGCTTATCTGTTGCCACCGCAATCATGTTGTACATGGTTCTCAAAAAGCCTGCATCCAGCATTACACGCCGTGTCCAAGCTACTAAAAAATTCTAGCAGTAGCAGTATGGGTATTCTTGTAACATTAGCCAAAGCAAAAAAAGCCACGTGTCGGTACATCATAAACAGAGCATACACCCTTCAATAATACTGTAATATACAGACCCAAGTCTGGGCTCAGGACATCTCAGAGCTAGCCTCGGTTGTTTCATCATCTCGTAATCTTTTGCGGCGTGCGCCTACACTTTGTATAGGCATCCTCAACTCTTGCAGCAACTCCCTCGGTAAATGTCTCTGCGCGAGTGAGAACATGGTGCTATCCGAAGTAATTTGACGTTGTCTGTACACTGTTAGAAATCGTTCCAAATGGAAGCAAATTTTCGACACTGTGCCTAACTTACCGCCTCATCAAGGTAGCCATGTCACTCTCCTCGATAGTTTTCCGTTTTGCGTGGTTTGCGTAAGCACCCAAGTCATCACCCAGCTGTTCAAAGAACCACTCTGAGGCTTGGGTCAGCGCGGTGAGGGTATCAGCCGATACCCGAGGGTTACTGAGACCCGAAGATTGGAGGGCTGTTTGGGCTACTCTCTTGACAAATGTTGGCGGCAGCGCAGGGTATTCTATACCATGTTTTGACACCCTTCGTTGGCGCTTCTTGGGCTTTAATCTCTCCCTTGAGGGTTTTGCCGCAGATGAGGGTTCGACTGGTTCCTCCTCATCCACGGATTGCTCCTCAATTTCTTCCATGTATGGTTCAAAGTCGTCATCTTCATCACCCCCCCCAACAGGTTCTGGCTCCTCCGTTTGCATGATTGGAACCGGGTCGGGGTCGTTATAAACGTCAACCATATTGTCGCTTGCGCCGTCATTGGGGCCGGACGGCCTTGTCGGAGTGACGTCTCCGATGCCGCCTTGATTGGCGGCATTGTTTGCCCTTGTCTCAGCTATGGATTCTTCAACCATAAGGGGAGATGTACCACCGCCATCTGCGGGCGGCTCCGACATCATGAAGGTTGTTTCTTCCGCACCAGGGGGTATTTGCAGTCCAAACTCACTCCCTCGCCCAGTGACTGTATTTCGCCTTGATTCGTCATCAATTCTAATTCGTGTCAGCAGTCTCATTCACAGACACCAAAAAAAAAGGAAAGGAAAGGAAAGGAAGGGAAGAGAAAATAGCCAGCAAGCTACATACCGAGTAATTGTTTGGTTGCCACTTGCAATCGCCTGAGCTCGAATGTTGTCTAGCAACGAGCCAGGGAAAAAATCCGATACCCTCCCCATATCCCCAGTGACTTCATTGGGATCAAAAGCATCACTGTCAAAGCCGCCGCCAAAATCAGGCCCCGAAAGTCTGCTCGGCTGCTCACTATAAGCTCGCCGAGGTTTTTCAACAATTGGGAGAGTGTGTTCTGATTCCAAACCCGAAGAGCGCGGTGGTATCAAGTCAGAATCGTCGTCCTGATCAATTGGCAGCGACAGACGTGGTCTGGGCAAGTCAGCATCGTCGTCATCCTCCTCTTGAATGGGCGCAAAACTCGAGCGCTTATCCTGCGGCGGGGACGACGACACAATGGGCTTGCTACCGGTTGCCAATACTCCAGCCAGGCGTCCCAAAAGACCCATCGGGGTTTCCCTCTGGTCTACCAGGCTTTGGCGCCTAATCTTTCCCGGAGTGAGCAGGGCATTGCGACGCTGGTCGAGGGCCTGGCGCGCAGCTTTCGCATGGGGCGTTGGTGCATTGTTGCGATGCCCTCCGGATGCTGAGACGCCGCGTCGGACAGAGTTGAGGAATTCCCGGGTGGAAGTGCGGTTAAGAGGCGTATGAACAGCGGAACGGTGTGATGAGGGCGGATCGGCGCTGACAGCGCGACGGGCATTTGGGGTTCGGGCTGCGGCAGGCGTTCGTGATGGAGTCTTGGTACGCGAAGAATCTACATTTTGGGGGGACGACTCGATTGAGTCCATGGTGGGCCAGGCCGATGCAGTTGGCATAAGCAGACGGCCATGTCCCAGGAACAGGAGGTTGTTGTTGATGGCGGATGTGCGGATGGTGGATGGTGGATGGTGGATGCAAGACGCGGAGACGACGTGACGTTTGAGTAAGTGGGCTCCAAGACCAGATGCAACTTGACAGTTAGTCCTCCGTACTCCGTAGTTACTACTAACTAGCCACGACAGGCGGGGCACTTGCCGTGCCTGCGTGGGTACCTGCCCAGGTGGGTACCTCTAACCAACAATGAAGGTTCAACGTTGGTTCCTGCCTTCAATGTTGCCTGCCCGGGGCCTGCAGCTTGGCCCTGCTGCCCTGTCAGAAACGACGACAAACTCGGCTTGCTATTTTTATCAACCTCAAACTCACTCGATAATTCATCCATTTGCCGCCCTCATCAGCCGTACCCCAGGATTCAATGCTCATACCGCTATGGAGCTTGGGGCACTCAAGCTTACTGTACATCTGATTATTTGCCATTCTGCAAGCTGAAATAGGAGGTGTGCCAGCCATAGATGACTCTTCAGGCTGAGCATATGGTTTCAGTGGTACATTCAACGTTGTACCGGGCTTCCGCAAGAAAGGCATGATTGTTATTATTAGCAGCAGATTTCCCTCGTTAATCCCAGGCACTGCAGCCTCGACACATCAGGGAGCGGACCAGGGCCGGCGGCAAAGTCCAGTTTGTTCGGCACACAACTGTGATATTCTCCATCCACCACCCGCAAGACCGTTTTTAGGCGCTCGCCCCTTGCCACGGATCGATCAGTCTATACGTTCAGGTGAGAGCTGATATATCCCCAAGCGACGATCAATTTCCCTTCCGGCTTTTACGGAACTGCTCTGGGCGTACACTCCTGCAGAAGGAGGCTGGGATTGGACTTGTCTACACGCTGCCATAGTTTCTTGCGGATCTTATAGTTGTAGAGATGTAGAAAAGACCCTTGAAGCCAGATACGAGGTCTACTCCTTGGACAGTCTCAAATGGACACCACTACATTTTCGGTATTGAAACAAAACATTCCAGTTGTTGGCCAACTTCTTCGACACAGTGACAAAACAGAACATCAGACTCCGCCACAGCTTACGATTCAACAGCGTGACCATCGAACAGCATTGAAGCCTTTTTCGAGAAGCGGGCAAGTCCTTTGTGATATATCTGCCGCTTATTAGAGATCGATATTGCCCAGCGCTTTTGATAGACATCTTGAAATCGCCGCAGGAGAACTTCCGACCGAGTTGAAACAACTGGAATATGATATCGGAAGGTAGTATGATTCTCTGCCGCTGAAGATTCCCACTCGTACTCAAAAATACCACCACTATGATTTCCCGCACGGCATGCTACCATACAAAGTGCAAATGCGTCGAGTCACCCATCTACGTACGAGGCCATGGCAATGACGGCAGAGGTGAAACGGATTTTGCATGTACAGTATATTGGGGCCAGTGTTAATAAGTGAGACCGACGTATAATGGGGAGGGTAGTAGCTTACTTTAAAAGACGGCTCACTATCACAATCCGGCACTAGCGGGATCATGTGTGTGCGTTGGGAAGCAGAAAGGATTTACGAGTGACCGGGGTTCCTCGGTCTCACCAACAAGCCATGTTCCGTCCGAAGCAGCGTTTGGTCTACTTGAGCCAGACTCACGTACGCGGGAGAAACAAATATCCTCTCTTTTCTCCTTCTTGATACCGTTGCAGTCCGCCACTAAGAGACAGTGTGGGTTTCAGTTATCGCCCATTTGCAACCTCTTCGATTAAGTTGGTTACTTCCGCTCGATACTCCTGGCCAACGTCCACGTATTAGAGCAATTCCGAGCCTGTCCTTCGGCCAACAGGGAACAATAGGGATGTCGACCAGCAGGATATCGGCAAACACAGCTCTGGGGAATGGAACTCTCAAAACAGTCGAGATGTTGAACAGGAAGACATGTCGGTGTGTTTCGATTACAGCGAGTAGTTAAAGGCGGTGGCAGAAGCAACACAATACTTGATCCAGCTGCAAGGTATATTGAATGTTACCTTTACCATCAGTACTGACAGTCAGTTGCTGAGAAGGTACTGGAATTTAGCCTTGCCTCCATTTTGGAAGCCCAAAAGTCAACAAAAACGAATTTCGGTATGTTACCCTCGAATTTGGTCGCGGTAAGTCACACTTGGCGTGCCAGAAATGCGAGTTGGTAGTTGCGGCTAACGTCGGAGTTTGTGGCAGTTCATCTTTTTATGCTGCCTACAAGATGCAACTATGGCGGTTGGCATACAAGTATTGTCCAATTGTGAGTCGTCCCCACTTTGCAGCACATAAAGATATGAAAGAACATTTTGCTTGCTCAGTACAACATCTCGAGAGTCCAATTGAAAGGGCCTGCGATGGCTTGATTGGCCTGCTGAAGGCTCGCAGGGTCAGATGTCGGGATATTGAGCAAGGGTGGAAACGAAGGCTCACACCCAGCGAAAACACTATGCGGTTCCCTTCCTCCGGCAAAAAGCGCGCGTAGATATGACATAGGATTCTGTAATGTGTACTATTCACACGCCCCGGCTTCTTGGGTAGATGGACATGTCAAAGGCTACTGTAGCTGAAAAGCTGGCCTGTGAAGCAACAAAGACGCCGAAATTTGCTTCATGCAATGCCGTCCGTCCCAGGGCCAGTATCCGTATCTGCCGTATACCTACCTGCGCACGTCCAAGACAATCCAACGCTCTTTATTATTCCTCCATTGCGCTGAACCCTAAAGCTACAGCTATTCTTAGAATTTGACGTTTGCCGCATTCTCCATTGTATGAACCAGTGGCCCGTTCCTGTCTCAGCGCTTGCCCCCCTTTGAGTGTTCTCGAGACCTCGGGATAACTGCCGAACCAGCGAACCATGAACAAGCAATCCCTACTCCGTAAGCCCGAAGGTATGCAATAGATCCTAGTTCCGTGTGCAAAGAGTCGAATTCCATCCATGTTAGGCGACGGACATGGCTCCGACATTGACTCCCCCCCGGCCTTGGGCCTGCGTTCCCGAGTTGCCCACGCCCTGCCATAATTAGCTTGGGCTATTCACAGCGCAACTATTTGTGCTCGCCCCAAAACATCCATCATCCATCAGCAAACCAATCTGACCAACATGGGAGACGACTCGGCCCACCAACAAAGACAGGGGGGCCAACGGCATTTACAAATTGGTCAATCGACTGATGACCCAGGTTCTCCGCAGCCGCAGCACGTATGTATTATTCCCGTCCTCGGCTCCCGCGCGTCGTGACTCCAGATTGTGATCAGTTGCCAGTCCATCCGATTCCCAAAACAACCGCCACACCTTGCATACCGGGATGCTTCGTAATCCGTCCTACAGCATGCATGTGTCAAATCTTTCCAACAGTCGGGTCATTACCGAGATTGCACAGTGCACACGTCTCAGACGAAAGCCCGGACAAACGACACCCACTCAGGTATTACCACCACTCTCCACGTCTCCAGTCACACACTCGTCTTCCGTAGCAATCCCACTGGACAACAGCCCTGTTGGCACATTCTGGAGTCCTGGAATCCTGGAATCCTGGAGTCCTGGAGTCCTGGAGTCCCATTCCATGATTTGTTTCCTGGCCTTCTGCAGGTGGTCTGATTTAACCAACTCGTGCCAACATCATATGTACATACACATAGCTTGTAACTACTCGGACTTCATGTTGGTCTGACCAGACCGGGTCTGCCTTGGCCGCACAGGGAAGGTGCAAAATTGCTCCCATGTCCGTCTCAAGCCTCGTGTTACTGTGTGAACTCGCCAGGTAGCGGGGCATTGCTGGCAAGTGTCAACATGGTCAGCCTGGTTCGAGCCTTTTTGCAATGCTAGGCAAGTGTGCCCCTGTCCAGCTTCATTTTTCGCTCCCTGGCCGATCAAGCGGTTCTGTACTCCATGTGGACAGGCGGTGCCATTTTTTTCTCTGTGTGTAACTCAAGATCCAGGTTCCAATTTTACCTCGTTATTGCTTTTTTAATTGCAATTGCCGGCGCTTCCCGTGTAGATAATTTTGTCATTGAAGCTCATAGTATATATCCTATGTGGCTCGCTGTCTTGGACCGCTTTTTCTGCACAAGGCATTAATGTTCCTCATCTGACGCAGTTCCTATCTTTCTGTCGGGTGCAAAAAATGGCTGGCCTTTGCTGTCTCTCGTCGTCGCTTCGGGCGAATGAGTTTCCCTGCAACAAGCCTCGACTTTATGTCGGGCTCTATGTCCGTGGTAGCTCAGCAAAGATGCCAGGCAGAGAAGACTCGTATGCAAACCTCGAATACTCGGAAGCACAAGGAACCTAAGCGCCCGCTAACCAGATTCTCCCAGTTACCATTGGGCCCTTTTGTCAGGCCCTAAAAACGATGTCAAGCCAGGTTTGCAGCACACCATGTACCATGTCAAGGACAAGTTGGTAATTGAGGGTGAGCCAAAAGCTGCCAGCTCAGTATGGGAATACTCAGTTGAATCGGACCGTTCTTCAATGCTATTAGTTCGTATAGTGGTGGGAAAGATCCGTGACATCCATCGACTTGAGAACATCCTGCGATCCGTTCCTGTTCGTAGCGATAAAGAAGGGTGGAATTCTATTTCCTGGATTCGAGAGGCTTTCCATCTTGTTTCAATCGCACCAGGCGTTCTGGGTTCTCATACGGAAGACTGGGAGGAAATTCGACAGACTGCCATGTCGTATGTCGACGAGAAAAAGGCCAAGCATCGGTTCGATGGCTTAGGTAGATTCGATCTTTCGAAACCAGCTACATGGGACATGCTTCAGGGCAAAGAGATAATTGTCTAGCATCAAAAAACCTCTCGGGCAGAGGTCAACTTCGTTTTCTGTTAAGCAGAAGAGAGAGCAACCACTACCACTCGGTTGAAGGCCATGCTCTCATTAGTCTTGGCTTTTTTGTCAAGCTTTTTTTTTTGTTTTTGGTCCAAGAATTCCAAGAGATGCGAGACTTGTAGTCGGGGCGGGACATGGAGTCGGTGGCCTATACTTGCCAAAGTTGTTATCAAATGATAGATGATTGTCAATGAGTTGGAGTTGGCAGAGGCAGTAAAGCCGTGCAATTATGCAAAATACATATAATATACTTTTCTTCATGTTCGTAATAACGAGGAGATTCATTTAACCCGAAGAAGATAAAGACGAGCGTGATGATACATGCCACACCAAGGTTGAGATGGCGGAGACGCGGACAGCATATCTGTACAACTAGCCGTCTATCGTCGTTTATGACAGCCCTAGGTATTGAACTGGGTGTCGCACTTTGTGGCGTCAACGGCTTGGATGGCGGTCGGCAACCCCCGAGCTAGACTAGCCCTGGCCGCAATCCCTCCATCGTTTTCGGGACCGGTCCGCGGCTGCTTGTGGAGTTGGATGTCCCCATTGATGGATGCTAGTGGCCACGGTTGCTGGCAAGAAATTATGCGACTATGGAGGGTAAGTCGAGTACAATAAATAGAAGCAAGAATTCCTCAGAACAAGCTTGGATCACACCGAGCATCACCCATATTTCTAGTTCGCGCCTGGTTGGTGGGTTTGTTGTCTTTTTATTCATGGTTTGTCAATAAAGATCCTGGAGATCCGAGATGCTGGAACCGATGCTGGACGATCTGGCTCTGGTTTCCGAAATTCCTGGCCCATGAGCGCCCCACAAACACCGTGAACCAGTCCCCGAGACATCGAGGGCTTTTAGCAGGGCCAGTGAGTGCGACATTCGGTACCAAAGCCGCAGTGGGTCTAGATAAAAACAGCATCTTATATTAACAGTGCAGAAGGATGTGTTGCGAAAGTAATTAAATACCTACCCTAGGATGGCAGTAGACGTATAGTTGATGCGGAAGTCAATGCTCGGCGGACCGGAAACAATGTCCCGTATCGCGGGCTCTCAGCCACCCAGAGAGATGTTTGTAGGAACCGACTTCACGGAAGTTCCGGAATTGAACGAACTCGTTGCATAGGACTTTTGGGAGAACTGGACCATGCTCTATCTGCGACGTCAGAGGCGGTGATGAAATGGGAAAATGCCTACAGGGGCGTGCCGTCGTTGCCTCGGGCCCTAGATGTTTGACAGCTCGTTTTGTTTCCGCCCTGTTTCCGTGAGGTGTGTGGCTGTCATAATTGAAGCGTGCCTCGTCACAGATTGGCATCAAACGACTCGCACTCATCGCGTCCTCGAACGGCCGTGGCGACACAATCAAGAGAGATAATGCCTAGGGCCCGCCACAAACGACCTGGTGGTCTGTTAAGCATGGACCTTTGTCGGCAGAAATTGATAATACGTAGCCACCTACCATAACTGTTTGGTGGGAGCAGGATGCTAAGGCGGTGCTTAGAGGTTGGCTTCATATCCACTTGGATGCTCCAAGGACTCTCTGGCCCTTTTGTGGGGTTGACCGAGATGGGTTTGGTTGGTGACATTGTGACTATTCATCGTGACAGAAAGGCACGCGAATGGAGTCAAGCAAGTGTGTTACTGATGGAAGCGACGGTGCAATTGCCATCTCTGACTCAGCCGGCCAGGTGTCGTTTTGCTTCAGGTCGATACTCGAATGGTGTTTCAGTCAAGTTGAATAGCAGCGGGGCGAATCGACCTGTCACTGGATGTGCCTTCCCAATTGGATACTTGAGAGGGTTGCCTCAGGCTCTAGTACAAAGGGAATGAATGGCAGGCAAATCTAGGCCGGATGCAATGTGCAGCAATGAGATGCAGATGCCAACTAGAACACAAACGAATAAAGGCTGAAACAAAGACAAAGAACCAGACGCAGGCTCATCCGGTGCTGGCGGTCTCGGACAATTTATTTATTTTAAGTTTAAGGTGACGTGTGGGCGGCGGACGTGTTGACTGCCGTCTGCGCCAGTCAGTCCAGGTCAGACGCCGCGCTTGTGGTTGACAAACAGAAATGCGAATAAATCTGCTCGCTGGTTCGATGAAACGAAGAAATTCCTCGCTTCTACGGAGTGGGCAACTAGTCCTTGGCAGATCTCGTGCGGCCTCATCTTATGATCTCCGTCACCTCGTTCCATCTCCACCGCTTGAGCAGCCACCGTCGGCGCTAGTGCACCAAACCGACAGCCCTTGAGACATCATCCACACAGAATCGGGAGTCTCGAGTTCGACCTGTGCGAGCGTTGGCGCTAAGCAGAAACGCAGTCCAAACCCCAAGCGAAGCCCTCCCCATCTGCTGCTCAGCTGCTCAGCTGCTCAGCTAACCCTGCTTTGCTTGAGCGATTCGGCCATCGACGACCATCGACGATTGGATCATCAGCCCAACCACACACCACACACACACCACGTCAAGCGAACTACTCACAGGATACGGCTGGGACTCTGGGAGGCTCCATCAAGCGAAGAAAGCGTCTGTTCTGGTCTGTTCTGGTCTGGCCGCCCTCGCCCACCCGCCGCCCACTTGTCCCCCTCGTGCTCCTGAAGCCTGAAGCAGTGCGGCTTAGAGTGGTTCCGCTGTGTCGACTTGTTTCCAACGCTTTCAATGCAGCCTTTGAAACTTGCGTCTGGCCTCGCTCGATCCTTTCCGTCACCACATCTCCTGGCTGCTCCTCGACCGCGACCCCCGAATCTCTGACCAACTTATTCTTGTTTTATTTCCACCTTCTTTTTGCTAGCTGTCCGCCTCGATCTGCCCTGCGATACAACAATCATCGGCTGGCCGAATCTTCACCAGCCGTCTGAAGCACGAGCCCTCGACTCCTCCTCCTCTCCTCATCCTCCACCAATAACCACCAACCACACCAACCACCTCCTGACTCCTCAGCTTTCCCCTCCACGCCTCGCCGCATCACGACAAAGCCGCATAGTACGGTACTCTATCCTCGGCGTCACGGCAGAATGGCTCAGCCCAACGTTCAATCCTTGAAGGTTTGCTTGCCTTGTCCAGCTCGGGTTGCATCCGTGATTTCAATTTGATCCTGTGCTGACCGCCAACCCCTCTCAATAGTGCGTCGTGACCGGTGACGGTGCTGTTGGCAAGGTTCGCATCTCGAAACCGACACTTTCCTCATCTCGTTCCAATTCTATCGCTACAGCCGTCAAAAATCTCATCGAGACTGATGCAGTATTATAGACATGTCTTCTCATTTCATACACGACAAATGCCTTCCCCGGCGAGTACATTCCTACAGTGTGAGTTTGTCCTGCGAGCTGCTCCCGACACACGTGCTGGATGGATAGAAGAAATGTGCGCTGACGTGCAACCCTAGATTTGATAACTATACGACTAGTTTAATGGTCGACGGCAAGCCCATCAGCCTGGGACTGTGGGATACGGCTGGTCAGGAAGACTACGACCGGTTGCGGCCGCTGTCATACCCCCAGACTGACGTATTCCTGCTTTGCTTCTCTCTCATAAATCCGGCCTCATTTGACAACGTCCGATCCAAGGTAGGTTCACCTTGTTGCTGGCACTTCCAAGCATAGTGTACTAACCACTGGTTGATACAGTGGTACCCTGAGATTGATCACCACGCTCCTAATATCCCTATCATCCTGGTCGGTACCAAACTTGACTTGAAAGAAGAGTACGACAGAAGAGAAGATGCCGAAAAGAATGGAGACAGACATGCATTCGAAAACGCCTCAAAAGAAGTAAAAGAACTGAAGGAGAAGAAGAGACAGCGACCGATAGAATTTCGGGATGGATTGGCTTGTGCTCGAGAAATTGGCGCGTACAAATACCTCGTGTGCTCCGCACTGACCCAAAGCAACCTGAAAGGCGTGTTCGATGAAGCCATTCGGTGAGTAGATGCGATTGCATGATTATTTCCCGCCCTGGTTGTACGAAACCTAATTCGATTGATGCCAGTGCTGTTTTGAATCCGCGGCCGCCACCCAAGGCCAAGAAGTCTAAATGCACCATTTTGTAAACCTCTGCGTAGACCAGTTGCCGCAGGCAGAGGGACGTTTTCCGCCACCGATACACTTTAATATCTTTATTTGGCTATGTGAAGTGGCAAAACGAAGAACGAGCACTCAAGCGACAAATGTTAAGTCGGCAAAGATGAAGGACTTTTCGATAGACGACTCTCGACTCCGACCGAAGCTACTCTTCCTCTCGCTCTAGCATAATTGCAAAAATGAAACATCTTTAGCGGAATCAACAGCACACTCGATGTATAATTGGTGTTTCTCATTTCCAGCACAAATAGACCGATAATAGGGCGCGAAATAACAGACGAAAGCCAAGAGACACACACAAACAACCAGTTGACTGCAGTGCAGGTATGTGTTTGGGCTTGAACCTGTTTCATCACGTGTCGCCGTTGTCACTAGTCAATTGACTTTTACACTGGCTGGTGGGTGCAAGTGCAACAACAAGTAGCAGAACTGCGATATTGTACCTCGTCGACTGGTCAACCTGTACATATCCAGCTCCTCGTCTACTTTGCCGCCGGGAGGCACAGAGACCCTCATCGCTAGCCGAGTATGCTTGAAGGAGCAAAGAGGCACCCGGAGGCGTCTTGTTTCAGATGATTGGGGTGTCTTTTTGTCTCCTGTAATTTTTTTAAAACTTTTTTTGTTTTTTTATTAAATCTCTCGGTATTCGTCTCTCCCTAGTGTCAAGGATATCCAACCCAAATTCTTCTTTTTTTTTGCTCGTAGATAGCACCAAGACATGTTCAGATGTGTATTGAAGTCGTACGGGAGTGAATTTGTCAGAACCTATTTTCCTGCCCGACATGATATGTTCCGCTCCAATGCATGTGATGTGATGGAATTAATCCATACAAAGGGGGGTATCTAAGTGAAGGGGTTCTAGCATGATGACAAAACGTTCTTGCACACAAAATAGAAAAAAAAAAGACAGCATCTCACTGAGGCAACTTTTATTCCCCCAGTCCCGGAATCCTAGCCAAACGACTGGGATGAATGCCCGCCGAGCCCTCCTCCCTCTGGCCACCGCTCTCCTCCTTCGCAGCCCTCTCCTTCTCGATCCTCTTGGCCCTATTCTCATCCAGCTTCTGGTTCTTTTCGAGAATCTTGTCTTTTCTAAACTTGGTCTTGCCCCCGCCGCCGGCCCTTTAAAAAAAACAGTCAGCATCCCCGTGCCACTTATACACGGTTAGAAAAAAAAGCATAACTCACGTCAGCTCAACGTTGATCCTGCGCCCCTCAAACTCGGTATGGTGGAACTTGTCCAGACACGTCCTCATGGTCCACACGTTGGCAAACTCGACAAATGCGATGCCCCGGCACGGCTTGTCGTCGTCCTTGTTCTTCATGCACCGCACGGAAATGGGCTTCAGCGACGCAAAGTGCGCCTTGATGCTGTCCGCCGTCGCCGTGAAGGGCAGGTTGCCCACGAAGACGATGTGGCGGGAGGACTTGGCGTCTGGCGCGTCCTCGGCGTCGTTTGATGCCGCTGGTGCTGGTGTTTCTTGGGTGGGAGCCGCCTCGTCTTTGGAGTTTTTCTTCTTGTCCTTCTTATCCTTCTTGTCCTTCTTTTCTTTCTTTGGCTCGTCGCTGACGTCTCCGTTGGCTGCCTCCTTGCGCTTCTTCTCCTTCTTCTCCTTCTTCTCCTTCTTCTTGGACTTCTTCTCGTCGCTTACATCCGGGGTTTGCGACACGTCTGCGTCATCTTTTACAGCGTCTTCCTCTTCCTCCTTCTCCTCCTCGGGTAAATCCTGCAGATCCTTTCGCTTGTCCTTCCTCTCTTTTCTGCTCTCCTTTTTATCCTTCTTTTTATCCTTCTTGTCCTTCTTAGCCTTCTTAGCCTTCTTCTGCTTCACTTCAGCAGGTTCATCGTCGCTTCTCTTTCGCTTCTTCTCTACTGGGGCGTCGTCGACGGGGAGGAAGTCTTCGGCAGCCGTAGTGGCTTCGTGAGCTCGCTTGCTTTTCATTGCCGTCTAATTACAAACAATTCGTGGATTTTGGGGCTTGCGCGTGTGTTGCGAAGTGCTGAATTGCCAGAACCTGGACTATTCAGTCGAGACAGAGATTTGCCAGAAATTTTAGCGGAGCCGGTACCCCATACGGAGTGTACAACGTAGTTTACCTGTCGAGGTTGGTCTCACCGGACCCTTCAATGCTGGCTCGACCCACCTGGCTCCACTACAAAATCAAGGGCTCTAGTGATATCTGCATCAAGAACACTTTCAATCACCGACCCCGTACATATGTTTTCAGCCTGGCTCTTTGTTGACGCCAATTTCGCATGTTCTCACTGCAGAAACGCCTATGTCCTTAGAAAAAACTTGTTATAGATTATTGACTTCTGCAATGTTACAGAAAGGGCGAGTGCCAATGTCTAACAATATACATTGAAAACGCAATCATATAAAATCCCTAATCTTGCTCTGCAATCCATCACAATCGTTGCAAAAAGCAGCTATCCCATATCCATTTCTGATATGCGTTACAAGATGCAAATGGCGAAACCAGCTGCAAGAGACACGGTGCTTATTAGTACATATATGCTAGGGTCGGTCGTCGCCGATCCTCCGGCAAAAAATGCCGGCATTGGCGTCTCGAAGCCTACGCTGCTAGAATTGTTAAGTTCATCACTTGGGCCAGAATTCTGATGACTTGATTCAGAACCCTCTGGTTCTGATGTACTTGAATCGGGTCTCCCCTCTACCGGACTGTTCAAGGCCAAGGCCAAAGGCATGGCAAGCGAAGTAGCCTGAGCCTCGTTTACCGTAATGATTGTGGTTTGAAATCCTTCTCCCAGGACTGAAGATATGAGGGTGACCTCAACTGGGCTGGACGTATCCTGAAGCGCTGCTTTGTCGCGATTTGTATTTGTGTCATGAGCTGGAGCAGCATGTGCCATTCGTGTCGGTCTGGCCATGCTGGTATCATACGCAGCTGGGCTTCCATCTTGTCGTCCTGATCCGGAGCTAAAATGTTGATCGAGCGACGACGTCGGATACGAGCTCCTTGATGATCGAGGTTCGTCACCACCATTTCCTTGGCTTGGAAAGTCATATACTGGTGGTGGGGTGCCGTATCCATATTCTTCCAATGGCGGGTTGTATGCTGGTGGTAAGGAAGAAGGAGATGGAAAGGTATAAGCGGCCGGTGTAGCGGCAAAGTTTCCTCCAGAGCTGGAAGATGTAGTGAATGTGGAGCTAGTAGTACTAGACATAGTATTGGTGGTACAAGCCGTCTCAAATTGGTCACGAGATGTCCTAGCTATGGTAGATGAGGAGGAAGAGGTAGAGCCGGAATGTGCAAAGGATGAGCTTGAGCTTGGACTACTAGCTGTGCAAGAGGTGGATGTGATACTGTTTCGACTTATAGCCGAAGTCAGTGTAAAGCTCTGATCCTGACCTGAATACACGCTGGAACGCGCCAAATCTGACGAACAGGGTGTATCCGAGCTTGAGAGTCTGCTCGTGCTCAATTCGTTAGAGTCTAAGGTCCAGGACTCATGTGTCGACGTTTGGAGTCTTGTCGACATAGTCCAGCGGCCTATATCATCAGAGCAGTCCGTCGTTGGCGTATTTGGGTTATCTGACGGCAAATGACGAGATCTAGCGTCAGTCTGAGACGATGACGAAGTGCAGCTAGATGTCGAATGTTGCGAAGTCTGAGAGATTGATTCTGTAGAGGCAGTCACCTGTGCTGGGTGGGGACTGACTCCAAAGTTTGAAGCACCAGACAACGTACACGAAGCAGATGAATGCGTTTGGCTCGTCGTAGACTTGTATTGTTCAAAACCACTACAGATTGTGGACGTGGGGGTGCTGCCGAAACGGGAACCACTTGATTTGCAAGGAATACTTTGTGTCGGCGTAGTTGTTGTCCCAGAAGTCGCTCGGGGGCTGTCGTTGGAAGATTCACAGTCAGTTGTAGAGTCACTCCCATGGCCCCGAGATTCATCCATGGAAGTAGCCGTATGCAGAGACAGTGTAGCTCGTTCGTGAGACAAAACGGCTGTGCTTGGTGTTAACTGGCTAGACACTTTGGATACTTTATCGGGGACGCATGGGCACACCTACTGGTCTTGAATCCATCCGCAAAAAGCAAAGCCTCATCATCAGCCATCGATGCTGGAGCTATAGATGCCCGAGGAGATCCTAGAGATACTGTGATAACGCCATCTTGCCCAGTATTGCATGTTAAAGCAACAGCAAGGTCGCGTTTCGAATCGATCTCTTGGTTGAAAGCTGTGAATTTGTCACCAGTTTGCGTCTTGCCGGACACTTTTGATTGCAGGCTCCGCTTGTGCTGAGCAGGCTGGCTAATCTCGATGGGATGCAGGGGGATGATATTGACGCCAGTATCACAGCAAGCAGAAACTGAGTATGCCAATGCTCGACCGTAGGATTCAGGACTGCAAAGATTGATGAGACACTGAAAGTGTGCCTATTTCAACCTGTTAGAAGCATGCGTGTTGAGATGGGTGGAACAAAACCTACTCGTTGAAGTTTGGGAGTAGCACAAGTGCTCTTCATGCTATCAGTGAGTAGCCCATGTTCAGCAAGAGACCTCTGACAGTCTGTGACGCAGGCTTATGGACACGATTAGCCTCACAACATCTGCCAAACCAGCACCATGATTACCTACCAGGCACCGTTCTCCCTACAACACGTTGACAACGTGCTAAGGCTGAGAACAGCAAAAGTGTACCAATCAATGTGATCCGCATGTTGGGGATGCCGTACTCTAAAAGTGAAAGGCTGTCAAAATGGCTAGTCGTAATTAACGATGGTCACCAAAAAATGGGTAGAGCGAAAGAGGCTGAGAAGGAAATCCAAAAATGAGTGACAGTGTGCCGAAGCGTGATAATGAGAAGGGATAGTTGCAATGAGCGACGAAGGTTGAGGTTGAAGAGAAAGAAAAAAGCAGAAGAAAACAGGGCCGAGCCAAGTCTGATGGATTACAAGCGGCTGCTGTAGTCAAAACATTGAAGGCAGGAGCGGCATTTCACTGCAAGGGTGTTGGTTGCCGAGGAAGAAGGTGAATTCGGATCAACCGATGCGAGTCTACCAGACACTTCCAGACTTGTGACCTTCCTTCCACGGGTCCAAACAAAAGTCAACCTCGCTTAACTGTCGTCATAGAGTGCGAGCGGATAGCGGTTACTGACCATTCAGTGGCATTGACATGGATTATTATTCCCAGTATTCGAAGATACGTACAATTAGCACCGCCGAAGAAATGCAAGTATATCCCCCCCCTTTGAAATGTAATGGTGCCAACGCCGCAAAAGCAGAAGGGTATCTAGTAGAAGAGCAACGCCAAGGGCTTCTTCTCGGCTCTATAACGCTCTTTGAATTCTGGACGAGTCAAAAATCTGGCAAGTGGCATCATGGTATCCTTCATGTCCATAATGCCTCTCTTCTTCTGGTCGACATGCGAGGCATCTACAACAAGCCTTTGCAGATTATCCAATGACAAAGCGCCTGCGCCAGTGTTAGTAGGATGCAGTTGCAGCCGATACGGCATCTGGGCTCATACCATTGTCGATCAACTCTATCAGACGGGCGGGCGTACCGACACCAATTCCCGTCTTTCTATTTTTGAGAAACGTCACCTGGTCGTCCACTTTCATGTGCTTGGCGAACTGTAATGTGATTAGCATTTTCGCACGACTAAGTTAACGCAGTGGCATTCATGCCTACCAGCTTTGCCACGGTGTTGTCCTTGCTCGAAAACTTTCGTACAGCTCTTTGATACAGTCAATAAGTATGTCTGGAGTGAGTGTGCAACTGTAGCGCCTGGAGATCACCATACCTGACCATGTCGGCCGCCCTTAGTCCGGCACCAGCGACGATGAGAGTGTGAGGTGAGCCCTTCTTCCTTGGGACTTTCTTGAGAGACTCTTCGCCCTCTGAGAACTTTTCAAGGAAGCCAGGCAGATTATCGAGCGTTCTATTTTCCTCCCATGAGGTGGTATCTTGTATTGAGTTGGCTATGGGGCTGATTAGCACTGTCCCTCTCACTTCATCTCACCGAATCATCCACTCTTAGCCAACAGACATACCAGATACGGTCAGATCCGAAACCTCAACCGAGCTGAGGTCGCTTCCGAATCGGCCAAGTTTCTGTGCCAGGTGATCTGCGAGCAATTGGTTGTCCAGGCGATTGAACAGTGTGTTCAGGCCAAGTTCCATGTCCAGAGCCTCATCGTCTTTTGAAAGCTTGGCCTTTTTCTTCTTCTTTTTGGCCTCGGGCGCAGGCTCCGCGGCGCGCTTCTTCGAATTCGACATGATTAGCCAGGAGCAAAGGACTATATCGTATTCCAAATAGAAAAGTGCAAGGTAGTTAAAAGGCTAGGTTGGTCTTTCTGGTCAAGGAAAGCTCATGTCTTGAATCGCTCATCAGAATTTTTGAGCAGCCAACACTGGCAGCGGAGTGTGGACTCTGTGGAGTCGGCTTCATCGACCAGACCAGACGCTAGCCAACTAACTGGTCGTCGAAATTAGTGGGGCATTTCCTTACATGTACAATGTATGCACATGCATGTGCAGTTGCATACTCCGTAGTGGTGGTTTAGATGGTGCTGCCTCCCTTCCAGCGTTGATGAAGTGAAGTACGGAGTAAACATGTGTATATTTGGAGGCCCGTATCTGATGTGGCATCAATTACTAACTGAGAAAATAGTGCGCTTCAATTTGACTGTGAAACCTCCGGATATACTGATGCCAAAAAATATATGCCACATTGCCCAAACGCCTAACATCATAGTCCATTATACCCACGTAGATGTCTATATCTCCTGCATCTCCATCCAAGCTCTAAAAGATGCTGTTGACAATATTACCACCAATAGTGGCACCCGCACCAAAAATGGCAGCATTGCCGAGCTTCTTGCCAAACTTCTTACCATACTCTCCAACCTTGCTATCTCCGCCTTGCTGTTGTTCTCCGTTGGCAGGTTGCCCACCCTCAGCAACAGCCATAGGCGGCACATTAGAGTTGTACGGGTTCTGCTGCTGCGGGGGGACCTGTCCAGGAGGGGGATATCCATACTGAGGCTGCGCGTACGGGGCGGCAGCGTACGGGGCAGACTTTTGCTCCTCGTGCTCAACGAGGACATAGTTCCTGGGGAATATGCCCTCCTGGCCGGTTCGGGTGTTCTGGCCCATCCACCAGTCCTGATTCATGTATTGATGCACAACAATCTTGTCATCCTTATCGAACGACACATCGCGGTTATCAGAAGCGACATAACGGTACAAAGCCCGTGCATGGGCAAGCACAGGCTTGATGGATCGGCTGGGTAAGCTTGGCGCGGGCGTCTGGTCGTATGAAGGGGGCCCTGGCGAAGGCGATGTGGTATTAGGATTGCCGTTGTTTATGCCCAGGTTCTGCATCTGCTGGGTGGGCGGGGGCGGAGAAGTAGTGCTGCTTGCGGCGGGGGCAGGACTATCTCGAGCGGCAGTCGTTGATGTGTTGCCGTTTGTTGTGCGGAGAGGTCCCGAGAGGGGTGACTCTTGTGGTAGAGCCGCGTGGATCTGGTCGAAGACCGCTTCGTCGATGACGCCTTTCTCGAGGAGATTCTCAAGTTCCTGGTGAATGATGGTCAGCGCGGTGGTTTAAAGAAAAAGACAAGGTGCGCAGAGGGAGTCGTACTGTTTTGATATTCCGAAGCGACCGGTTGGTCTCCATGATGAGCTGGCGGTCGGCGGATACCATTTTGAAGTCTGGCTCGGAGCCGGCTCGCCTACGGTTGAGATGGTGTATGACACGATTTGCAATGTTTTAGGCTGCCGTTGATGTATCGACCGACGGGTATGCGATTCAAGGGCACTGTGTTTAAAGAGGCAGGGAGGCGGAAGATGAAAGGCGAGGATGGCGCGGAGGGGCAAGAAGCTTTATGAACAGACTGAGCGTCTTGGCTTCCGTTTCAAAGTTCCGGAGTGGCGCATAATGATTGGGGCCGAAGGGAGGCCGTTGAGGCTGTGCTGACTGGCAAGCCCATAACGTTGCTGCTGCGGGAACACAACACGCCGCGAGTGCCCAATCCCCAATGCCAACATGCTCGAAAATGCTGTGCAGCCGTAATCCATCAGTTGATCAACATTAGAGACTCGTAAACTTCTGAAAGGTTGGAGGACACGCCGACCGCTGCGTTGTGCAGACAACACGTGATTTTCATGTTGTTCGAAGCTCCGTGGCACAATCGGCCCTCCATTCATAATTACAGTATTGCGGTGCCCCGGCTCCCCGAATTCACCGTCAGTCCGTGCATTCCGACTTGTGCATTTGGTATGCGTGACGTGTAAGTCTTGGCAGTATTTCATAACCAATGCCACGATATTTCCTTCGATGCGCATCCGACATGAAGATAGTTTCTAGAAATTTCATTTGACCCTCCTCTATAGTGTACAACCTATCTGTAGTTATATGATACTGTATCGTACCATGCCATGTGGCCTGGCGTATATTGTGCATTGTCCTGCTGTCTCCTCTCGCCGTTTAGAGCACATCCCCTGTGGCCTATACCCCTGTCACTATCCTTGTATCGGTAACTCCATATCGTGGACACTGGATGCCCAATTTCTCACTTCATTCACGACAGGGGTAACTGGTAAACTTGCTGCATTCAACATTGTTGATGTGGAAACTGTCTGTACATATTATTCTTGTGCTTGTTGTTTTGTCCCTTGGGCGCGCAGAACCCCCTCACTACATTGACTTTCTTGTCAGATACACCGGCGTTAATTTTGATTTCCGGTTACAGTTCACGGTTCTTTGCGCCTCCTTGCTCCTTGTCTCACTCGGCGACTTTCTCACCCCCTCACGACATAAAACGTCAAATTTGCAGTTTCTTTTCTAGCTAATGAACATGTTATTTCCCATAACTTTGTTGATTTTACCAGCCACACGGCTGGCGATGGCCTTCTCAGACGATATGCCCCAACAGGCAATGGCCCTTTTCAACGCATCATGGGCCGACAACTATACAGACATGCAACAGCTCCTCGCCTCTGGCGCTAATTATACATTTGCCAAATATGATGGTGTTACTGCATTGCATGTTGCAGCGGCAGCGGGATCTCGAGCAGCAGCACAGCTACTGATTGATGCTGGGGCTAATATCTCGGCTGTGAACGTCGATTTCGAAACACCATTACACGTTGCCGCGCATTTTGGACACGACGAGGTTTCACAGAAGCTAGTTGCGGCGGGAGCAGATATCTTGGCAAGGAACTGCTATGGCGAAACACCGCTTCAGGTCGCCGCCTCACGGGGCTATCAAGACGTCGTCCGGCTTCTCATACACGAGGCCAAGAACAGGATGAAACTGTCCGAAATCCTATCGACAAAAAATAACAATGGAGACACAGCATTGCATAGCGCTATATCAGGAGGCTATGCAATGGCCAAGATGCTGCTCGATGCGGGGGCGGATGTCCATTCAAGAGGTGAAGGAGAAGATACGGTTCTTTTCAGGGCTGCAGAAGCATCCGAGGACATGGTCGAGCTGATTCTCGCTGCAGGAGGTGACGTCTTGGCTCGCACTGACGATGGAACAACGGTGCTACATCGAGCTGCGGCTTGGGGCAGTGCAAGCATACTCCAGCAACTCATTGCGGTAGGTGTCGACGTATCTCTGGCAACCAATGATGGCCAAACGCCCCTTCACTGCGCGGCGGAGAGAGGGACTGAAGAAAAGATACGAGTACTCCTGGATGCTGGTGCTGACATATCTGCCCAAACCATCAATGCCAGAGAGACGGCACTGCACCTAGCCTCAGCTGCGTTTCCAGACATGCGAGCCAAGGTTCTACTTGACCGAGGTGCCGATCCTAACACGCCTAAACTGGGCGGAGAGACGCCGTTACATCTAGCAGTTGCTGCAGCCAAGGGAGGAGGCGACGTCTCGGTGGTCGCGTATCTGTTAGAAGCTGGAGCAAATTCCAACGCTGCAACTGATGCGGGAGAAACGCCATTACATGTCGCCGTGATGAATGGTTCTCCGACGTCGACTAGGTTGCTCTTGAATGCCGGAGCCGATCCCTCGGCCAAGGCACATGACGGCAAGACCCCATTGATGTTAGCACAGGAGAAGAGAACTGAAGCAAAGGCATATTGCATTGAGGTCTCTAAGGAGCCGTGGGCCGAGCCAGGAATGTGTGACGAATACCTTTCGCGCATGGAAGAAGTGGTCATGTTGGTTGAAGAGACGCAGGACGCTGGGCTGCAGGAACTAAAGCTGTAGTATCCAGGCTCGCCAACATCAGAGCACTGGATATCATGGTATAACGCCCTTTCCGAGCCCAGGACGTTTATCCATCGCAGCAACCAAGATGGTTTCGCACATTGTCTTGTCACCACTAACGAAGTATACGCTTAAACCAAGAGCGCTTCCATATCACGAAGCAACATATGGATGGATAGATTCGGCATGCTTGAAACAGAGCCACGTACTTAATATTCACCTGTTTGGTGTGGAATGGATCAGGAACAATGTCTTGAACTTGTTGAAAGGATAACTGCCTCCGTCGGGGGCCGAGAAGACTGTGAAACCCCGACTAGTGGCGACATGTTAGCAACTATATATCACCGACTCTCACACCCTTTCGGCTTACGCACGTCGCCAGCTCGACTAAAGTAACATCTATTTCGTCATAGTGGTGGGCTGCTTGATGGTAGAAATGAGCTCAAATATCGAAAGAACAGCTTCATGCACAATACCTCTCGTCCGCATATGGACACGACAGTCCAAGGCACAAATACTTATCTCGAACTACCAGCGGTAACAGTGAATGTCTCAAGCGACCGGCTATGGATACGATTGAGACACGCAATCAACTTTGGAAAAGCTCGTTTACATTCTCAAGCCCATGCTTCGCTGCATTCAAAGAGCGTGCGAACGGCGATGAAGCGAACGATGTACGACGATGACTCTGGCTCAAACCCCGGATTGCGGATTCTCCTTTTATCAGGCTGTGACATTGACAACAGCTCGCGGGGTAAAAAAATACACCGAGTCTCTCCTGAAAACAAAACGACAAGGAGGTGGATGCACCTTGCCAGGCCGATCACGGTAGCACAACCGGAACCATTGCCTATTCGCGCAGACAAACGAACCTGCAACCCGTAAACCAAATGCGAGGAATTCCGTCCCAATGTAACCTGCCCTGTCCTCGGCCCTCGCAATGTTCATTTGCCGTTACTTGGGGCTTCCGCCTTCGAGGCTATTGCCGAACCGTCGGTCGGCGGTATTCTATACATGGATCGAACCATAGAATAGATGCGGACGGGACTTGACTGTTGAGTGTATAGGTTTTCGCCTTTATTCTTCCAAACGGCATCTGGCAAAAATTCGCCCCGGTGACAATCAATTGTGCTCGGCGTGTTGTCGGCTGAATCCGGCACTCGACATCTTCATGACGGCAGCAGAGTCGTATCGGACGGAGTGAGCTTTTGCCAGGCTCAAATAAAAAGCCGCCTCTCTCACACTTTCAGCATTTCTGTCATCAACATCTGTCAAGCCACAACACCACGATGAGTCGAAGCTATATCCTAGCGCTTCTAAGCGCATTGACACGTACAGCTGCAGAAACGTACAACATCCCGTCAAACCCAACTGTCTCGGGCCAACCTTTCGACAGCTTCGTCAGCTACTCTATTGAATTCTCGTCCTTTCCAGACTTTGCCGGTCCGTCTTGCTTCTCATTCCCCAGCCACGGAAGAGTCGTGCTCACACCAATCTCTCAGGCAACCACTCCCACCCCAACAAATACTCCTACAACCTCATCAACAACATCCACGCCATATCCAACAACTACCCCGTCATCCGCGTCGGCGGCAACACCCAGGACTTTGCCCTCTACAACGCCTCGCAGCCCACGTCCCTCGTTGGCGTCGTCGACCCCGACAAGTCCCCTGATTATCCTACCACCATCACCATCGGCAAGTCCTACTTCGAGAGCTACAGGACATGGCCGGGCGTCAGGTTTTCTCACGGCTTCAACATGGGACTCGGCGGCAAGACTGCCCGGGGACGCGAGACTCTGGTTGATACCGCACCATTGGCGTGCGAGGCCCTGCGGCACGGCAACCTCTACACGTGGGAGTACAGCAACGAGCCCGACTTATTTACGTCCGGGACGTATGCACCACGGCCGAAGGGGTGGAGCGAGACGGACATGGTGGCCGAGTGGCTAGCCGGAACAGACGAGATCAGGAATCAAGTCAAGAAGCAGTGTCCAGAAATCCAAGTGAGCTTCATAGCGCCGTCGAATGCCGGCGTGAGCAATGCCCTAAAGGCAAGCAAGATGTGGGCAGCTGGGCTGAATAAACGCGGCGACATCGCCATGTTTTCCACGCACAAGTACGTCCCCCCCCAGGTTCTACCCCTAGTACTCGTACAACTTTCCCATTCCCCGTCAATTCCTGGTCGATACTGACGAGCACGGGGGGAACAGCTACATCGACGGCGCCAAGGTACCCGGGGTAACGCTCCAAGGCACACTCATGAACCACACGCGCACCAAGCTCTCCGTCAACAACCACGTCGCCGAGTACAACTCCATCTTCCGCGCCGCCGGGTCGCCGCCGCCCCTCATATTCGGCGAAACCAACTCCCTCTACAACCAGGGACGGCCGGGGCTCTCCAACACATTCGGCGCCGCCCTGTGGTGCGTCGACTTCAACATGTACTCCGCCGCCGTGGGATTCAAACGAGTCCACATGCACCAGGGCACCAACTACCGCGTACGTACGCCGGCCCTACCTGCCCCCGGGCACAGACGAACATGTCAGCTCTAACCGTGAAGCAGTACCAGGCCTGGCAGCCCGTCGCCACCGACCTCGCCGCCATCGGCACCAAAGCGCCCTACTACGCGTCCATAACGGCCGCCCACATGACGCGCCGCGCCGCCCGCGCCCCCGTTTCCATTTCCCACGTCCCGCTGTCCTCGGACGCCGCCGAGTCCGCGTACGCGGCGCACTGCGCCTCCCGCAGCGGAGAGAAACACCTCGCCCGGCTGATGGTGGTCAATATGCACGGGTACAATACTACCGTTGGCGGGGCGGGATTGGAACCACTCCCCAGCCCGCCACCGAGGACGGTCCGCAAGTACAAGTTTCGTGTGGAAGGGGTGAGGGACGGTGTGCGCGCCAGTGTGCACCGGCTGATGGCGAATGGGAGCGACGCCATTACGGGCATCACGTACGACGGCTGGAGCTACAATTATGACTTGGACGAGGGCAGGGGCGTGAGATTGACAAATGTCACGGTTGGCGAGAAGATTATAGTCGAGGGCGGAGAGGTGGTGGTCCATGTGGCAGACTCGTCGGCCGTTATTTTGAGTTTTGCAACGGGTTGCTGATTTTATGCGCAGGGCTGAAAGGGGAGGCAGTCATGGCGACACTTGACCGATTTTGCCTGGGTCTGCATCAGTTTGTCTATACCCATAGGACAAGTTGAAAAGTCTAGTTAGTTAGTTGCCATTATATATGCGCTCGGCACACACACTTGGAAGACGCGCTACAAGCAGTGGGTAGTGATTGGTCATTATGTCAATTGAACTCCTGGATTCTACAAACACGAGTCCTCTACATTTTTTTTCTGCTCTTACATTCTGGCGACACTTCCCACACACGCAACCTCCCCACTTACAAGAACTTGCTCTCCTTGACAGTGTACAGGTCAACATACTCGTCAACAGACATGTTGTCGAGCTTGCTGCTGTTCTGGCTGAGCTCAACAAGCTCCGCGACACGGCTTGCGGACAAGTGAGGTTCGAGGTGGCGCTTGAACTTGGCGAGGATGACGGGCTTGGCCTCGTCACGGCGGAGACGGTGGCCGAGAGGAGCCTCAACAGAAACCTCGTCAAGGACAGTGCCGTCGTTGAGCTCAACCGTGAGGGCGTTGGAGATGGTTCGGAGGGAGGGGTCGTGGTAGTCCTGGGTGTACTGGGTGTCCTCGACGCACTTGATCTTCTGGCGGAGGGACTCGACGAGCTCAGAGGTGGCAGCCTCGCCGCCGTCGGTGTAGTCGGTGGCCTCGAGGCGGCCGAAGACGAGCATGACGGAGCACATGTACTGAATGCAGTGGTCACGGTCGGCGAAGTTGTCCATGGGCTTGAACTGCTTGTCGATGATGCGGATGCAGGCCTCGTGAGTGCGGCAGGTGACGGCCTTGATGTCGGCAGCGGACTTGCCCAAAGCCTTGAGCTGGTGGAAGATCTTCTCAGAGGCCTCGACGGCGGTCTGAGAGTGGAATTCGGCTGGACGCGAGGGTTAGTTTTTTGACCTGACCGTTCACGTAATACGAGTATTACGGGGGCACTCCCGAGAAGGGCTGGGGGGAGAGGGGCGGGAATAGGAACGACGTACCAGGGTAGGAGACCTTGAACAAAACATTCTCCATGACGTAGCTGCCATAAGGACGCTGGAACTCAAACTTGTTGCCCTTGAAGAGGACATCGTAGAAACCCCAAGTAGGAGCAGACAGCACGGTAGGAACACCCTGCTCGCCCTTCATGACCTTGAGAGCCAGGTTGACAGCACGCTGGCAAGCATCACCGGCAGCCCAAGACTTGCGGGACATGGTGTTGGGGGAGTGGCGGTAGGTTCGCAGAGACTGGCCGTCAACCCAGGCCTGGGTAACAGCGTCGGCAATCTGCTTCTCGTTGAGGCCGAGCATCTTGGAGACGACGGCGGTGGAGGCCACCTTGACGAGCACGACGTGGTCCAGACCGACCTTGTTGAAGGAGTTGAGCAGGGCCAGGCAGCCCTGGATCTCGTGGGCCTTGATCATGGCCTCGAGCACATCCTTGACGGTATAGATCTTGCCGCCAGCCAGGTTGCCGCCGGCCTTGTTGGTGCGGTTGATCCAGTCGGCGACGGCCAAGATGGCACCCAAGTTGTCCGAGGGGTGACCCCACTCAGCAGCCAGCCAGCAGTCGTTGAAGTCGAGCCATCGGATCATGGCACCAATGTTGAAGGCGCCGTTGACGGGGTCCAAGACGAAGGGAGTACCGGGAACCTTGGTGCCGTTGGGGACGACGGTGCCAGGGACAATGGGACCAAGGAGCTTGGTGCACTCCTTGAATCTCAAACCCTCGAGACCACAGCCGAGGGTATCGAGGAGGATCCATCGGGCAGTATCGAACTGAGCAAACAGCGCGTTAGTGTCTGGTCTGATGCCGCCAAGTGGGAAAAGAAAAAGAAAATTAGAGTAATGACAGCAATTAATACCCCCCCGCGTCCAGTCGTCTTGGTCAATCTTCAAGCAAACCTCCAAACCTCGCTCTCGACGTTTGTTGTTGGCGGGGTAGCTCCAGATGTGTTTTTTTGCCGAGGAGCCCACCCCGAATCGCGGGGGAAGGAACCATGGAGAAGCAGGGACCTCGACAGACGGGCCCCAGAGTAACAGCAAAGGGGAGCAGCGGCAGAAATAGGAATACTCACAGCCAGGTCCGAGTCAATGGCCTTGTTGGCGACATAGTCGGCAATGTCCTTGATCTCAGGATCGTACTCGCGCGGTTGAGAAGCCATGACGGGCGCACCAGAGTGTCTTGTGGCAGAGGTGGAAAAGTTGCTGCGCAATGTCGAGGACGGAGTCGCAAAGACACGAGCCGCAGCGCCGACGGAGGCCGAGCGGCCCACGGAGAGCCACGACGAACGAGAGACGCGAAGCTGCTTCGATGCCGTCCGCAGGCCACGGGTGACAGCAGACATTGTTGCAGGCGAGCGCGATGAGGCCTTGCACAGAGATCCGGAGCGGAGCGGTGTTCAATTGACAATTGAACTAGAAAAGGGGGAGTTGAAGAAAGAGTTCAATTGCGGGAAGAGGAGGAAGGGATAGGGAAAAAAATGTTAGCCAGCTCGGCTCATGGTGATGGTTTGTCTGGCAGGCGCCCAGCCAGCCGTTGGTGCGTTGCCAGTTGCTGTATTGCCGTTGCATGCCGCGCTTGCATCCTCGGTTAAGCCGAAAGGGGACGGTTGCGTTGCTTGTGCCCCCCCATCTTCCCCAGAGCCGCAAACAGTCTGGTGACTCTGGCCTGGTCTGTCTCTCGCTGCTCAGGGTGGCGGCACGCTCCAATCTCGAATAGATGGGGTAAATTGAACCGGAGAGACGGTGCAACACCACTGGTCGGTGCCCTCTCCCTGGGTTGGGTGAAGATAAATGAAGACAGCAGAGCTGCTGTTGTCTGGTCCCCACTTTTCAACAATATTGTAACATGGATGGCATTGCGGACGAGCCAGCGGGTGCTCCCTCCGTCTTAAATCTCGAATCTCGAGTCCGTTGCGCTCTACAGATGTATCTGCAAAAGCCGTGGCGAGTCATGACCAACACAACCACCACAACGACGCCCTTGGAGTATAAATACTCGCCACGACCCTCGATCAAAGACTGCGTCATTTTGCTGCATCATTCTGCTGCATCATTCTGCTGCATCAGGCTGTTGCACGCGTGGGACAGTCTTTGGCACATATTCCAACAAGCTCGCGTCGTCACCCAGGAGCGATAGACAGTCCGGCATGGCTCGACTACCACCAAGTTGATTAGTACCAGACGAAGGCATCGCCTCTTCAATGTTGGAGAGACGGGGCCAAGCAGGCACCCGTGACCTCTTCTATCCAAGCTGACATTGTTCAAGACCTCCTCTTGAAGGAGGCCTCCCCTTTTGGCAGAGTCGTTAAACAGAAATCATAGGCCCGCCCGTGCCCACTCCAAGTCAAGTCTCGCGCTTCAACACTAAGTTTACATCTTGGACCGTACCAGACATTCAGAACCTAGTCCCCATTGCCAGACTTCTCCCCTGAAACCCCTTACACCCTTTATAGAGTTTGGCGTTTGGATAATGCACCACAGGTCCATCTCATTGCCGCGACTATTGCCGTCCGTGCCATGATAGTAGAGTTGAGTTGGGCATCCCGGACAACCAACCCGTTCTCCCAGCTCTTCGGCCACTCAGACTGTAAATAGTTATCTGTTGTACCTGGACACTGTTTGTTCCTCCCAGCAACTAGTTGAACCTCCCAGCATCAGGACACACAACACCCCTACGCTCCACGTTTTGCCACCCCGCAGGCGGCCTCATCGAGCGCCCTATTCTGGCAAGACGTCGTCCAAAAATAGTATTGTCTGGCAACCTCCCGGAAAGGTCGACACCGAAAATGGCGTTTCAACGACGTTTCAAGCCCCGGAGGGCGGCGGAGGGAGAGGCAGCTGGTAGGGTTCATCCGGCAACGTTAACCGCCAAGGTTGCGGGATGAAACGCGCCACCATGGCAGAAACTCGCAGGTCCTCCATCCCCGAAATAAACGGAAGCATTCAAGCGCAAAGAAAGTACGGCCAAGCCCATTGTTGTACAAGACACCCTTGCAGGACAAGGAAATCCGCGGGCCACCCTTCAAACTGGGCACCCAACCAACCTTGGACTGAACCTGGAACCAGAGACTAAACAGGTCGAAATTCCTGCTAAAGAGATGACCCGTCGCCAATCGATGCCGCATAGATGAATGTATGGCTCAAGACCCGGAATCCCAAACCGGCCCAGCGTGCCCCCGGACTCTGAGGATTCTGCGACATGTCAACTGCGGATTTTAATGGATGCGTCCACATCAGACAAACCGACATCATGCAGCTCATAGTCTTGGCCTTTGGTTGCTTTAGTCGCTTAGGTCGCTTTTGCTCCTGGTGCTTGATGCTGTAATCGCCCCTGGCTGGATTCCTGCTTGCATTTCGGCATTCTTGCTGACCTCTCTCGTTATTGCGACTGAACCTAGCCAATAATCTAGCTAGTAAATCTAAATATGGTACATTTCCTTGATCTAGGTACAGCCGGAATATAGTGTGACTAGATGTCGTACATGTTCATCCGGCCTTGATTATTATTATCAACATTTAATTAATTTAATGAATATGATACATCAGGGCAAGACATGCGGCATGATCCTAGAGCCACGGGTTCCTTGTCTTAAAGTCAAACACGGACTTTCTGGCCGCCACCAACTCCAGGCCGCAGACCATCCTGACATTGTGCGTCTCATCACCGATGCCGCACAACCCGAGACGACGGTGACAAACAGCCCACGAGGATCAGTGAGCCAGCCTGCAGCGTACTGACGAATGGCACTCAGCCATTTGAGCTTGACCTCCGACAGGATCATGTGTATCGGGTTCGTTTCCTTTGGCGCCTTGCTTTGTAAATCCCCCAACGCTTGTTGGGTATAAAGGGGTCGGCTTTCCCATCCAATTGTTCCACGACTAATACAGATCCCATCTCTTCTCATAGGCCAACGTGTTTGACTCGATTGAATCTTGTCCTTGATCTTTAGTCTCCCATCATCAGACCCACAGCTGTCGACATTTGGAAACCAAAACTTCCTATAACGCCATCCACACATATCAGCAGTTGCAATGCTCTTCACAGCCGTCAAGGTCGCTGCCTTCTCCGCCCTTGCTGCCCAGGCAAGCGCAAAGACAATCAGAATTGATGTCGGTAAAGATGGCCTGACATTTTCTCCTGATTCGGTTACGGCTGCCAACGGAGACATGTTGGAGTACCACTTCTACAAACAGCACAGCGTAGCTATGGGTGACTTTGCAAACGGATGCAGACCGGCTGCCCAAGGTGGTTTCTTTTCTGGTGTAATGAGAACTTCGGGTAACGGAGAAAATGTAAGCTGTTATCCTCCTGCTGGTCTTGTGGTTGATAATGGCGTGCCCGTGGCTGTAAGCTGACTTTAGTGTTCTTTTTGTAGGACCAGGTTTTCCAGGTCATGGTGAATAACACAAACCCAATGGCCTTCTACTGTACTGTCGCTAGCCACTGTCAGAACGGCATGGTCGGCGTCGTCAATCCATCATCCACGGATTCACTCGACAAGTACACATCTACGGCGAAGAGCGCCTCCACAAACCAGGCTCCTCCGGCCGTGTTCGGTGGAAGGATGGCCCAAGGCTCAGCGACATCGCCGAGCGGAGCTTCAGGCACAGCTTCTGGTGCCCAACCGACAAAATCGGGAGCTGCTTCGCATATGCAGGCTTCTCTTGGGGGCATCGGTGCCGCTGCTCTCGGATTCGCTGCCTTCCTCATGTAAATGAAAGAGAGTTTGGCTGGTATGTGGGCGTGGTTGTGTACTTGATAGTTTTAAGGCGATGGCAAAACGGAGAACTGATTATCTGGCCATGTAACATTCGTGTCTGATCTGGAAGCATGCTTCATTTCTGCGTGCCTCAAGACTGGGTAGTGTGGATAGCACCTTTGCAATTGAACTTAATTTACTCTGTGCCTCAAGCTGGAATGTTCTCTGCTTCCGCGTCCAACAGCAAATCCTGCCATTTCATGAGAGTAGAGTCGACATCCCAGGTGACATTTTGCTGTGTGGGAATGGCAGTCAGATGTTGACAAGGGCAGAGAAGAAGCGGCTGTCAAGATTCTAGTCGTAGTTGCGACAGGACAGTCAGACACTCAAAAGCCACACGTCTGTTGCGACGACAAGCATCTGCAAAGTGCGAGACATTCTTCACCAACCACCACCACTGATGACGCGAGGGCGAGCCTTTTCACAACGCCAATGACGCCTGTCATTAATGAGATGATCCCAACTAGTAGCACAAGTCAGCTTGGTTGCTAGTACTCAGTAGTAATAATTGCTTGCACAGGAGTGCGGAGCACCTGCTGCAGGCCAGGCCAGCCCCCGAAACAAAAACAAAGAAAAGAAAAAGAAAAAACCCCGAGGTTAGAAGTGAGGAAAAAAAGTGATGGCACAACGAATGCATGAGTGAGTCGGAATGCCTCAGCCTGCTTACTCCGTACGGTGTAAGCATTGGGTCAGTTAGTGTTCGATGCCGATGGGTGCAGCCCCAGCCATCAAAATCGATGCGGGGAAGTCAAGATGAATCTTGGACTGGCAAGACTAGAGTAGACCTGCCTCCCTTGATTCCGACCTGTCTGAACTATGCTCGTCACTATGCAAGGAAGGAGCGCGGCACGGGCTGGAAGGGAAAAGCCGTTAAGTTGCGGAGCAATTCTCTCTAAGCGGCGTCCTGGCCACCAGGTCATCCAGCAATATCCTTGCTCAGCATGCAGATTTGCCAATGCACCAAGTGGTATTCGTTTTACCAGAACATGGGAAATTTGAATTTCACCATATGCGCTCAACAAGGTCTTTTGCAGGTACCAAGTTACTCGGTGCTCCGTACACGTGCAAGGGAGGGAAGGCTGCTGCGTGGCTGGGCAGTTGGCAGACAATCTTGAGGCTGCCTGTGGCACACCGCCCCTTCCATGTTTCCACGCGTGGCGCGTAGGACCGCGGCGGCTCTTGCTTTTTTGGCCAGCTACTCTTAAGCAGGCAAGCACGACCGCGTGGGCTGAAAGCAGGTACAAAGTTTGTGAAGCGCTGAAACCCGAAAAGTCTTCAAATGTTGCAATGTGACAGCTCTGCCTCTACAAGCCCCAGACAACAACATCCTGAACGTCGCCAGCATCGTGTATACATGCTACTCTGCCGGGCCGCCAAGGTACCTGCCGTCAACTTCCCACCAGGCTCAGCTTGCTTCGCACTGCACGCAACCATCACCAGCCGAATTATTGGTCTGGTCCATGCCGGCGTCCAGTCATCTGAGTGTGTCCAAGGTGCTCCTCGGTTGTCCCCACGAGCTTGCCGAGATGTACTACTGCATTCCACCACTATTGACTGCGACGCCGACTTAAACAATGGAAACATCGGGCAGGAGCAAGTCGGAAGAAAGATCCTTAAGTCTGGACCCACCCATCCGCAGCCGCTAAGCCGCCACAAACTCGTCACCCCGGCTCGACCTGGTTCGACTCCGGCAGAGTGGGCTGCACGCCCCTGCTGCCTCGATCTGGACTGCGTGGAGACGGCCTCTGACATCGGCCACAATAACGTCGAATCTGCACATGTGCACCCGGTCTGGTGCGGGTGCTGGGCCCTGCTGGCCCCGAACCCGACTCGACATGGCTCCTGCCACCTTGTCTTGACGCAATGACGCCTACATGGACAACACTTCTCGGGCTCTGGCCCGGTCCTTCTCCCATCTGAACGGCTCGAGGGTCAACAGTCAGTTATCTATGATTCGCATTGGGCCAATCGGGGAGTAAACTGGTGTTAGTCTAAACTCTGATAAACTCGGGTCCCCCAGAGAAGCTAGTACCCAAGTCAGTGCCAGTCAAGCTGTCAACGATACAGGAAATACTTACAACACGGGCCGGAACTAACCCCAGCATTAGCAAACCTTGGTCGAGGACCCCTGCCTCGTATCCGGCATTGTCTCCCTTCAACTCCTCTGTATTCTATTTGGTCGTTCGAGATCAATTTCGCACTCCTCGCACGCAACTTGGCGCCATGCAAGTGCCGTTTGAACAATTATTCTAGCTTGGATTCGCTCCGCCGGCGTGACATTTTGTCTGTGGAGGGACATACATAGGGACGACGCTTGCAAACTCAATTGATCATTTTCCGGCAGCTTTTGTTTGATATACATACACCACCAATACTCTCGGCAGTACGCGGCTACGCCATCCCAAGACAACGGGCCCCTGCACCGCCATACCGGGCTCCTCAGCGGGCAGATTTGCCCAAACGAGGACCTTACGAGCCCCAAAATCCGCTACATTGGTTGTCTAGTAACTACCTGCAGTGGTGTAGGTACACACATGCCAACACCCTGGCAGGCCCTCAAACGGTTACCCTGGGACTGAACACAGTGAACGGTCCAGGCTCGAATGGTCGTTGGTAGAAGTCTTTTAGGCACCGATGTACAGCTAGTGGGGGAGGTCACAGCTGTCTGGTCTGGTTCATCTGCCCGATTTGCTCTATATTTTGAAGCCGCTTGCTTCCCTGTCTCTTTTTCTCAGGGCATCCACTACCTACCAGTAGGTAGAAACCTAGGCTGGCAGTCTACCCATCTTCCACTCGAGGATTCCATCCGCTCTTCCGAGACAAGCTTCATGACGTATCATAGATAGGGCTTCACTGTTCGGAAGGCACATTTCACGCGCTGCAGCATCTCAGATCGTCTGACCCACCAGCCCCTAGACACCAGATACTATTTGTTTCCCCCCGAGCCAAGCTCTGTCCCCTGCGAATTCGTCACGGCTACCTCGGGCCTGTCAGCTTTATCGGTCCCATTGACGCACTTTGTTGTCGACGTGGTGCCTGAAGTGGGCTCTCACAGCTCAAAGGGAGGGAGAGAAAAAACAGACATACCTGTTCACAATTCAAAATAGCCCCAGTCCCAAAGCCCTGGCTCTTTTACAATTTCACGCACCATCGAGAATCGCAGCTGGTTTTATCGTAGCCGCTCGCCGACAACCTGGCTTAGCCAGTCTGTTTACTGCAAAGATAGGAACAGATCAAGCCCAGCCCGAATCCTCAGCTGGTGACGAGACATGTCTAGAGGTAAACTCTTGGTTTACCTCCTGAGGCGGGACTTGAGAGTCGCTGACAATCCTATCTTGCACCACTTGGCCACCGCTTCCGACCATGGCTTCACCCATTTGTTGCCTGTATATGTGTTTCCTGCCCAACAGGTAGAGCTTTCTGGGTTTATTAAGGACGGCGAGCAGTCACCGTATCCCCCAGCTCGAAGTCAGGTGGGCAAGTTCTGGCGTTGTGGACCTCATCGAGCCAAATTTACCGCAGAGGCAGTTTGGAATTTGAAGAGAGGCCTTGAAGAATTGGGCAGTGGACTTGTAATTCGATGCGGGAGCGTAAAGGACGTCATTGATCACCTCGTCAAGGAGCTCAAAGACGCAGTACCATGCGTCAGCAGTGTCTGGATGACAGAAGAACCCTCTTGGGAAGAAGTGCAGGAGCAAGAATCAATATCCTCTCTGTGCTCCAAGCGAGGAATTGAATTCAAGCTATGGAAAGATGAAAAGTATTTTGTCGACGAGTGAGTTGTCATTCTTATACATGACTGGCTTCGTGTCACGCTAAGCATGCTTCTAGCCGTGACACTGGCCTGGAAAACCCAGCGGATTTACCCGATGTTTTCACAACCTATCGAAAGTCTCAAGAACCTCTCCGAGAGAAGCCTCGCAAGGTTTTACCAAGTCCAGCTAAATCAGCGCTTCCAGCATTCCCCCAAGAAGGGTCGATCCCTGCCCAAGCACATCCCTTCCTTTCGCCAGTATCTTTGGAAGATCTGCAGAAAAGATTAGTGAAGCCAGTCGAGAACATAATGGACAACCCTCCCAAACGCCCCGAGGATTCCACAGACGGTCATCCTTTCACTGGTGGTGAGACAAGCGGTTGGGCAAGGCTGAGGCACCTGGGAAAGTCTAGTGCCATGACATCGTATAAGGATACCCGCAACGGCCTCGTTGGTGTGGATTATAGCCTCAAGTTATCCGGCTATTTGTCACTGGGCTGTCTCACCGCCAGGCAGATTCATGAGGAGCTCTTGAAGCTGGAAGACGGAACCGACGAACAATACAGGGACGCTGTTGGATATGGCGAGGGCGAGAATGACGGAACAAAAGGCATTCGATTCGAACTCCTGTGGCGGGACTACATGCGGCTCTGCACGGCCAAATTTGGGCGGAAACTCTTCAGGCTCTCTGGATTTCGACAGGACAGAAGCTACGACAAGAAATGGAAAACTGCAGACAAGGAGAAAGCGGGCCTCGAGCAAGAACCAGATCCTGCTCAAATCTCGAAGATCCTCGAACGATTTCAAAACGGAACCACAGGGATGGGACTCATAGATGCATCGCAACGTGAGCTCTTTCACACAGGATATACGTCGAACCGAGCACGGCAAAATGCAGCCAGTTTCTTCTCGAAGCACCTGGAGATTGACTGGAGATATGGAGCAGAGTGGTACGAAATGATGCTTGTGGACTATGACGTATCTTCCAACTGGGCCAATTGGCAGTATGTGGCTGGCATAGGAAACGATCCTCGAGGCGACGCTCGCACATTTAACCCTGTCAAACAGGCTTTTGATTACGATAAAGAGGGCATCTACGTTCGAATGTGGGTTCCTGAGTTGCAAGGGCTCGAGAAGCTTGAGAACGTCTTTCAGGTGTGTACGACCGAAGCGGCTGAATTAGAGAGCTGTGGTCTATCCGAAAACATCATGGCCACGGATCCTGTTAAAAAAATTGATTTCTACGTGGACCGCAAACCCAGAGCAACTCGACGACCTTATAATAACAAACGACGAGGGCAACCCCGAGGTGGCCGCCGGGGTGGCAATTATAACAATCAGCATCACAATGGATCTGGAACATCAAGCGACGCAGCCGCCAGTGAGTCGGTTGGTGCTTCAGGCGCGGATGCAGAGGCTAAGAATAAAACCCGACCGGATAGCACGCCACATCAACTCCAGGATTCATCATGGAGAGGAAACCACAAAGGAGGTCAGCCCGTGAATATGCAGGCGCACCACGGCAGAGGTTGGCAATGTGGCGACCACACCCGGGGTCGCGGAAACTTTGGCCAATTCCGGGGTACTTGGCGCCCGTATGGACAAAGAGGAGGGTTTAGAGGAAGATATCCATATGGGCACCAGATGACTTATCAGCAGTTTCCCAGCGGAGGGCAGTAGAGACTGCTGGCCGATCAGCAAACGAGCCCAAAGAATTTCGGACAGCCTCTCACCGACACCGTTGGGAGATGAGTTTAAACGGAGATTCACGCTTGACAATATAAGGCAGCTGCCTCGTGTAATGGGTTTCGGTAGCAATCCTAGTTTTTGGGATATGAAATAGCAACTTTTTCAACAACCAAGCACATGGCAAGGAAACTTGAAAATTTCAGCAGCAGCATATCACGAGGGAGAAAAGGGGGGTTGGGAGAGATGGACATGAGCAAGTCCCAAAAAGGGCGGCAAGCCTAATGCCTGATGATTGGTTCTTTATTTTTTGCGTTTTGCCTCTTGACTACCTAGGTAGGTAACTCATGATACATGCACACACGAAACAGTACATGAGTAGTAATAAAACATGCAATAGCACAGCGTCGATAAGTTGAGAAGACAGCCGCGTAACATGACGAATCTAGAGGCCGTATTTCTTATCCTTGTCGGCGATGAAGAAGTCCTTTCCGGTGGTTTCCTTGTACTTGTCGCGAATGAAATCAGATATGGCCTCGTCCTTGGCCTGCTCTGCCGCGCTCTCGTTGGACTGGTCGCCTTCCCCGAGGACCTTTTCTTGAACAAAGTCGACGGCTGCAATCGAGAGTTAGTGCTCGAGTCCAATCAACCCAGAAGCGTATGGAGCGGCACGGCCATGCTGTGTTACAACCCGATGCATTCACATACCTTTATCAAGCCCATCCTCGTTCGCCTCGCCCTGCTTGCCCCCACCAGCCATGCTGTTAAACGAATCCATCAGCTTGGCTCCAGCATCGCTGTTGTTACCGTTGCTTCCCTGGTTGTTCTCATTCTCCCGACCCGACTGGTTGTTGCCACTGCCACCAATCCCGTCGGCCACTTTCTTGACAAAGTCCATTGTAGGAGGGGCGAGAAAAGAAGGGGGGAGGAAAAACGCCTCGACGAATGATATCCTTGACAGGTGTCGTGCAGGATGCGATGCCGAATACGCCGCGAGAGATGTAAGATTCGAGCAGAAAATCAAAGACTTGTCTCGCGGAGATGAATTGATGCTGCAAGATGAGCCATGGCTCCGATTGAGGGGTGGTAAGTCGGTCGCGCAGGAGATGCCCTCATTGGAGGGGATACGTCATAGGCTGGGTGCGTCATCGCAGAGGATGGGGGCCGCGCCATTTCCGGCCGTGAGCTTAATGGCCATGGCATTTTTTTTTTCCCGCAGCGACATGGCGAAAATGCTAGTTGCTGCGCGCGCGTCTGTGGTTCTGGATGCCGATTCAGGTCTCAAGTGGCGTGGATGGTTCAGCGTGGTCGCCATGGCGGTTGGGGAAACGAGGATCAAGGTGCAAGTTCAGCTTGACAGGGTTTTCCCACCCACCGTCTCGGATGAGATTGATTGTTTTTGATTGGGATGCACCGGGGTCTGGCTTTTGTCTTGCTTTTTTTGTCCAAGTGGGCGCCGGGATGATCCATGCGCAAGATGCTCAATGCAGTAGTTTTCTGCAGCAAATTCGGGATACGTGCTCAGAGCTTGATTTAGTTTTGTGGTCTGATGGTGCGTGGGAAAAGAGGCAACATAGCCTTGTATTGGGAAAAGGTGGGCAAAAAGGCTGCAAGATTTCTGGTGTCTCATCAAGGTCGGTCTGATAGGGTGTGGGCGGTTTGGTACCCGATTGGTGGTGTTGACTACGTTGCCATCGACTTATACCATCATGGATCGGGAATTTTGCTTGGTTCTATTTGCACCAAGCAGTAGTATTGAATATTTCACTGTGGGCTCCGGGGATATTCTGCATCAATTTGGTATCCTACATAATCAGGAGTGTTTGCTAAAAGCAAAACAACTTGCTCCGCGTCCACGTCCTCGCGCAGATGCAAGACCTCGGGGTGGGAACGTTTGAAACAAGGACGATGTTCATCGGCCCGCCCTCCGGGTGATTCTAACATTGAGATCAGTCTGGCTAAACAGCCCTGCGTTGAACGACTTCCACGGATTCAATGGGTTAAGCAGCGTAAAGTCGAATCGTCGAAGGAGCTGAACCCAAGTTAGCATTTTTGTTCGAAGGCGAAGAAAAAAAATACCAATACCGAGTTCGCGTACTCACCTCGACATAGACCTTGTTCAATTCAATCATGGCGATATTCCGCCCCAGGCATTCCCAGCGACTGCCGCTTGCAAAGGCCATCATGACAGTCTGTTCCATGGGCTTGGACCTTTCATTGCAGTCCAGCCAGCGCTCTGGCCGAAATATATCGGCATCGTTGCCGAATATGTCCCGGTCTCGCATGATGGACCAAGGGGACCAGGCGACGTTTGTGCCTGCGGGAATGGGCACTCCGCACAAGACTTCATCTTGGGTAGAAACCTTGGGATACAAGGCTGCCGCTGGGGGGAACATGCGCAAACCTTCGAGGATGACGGCCTGGAGGTATGGAAACCCCCGTGCTTCGGCATCGGTGATGGGAGACGAGATGCGTCCGTTCTCGATTTCTTGGTCGATTTCAGCTTGCAGACGTGCATATACCTGTGGTGAAGTCATGACGAACAGCATGGTCGATTGGATGGCCGTGGCAGTGGTATCCGACCCGGCAATTAGCTGTACCAGTGCCTCTGTTTCGCTATCCTTTTGGTCCAACCCGTGCTTTACAAACGATCCCAACATGTCTTGTTTAACGAGAGGATCAGCGCCATACCGCTCGCCAACGGTTTCCTTGGCAAACTTGATTACGTTGCCGATACCAGCCATATCCTCGATCCGGGGCATGATCCATTTCAAGTAGGGAGACTGCAAAACACTAATCATGCCGGGTATGAGTGTAGTGGACACCAGGATATACACGGTCTGGTTCGTAGTTTCAATGTAGCGAAACTTGTCCTGGTCCTCGGCCAGATAGCCCAAGGTTTTGCCAAACGCAAGCGTGGATATGACGTCGAGTGCAAAATACTGGACCTTTTGTGCAAGGTCAACAGCCTTGTAGCGGCTCTGGTCAGTCGACACATACTTTGTGTCTATAAGCCTGACCAGGTTGGCAATCTGGTCGTCGATATGCTGGTGCAGGTTGTCGACATCTTTGCCACCATAGCCGGGGATCAGCTTGTTCCGGATAGCATTGTGCACCCTGTCGTCTATGGTGGAAAACGAGCTGTCCCTGTAAGGGTCGATGCGCATTCCGCGATACCACCATGATCGCGTCCAGTTGGATCTCACTGCCCAGATGCGGCGGAGCTCAGAGGCATCGCCGCATACGACCCAGTTGGGGCCGATTCTCGCAACGGGCCCTATGGAGACAATGGGTTTGTCTCAGCTCACGGCTTGTTTCTTGACTTATTATCGGCCTTAATGGCACTTACCGTATTTCTTGGTCAGGTCGTGCAGGATACAGTGCATCCGTCCCGTCAATTGCATGAGCACAAGCCAAAACGGCGTCCAGGCCGCCCACCAGGGGCCAGGAACATGGCGTAGGCGCAGGAACGACGTTAGCTGGTAGGCGAGGGCCAAGGTCACGATCGAGGCCGCCACTGTCGAGAACCACGACATTGCGGGCAGTTACAGACTAGTATGATGAAGATTTTGCTGCGGGACGCGGTGGCAAGGATTCGGAGGGATTATGTGATATATCACCAGTGACCACACGGCTGGGACGCTGAATCACGTGCCGCGTGATGAGGCGCCCGGCTTCATGCGTCTCGATGCATAATCCCGAGTCTATTGTCGTACGCACCGTCGCCTTTTGGCCCCGAAATGACAAGGCGTTTGAGACAATATTCCTTTGGCGCCTGTATACGGAGTAAGTGTACGATGCTCAGGCATGTCTGCGCGCGGTGCGGATCTTTGAACGAAGTTGGTGGGTAAACGGGTTTGTACGACGATGAACTCAGCAACAGGGGATAGCAGGTCCCTGGCATCTTTATCTCTTCGGGATATACCTATGCATAAATGCTGTTTTAATCCCTCGATGGGTCAAATTAGTGCCGATCATGATACTGATCCAAGAGGAAGTCTCTCGCCAATTGATACATGTCTAAGCCTGAGAAGCAGTTTAGCTCAACCGCGGCAAAGCCATCTTTGGCGCCTGCAATTGCCATATAAATTGCTGCGCTTGCGAGCTGCGAAACTGAGCATCAACCTGGACCGTTTCGTACGATGTTACTCCATATGGGCACCCCTAGGTTGACGGTGGAGCATCTGGAAGAAGGGGAAATAGGCTTAGAGTAGTAGTGGCCTTTGCCACAGGACAGGCGGAATAAGCGACATTTGGGCCGGCCGGTTGCTGGAAGCGAGAGTAAAGTAGACATGAAGTAGCATCGAAAAGAGATTCTACTAGACTACAAAGTAACCGTCATGGTAATATCAAAGTCGTGAGAAGCAACGCCCGCATTTCGATGCTCCTCTCCGACTCGTACTTCCGGGAGCCACATAGCCACGTCGATTAGAAATTATTCGAATACCGTTTCGTACTATGTCGGTTGAATAGTGCGGGTGGCCAAAAGCGCAGACTTTGACATGGTCCAAGCCATCTTGGGCACCATCTTGGGTAATGAGGTCGGTAGCGAAAGCCGCCGTTCAAGGGTTGCTACTCCGTACTATGATCGGGATGGGAAGTGCCTTCTATACACGGTGCAAGGTGCGTCGCCACTAATAATTTTCTAGGCTTCTGCCCTCCTTCCGCTGCCAGAAGAGCAATTTGCTCGCGTAGCCAAGCAGCCTCGACTTGATGAATCTCGTCGTGCTTTTGCGGGTTCCAATCGTCGATCTTGCTGAAATCGTTGATCTTTAACTGTACAATATCGTACGCGTGATTTGGTATTGAGGACCAGAGTGTGCAGTCTAGAATATTCATGTCGGAATCTGGACTATCCCATCGAGACTGGGTTAAGAGCACGAGACGATCCGCAAGCAAAGGGTCCTAGACTCCTTGTAGAGACGCTGGGCTGTTGCCAGGCCCGAGCCATGGCCAAGGCCGTCAAACTTGTGGTTTCCTAGGACTAGGGAACCCTTTTCGTAACGAGATGTCTGTCCTCGGAGGAATGTTCTGTAATCATTGTAGTCAATCAGCCGGCCGATATCGCCAGCCAGTAGCAGAAATGGCGCTATCACGGGGAATTTGAAGGACAAGTATTGCCGACCGACTTCAAGATGAAGATCCGAGAGTATCTGCACGCGCAATCGCCATTGTGGACGTTAATATTTTGAAAATTTCAATCGCATATCTTGCAGCGCTGAGCTCTGAGCAGACGAAGTTGGCTGCTGAGACAACATTGAAGCGGACTGGAGCCTTAAGGCTCAAGGTGTGTGCGTAAACCCGAACGAGTACCAAGTACATCCACGTGCCCCGAGACACCACGTGAGCTTCATTTACCACCCAGGTCAAACAAGCAACCAGGGGCACTCCGGCGGCCGACGAACCATTATGGCATGTGTGGATTTTCCGTCATCGGAGATTTGGTTTTGAATTGTTTCAACGTCCCACGCGTGGGCCATGCTTGTGACCTTCAACGTTTATCGAGACGCTGGTGACCAGCCATGAACAGTGTTGAGAACATTGCGCCCCGAGGTCGAGGTCTGCATTATCTGCTGTCCGATCACGCTATTAAACGACCTTAATTTGAATATAACGCTGTTCCTATAGGAATGCCTACCGCCCAACGGAGAAGCGCCGTCAAGCTAACGTCAATATGAGCCAGACGCCAAAACAGGTCTATCATTTCCATCCCATTCTGGATCCGTCTTGATCGCTTCGAAGTGTCACATCCACCTTCACTTCCAAGTGGCCGTGGCTTCCAACCTCTGACCTTTCACATGGCGGCATAGGAAACACCTATTTACATAGAACAAAATCCGCACAAGCGCAGACACGCCCAACGCCGTCCAGCTTCCAACGCAAAACGTCGTCGTGCAAATCTCGAACCGGTCACTTCCTCCATTGGCACCTGACACTTCCAGTGACATCGTTGGACCCAATCACGCTCAAATCCGGGATGTGTCGGTTAATCGACGCCCAAATCATGTCCTCGCAAAAGATGTCTCTAGAGCTCAAGTCAGGCACGGCACCATGCGAGAAGGGGAAAAGGCATTCAAGTCCACATATCAGCTTACTCGAAAATAGAGCACTCGGCTGACGGGTGTACAATCGCTAAAGAAGACACCTTGAATACACTGTTTCGCGCTGTTAGCGTTTGTTTGTTTCGCCATTCGTTTTATTTTTTCAATTTGGACCCAATAGAGCATATTGGGCCCGAGCTGATATCCATACAGTGATTTTGGCAGACGGATACAGATGGATTCGTCCAACGGGATAATAACGTAACTGCCCTCGAATTTGACATGCTGGTATACTACTGCCTGGTACATTGCGAAATACTCGTGTTAGCTCGTGGCGTTGCAGACGGATACGTGGCAACTCACCGCAGGAATCCCCATAATGTTCGTGCCCCCAGTGGTTGAGCCATGGTGTTGGCCAGTGTTGTGGCGTTTTTGTTTAGGTAAAAGCGCAGAAGCAGAGACAAGAGTCGCACATAAGGCTATGGACAGAATCGGGAGGTACATGGTCAAGGATGGGGAATATATCTTGCGTAGATTCGATGGCGTTGGCGATGCTAATACAGGTGAAGAGTATAAGCAAAGAAGCAACAACACACCACGAATGGTATTTGAGGTCTATGGAAGTGGGCTAGTCATTGTTCTCATCCAGCCCTCGAGGGATTCGACAACTATTTATATCGTCTGGTTTTGATGACCTACAATTTCCAGCCGACTTCCAGAAGCCTGTACTTAGTCCAAACTTAATACTCTCGCGTTTCGTAATCGCGCCCTCGACACCGTGCTTTCTGCGATTTACTGATGTCATGGTCAAAAATGAGTGCTGACTAGTTCCACAGGCCGCAAAAACTTCGCCAGTGTTGGCAGGATTGTACGCGTGGCGCTTTGCAACTATGTATGAGCAGCTAATTCGATAGCTGCTATCGCCCTGGGTAGGTAGCCCTATCTAGCTTTTCTTTCACATTCTTTATTGTCCAACCCTGGCACAAAGTAGAGTAATAATTGCTTACTTCGGTTTTTGGATATCATGGCAAGCGGCATTCAAGAGCGCGCATTACTGTCTTGTTGCAGAATAATTTTCGAGTGAATATTTACTGTGTGTTTTCTTACTCACGCTTGACATCTTATGTGCCATGACGTGATGGAAATCCCCCGACTCGGTAGGAGAAGGGCATAATTAGCCAACGCTAACAGCATTGGCGCATCGCACGCACAACTTGGCCAAAGGCTTATGAACATCCTAGGCCAATGTAGTGATCACCACAGATACTTGGGACGCCTCTCGGCGCTTGGGGCCGATAAGCTGTTGTAAAGCGTGCAATCCGACTGCCGTCTGCCGCAAGTGATGCCGTGCCGTGGATGACCAAGTCGGCTGAATCTCATCAGTCGCATGCCGCCATTGTAGGCTTGAATATGTACGCTTGAATATTCAGTATTGTGAGAAGAAATATATTCCATCGTGCCTTTCAGAGACGGAGCCTCGTTCCAGACTTATTGGTAACTTTGGTCATAGCCTGATGAAGATTCGTCTTCAACGGCCGGAGCATATCGTCTATGTGCTTTCCTCTCTCTTGGGCCTCCCCGCTCTCATAAACGGGTCAGTCAAAAGCACCGCCATCAGAGTCCGTTCGTCAGAACTTGTCACAACCATTTTCATGACGAGGTTGAGAAAATCCAACCCCTCACGCGGAGCGAGCTTTTCCTTGCGTTTCTGCCACATATTTCTTCGGTCGTACGAGGATGATGCTGAAACGTCGGTACAAATCAGGCTACACGAGAAATGATTGATAAACCTAATAATTTCCAGGTTGTTCAGCCTGAGTTTTGTCAAGTTCAGGCCAAGATTCCGGTGCGCGTCCGCCAAATTGAATGGCCCAGGAGTGGCGGTCATTCAGGGGCCTCCATCTTGGAATGAGCCGACCTCCTATCTCGATATGAAACAACTATAGACAATCAGATCTATACCTTTCAGACTTGTCAAGAATGACGTACCATACACCCAAGAGCCCAGATATCCGCTATTTCGCTCCAAGCAGAGCCTATTTTGCCACTAGATATGTCATGGACTATATATTCTGGGGGACGAATCTGCAATAGAAGTGCTCTAGACAAATTTGGTATTGTCTTGCTCGACGTGTAGGCTATCAATAACAGAATATCACGTCGTTGACTGTGCCACAAAGGAATACTTCAAAGTCTAGTATCTTAATCGATATTTCGGAGCTCGCAGGGAAAGCGTCGCGGAATCGTAACTCGCCATCCCTACTGATTCAACAAAATAGGGGGGCAGCGAGCGTAATAGGAATGTTGGATCACATGGAACGACAGGAATACATTCGGGTCTCGTATAGTGTTCCGTGATTTCGTCTTCCGTGAATTGTTCTAGCTGGGGCAAGGCGATTCCCGAGTTGCCGAGGTGAGAATCTATCTAGGTAATTATCGGTTCACACAAGCAAGAGTAGTGGGCTGTACCAGTTAATCACCTCTATGCACTACGCCTTCTTCATGAAGGTAAGTAGGCAAAGCCTTGTATAACTTGGCGTATTGCTCTCAATGACCAGGTTATCTTGATTGCTTAGCGGTCATTTGGTCCTTGGAGAATAAACGCATCGAAGAGTTCAATGACCTTCTGGTGTTCATATTTTTCACGCCCGGTTTTACAAAGCTGGGACAGATTCTGCCACAGACTGTAACTCTGAGGGGCAAGATGTACATCGCTTTCACCGATAAATTAGTTGGTCAACGCTTGGTTGGGAGTCGGCGAAGACGGTACCCGAGTAGCAACTACTCCGAGGAGAACCCTGTCGCAGCCACGGAAAGGAGGGGGAAAGATTGAACAAGGGCCTGGTGTTGGTTTGGGTGGCAGTCGGCATCAGATGCCGAATTCGTGTTGGGTGCCGAACATTTCTGGTTGAAATCTTGAAATAAAAACAGTGTGCGTCAGTGCCACTTGAGGATTCGATTGGCACAAAACTATAGGGGAGCGTACTTTGTAATCCTAATATGCGACGCACAAACAGTCGCTTCTCTGAAACATTTTTGTGTAACAATATACACGGCCAACAAGGGGACGAGGTCAAGTTTGAACAACTATTCGTCCTCTTTTTGCACGTGCGGTCAAAACTGGACTGAGCTTGGTGCCACCTGAGCATCGGGATTCGTGATCACCACTATGGGTGCCCGTGCCAGCCTGGGGCACTTGAGAACTTTGGCACGGCCGTCGTCATGTTCTCTGCTGTCATCTTGGGGAACTAACACGGAATATGTTGTTCGGACCAATTTGAAAGCACGCAATAATGCGCAAACTGGAGGGTAGCAGTTAAGATGTCGGCCCAACACTCCGTTCCATCACCTGGCGGCTTGTGGGTGCCATTGGATCCTGGGGCAATAATTACCAAATGGAATAGCATCGAATATACGTATATGTCCTATCATAATTCAGTATATTAGCGGACATTGGTATGTCCGAATTCTCCTGGCAATAAAAGGCTGTTAGACGTAGTTAGCTAATAGATTCTGCTAAGGCAACCTCGGCTTTGTTCAGCAATACGCCAGCGTATAAACGATCGAAAGCACAGAGACAAGCTGAAAAATGATGTTTGATTTGGTTGAAAATGTAGCTACTAGATTCGTCTCTCAAAATGAATCACGGCAGGTGAATACAAATGGGCAGGTCTGTTTGGAGACATGTCGTATGTATGTTCTTGTTCATCTGCATGTGGATCCAAAAATCGTAGAAAGTTGCTCATTGCAATATACTCTTTTCAATATCTTGAAACTGACGCCGTGGGTAATTGCTTCCATCATAGCTAGCAGGCGAATCGTTTGGTCTCTTCGGCGCTGTATAATCCTCTCTCGGGCTTGGCAGATACGTCTCTCTAATGAACTTATCCGCTTCGTGAATAATCCGTATACTCTGCTCAACACTAGGACTTCCTTGTCCACCTACGATTCGTTGCCATCCCAACAGAAGCTGTTTCAAGTGGTCACCAGCAATTAGAACGTCGGGGTCGATTAGGCTTCTTAGTGAGGGGACACGACATGCGGCCAAGAGAATGAGCATCGCACATGCCATCCTGTAAAATTGTTAGCGCTGCCACCATTATAACAAACCTGAAAAGAGCTGACCCACGAGAGCGAACAGATCCACGTGTCGACGAGGACGGTTTGTGGAAACCCTCTGATGTTGAGAATATGCATCAAGCATGCATCTAGGCATTCTTTGCAGTTCTTTCTAGCCTCTTGACTTGGAGAACTAACATTCAAGTCGTCGTTGCCGCCACGACTTCCACTAAGCAGCCACATCAAATACGGACGGTAGATGACACTCCTGCAGGTCAGATATCGCTGTCTCAAAAATCCACTGGCTGCATTCGATGTCGGATGAGTGTCCACGATGAAGGACAATGCGGGGGGTAAAAAGTTCCGCCATTCGTCCAGTTGATGCTGGAGTTCGGCAACAATACAGGGAAAGCGAGCAGTGTCTAGAGCAGCACCAGTGCCACTGGCATAGAGGAGTTGGTGCACCCGGTTTAATAGTCGCCGTATACTAATGCACGCAAGAAAGTAGAGTGAAGATTGCTCTTCTTCGGTCGGATTTGTATGCGTGTTGTAGGTGCCTGGGAGAGGGATGGAGGATTCTATCCGGGAAATGCCAGAGACGGGGCCAGCAGATAATTCGGCAATGTAATCACTTATATCTGTCAGTATCAAATTGCAACAGATGGTGCAGATGAGCCCGTTACCTTTCGAGGATATAGCACGCCCAAAATATCCTTCGTATACGCTCTCTATCATCATGAGATGCTTCATCAGGCGGATAGGATAAAAGCATCATGCATTTGGCAGCAGTTGCACCAATGTACTCCCAAGCCTGAAGCGGCCTCGCGAGGAAGGCAAAGTATAGCCTACACTATCCGTTAGCAACATGAAAGCATGGTCATATGAAAGGCACTCACCCAACGAAGAACAGGCACTGAGCTGACAATGATGTAACACCCAGATGCGCCACATATGACTTTTTCAGCGCTGCGTCAAAATAAACATCGCCCATTTGTCTTTTGGATGCCCTCCGCTTGGCATCTTGATCTGACACACTACTGCCAACCTCCATATCTGTTGTAACTTGACTAGCGCACCCGAGAGCCATTGTCAACAAAGCGATACACGCCTCCACACTATCTTCAAACATTACCCCGGAGTTCAACATCAGCTTTGTTCGTTCAATTTGTCTTTGAGACATGGTTGGATACCAAAAGTTGACCTTGTGCTCGAACGACTCTAATATGCAATTGACGTCCTCGGGGGTAACATAAGGGTATATGGTGGATTGTTTAATAGGTAATACGGGCCGTGACTGCTCTAGTTGGAAGATGGATGTGTAACCATTGCGTAGAGATGGGAATATGTTAAAATGGTGCCATGACAAAACAGACTCGGTCGTGGATGTGTGCATAGAGTCAAGAACTGCATTCTCGAAACTATTTCTTTGGGCATTGCGAGCGTTGTTTGCAGTGGTCGAAGTCCTGGGATTTGGATGAGACGCACGACCAGGCTCAGCTTCCGTAACTGGTGGTGAGTCTATATAGGGGCTCGCTGAGGTTGGGACTGTAGCTGGAGATGCGACGTTTGCTCCATGTATTGGGATAGGTCCGTGTGTATGTTGAGCCTGCGAGAGTTAGTTGGAGAATCTGGGCAAACAAAGACAGCCAATTGGCAGATAACTGCTTACAAGAGTCGAGTTCAGTTGATTGAGAGCCTTCTCGATTCGTAACACTCCATCAAGAACCAAGTCTGTCTTGCCACGCCTGTTGATCCCCGTGTTAGCTTCGTCGTAACTGCAATTTCATCTTCCACCTAGAGTTGCCAGATGGCCTACATACGAGCTAGCCTCAGAACCATATGCGCAAGGCTGGTCCGAAGCTACACAAGTAGCACAGGGACGCTTGCCGTCACATCTACGTGAATATTAGTCACCTCGTTTGCCAAGCATGTATTGGGATGCAGATATCGACAACATATCGACGTACCTTATCTTACGACCGCGGCATACGTCGCACTAACGCCAGAAACAGTCGAAAGTTAGCCAGGTCCACCTTCACATTTCAGTCGTAGCTGTACCATGGCATCGAATTGCCCACGTCTTGGATGTCCTTACCGCATGGGACGTTCGCAATCGCTTCCTTGATTCAGATAGTGCTGGCGGGTCCACCGTCACCAAATCTTGCATATTCATGACTGGCTGTCTTAATTCAAGAACCACGAAGTCAATGAAGTTCCGGGAAGGCCGGAAGATTCCCCTTGCGCAGTCCGGGCGAGTGCGCGAATGCTGCGTGGACAGGATAAAAGTAAAACTAGAAGTCAGCAAAGATTCCGACGTCAATCCCACTTTGGTGGAAGAAAGGGTGGGCGCTGTCGAGCGCTAAACACCCAGTCGGAGATTGTCTCGTATGGAAGGAACTGAACCAGAACACAATACCTGCAGCTGGTCAATATCGTCCGTGAAAAATCCGCGCAAAAAGATTCACCCGATTATCAAATCCTACTTAGGTACATGGCACTGGCTTGCTCTTGAGGCTCTCGAGGATATAAAGGAGTAGTCCTCTGACTCCTGAGGTCCAATGTCATGTAGACAGTTGGGGATGAACAACTGTCTAACCGGCAGTCAACTGGCAGACAGCTGCACCAAATTGATCCAGGGGTGGGGAAGGCGCGCGCCTCGGCTGCCAAAACTACCAGACCAGACACAACCAACTCGCACCCTCACACAATTCATCCCACCGTCAACACTCTCACCCTCACACACGCATCGCGGAGCTGATGCGATTCATAGAGAAGCCTCCAGTTGCGAAGAAAGGAGACTGTCATTTATCGCTCAAATGGCGCATGGCATCATAGAAAAGCCTTGGCCACGAGTCCAGATAACACCACTGGTTGCCCTTGGTCCTTGGGCTTGGGCAGGTCGAGTCTAGGCAGCTTCTGAAATCACGAAGTCGCTCGTATCACCTCACGTACCAATGCGCTCATGCACATGCTCAAGCAGGTTTGCTCAGCAGTTGGCCCTAACTTGACGGAGAGGCTTCGGACCAACGTCGTCTCTCCCAACAATCTAATTTCGGGAGCCAAGAAAATGCACGCACTACGCATTGCTTTATTGATTCGCCCGTCAGTCTGGGGTCTCTTAATTCATTTCATCTTCATTTGTCGGCGTACACCATCCAAATACCGGGATGCGTCGACTTTGTTCACCGGGATTATTTACACCAACTATTCGAAATCTTGATTCTACATGCCTGAACTTGTTTCCAACACTCTGTAGGCTTTTCCCTCAAGCCGGCGTCATGAATGTGTGTCGTTTCAAGCCGACTTGACGACAAGTTTGCCTACTGACTGAGCCGATAGTTTTCGGGGTGTTTTGCGATATATAATACACTCGTCAGTTTCTGCAAATTCTTGCAATATCCACTAATAATTACATATTAAATTCCGGGTCCACTTTGGGTCATCTCATAACTCACTTTTGTGCCAAAGCCCCAAGGAATGATACGCGTAGCCTGTACCGCTGTCTTATTTTACCATTGCGTCAATTTGGATAGGACGTCAGAACCCATTTACACGCAACGTTGTCAAATAAGATACCATTGCACTACCGTTTCCGTTCACTATGATAAGCGCACTCTGAGTCGACTTTTCCCAACTAAAGAGAAGTGTACATATGATGCGTAGAACCAGTGTCAAACTCAAACGCTCTCCTCCAACTTTGAGTATTCCGTCACATGCAGAGTATTCACCACGGTTTGCGCGCTTCTCTTGTCTAAGCTCTTACTAACTGAGTTCGGAGCCTCAAACGCCTCCGCTTAATTCTTCCAGTGTACCATCTTTAGTTTCCAGAAAGAAGAAATAGATGAACACTGCTTCGAAGAGGTCCCAGAACACACAAATATCAGATAGAAGTAATAACGAATATTCTCAAAAGCCGGCCCGCTGCTGTATTGAATGACGGTAGAAGCAGCAGAACTAGCAAAGTTGCCGTTTGCCGTGCCCTTGGATGGCATTGCTGTCGGCAAAGTTTCTGCAATATACATGGATTGTACGGGTGTCCAGCCAAACGAGAAGATGATACCGAAGTTGAAGATGGATGCCACTGTGTATTGGCAGCTGCCGTATTGGACGGGTTGTCCATTGACAATTTGCTGGTGCCCGTCAGGTCAGTGAAGCAACACGGCGCAAAGACGATAGTGTGAAGCAGCAGAGGCCGGCGTAAGTCATGCGAGCGCCGAGGATGGCTCCTATTGAACAAAGTGCTGTGTTGATGCCATTGAGAGCAAGCGCCTTCTGTGGATCAGTGATTCCGGTATTGTTCAACATGAGGGGTAAATGGTAAGAGCTTAAACTATTACCGCTGATTTGCCATCAACTAGCGAGGGGATTCGGGTAGAAAGAAGACGCCCAACACAACAATACCAGAAGTCACCACAAGTCACCAAATGGAAATTTTCCATGCCGTGTTGTATTGATAAAGCTGTAGCCGTATACAGCCAACCTGACTTGCAATGATGCTCCCAATGTACCATGTGAAATTATACAATCCAGTCGGCGTTCCCCGCCAGTTCGGATGGGCTAGCTGACTGAGATAGCATGATGCCGATACGCAACAAAAGCCGACGTCGAATCCAAGTACGAAACGACCAGCGAGGAATTGGCCGTGACTTGTAGATGGCGCTTGCACGCAGGTACCAATAACTATTATGAGAGCTCTAGTGAGCATGCCCCATCGCTGGCCGAAGTAGTCGTTGGCCGGGCCAGTGAAGAAGATTGCCACGACTGAACCAGTGTTGTACATAGCAAATACCAAACCTGTGCTAGAACCAGCGCTTTTACTGTTCTCTCTTGTTAGTACTTGGGGATTATTACAGGGTCTCGAGTGGCTCTATCAAACGTACATGCCAAAAATAGCGTAGATAGGATGGCATGGCGTTTAAACCACCCATGAGGGAACCATCATATCCGTTCTAGATACAAAATGGTGTCAGCTACTGTCGTGGCGTTGTATATGGATGTCAAATCATACCAGGCGTCCACACAAGTAGGCACAAGACAAGACAAGATAGAGACGAAACATGGCTGGCATGCATGGCGGGCTCTCTCTCTGATCAAGCTCATCAGTGAGTTGTATAACAGTGCTCACACGTGGGGACTGTGCACGATGGCCCACGTTGGGCTGGTCTTTTCGGAGGTTGTCATTTCAATATTTGACGAACGCTAGCCTTTCGGTTCCTCGGCATCGGTGAGTGAAGTCTAGAGCCAATCAGCAACAAATTGCCAGAGTACAAGGCCAATTGTGTTTCGAAGTGTGGCCAATGCCGACTGGGAATAGATAGGGGTCCAACGATGACTCTACACTACTCGCATCATGATCCAGGTGACGAGTCCAATGTTGGCCAGGAGCGAGTTCACCAGATTGTGGCGCCGAGAGCAGAGCCCTGGTGATGGACCACAAGAATGCCAGATAGCAACAGACTACAGAGAGGCCATGATTCCACAGAGGGTTGAGCCTGACACTGCCAACGATTTGTGCCAACGCAGTCTTCGGTGCCAGTCTTGGAGACTCTTGGCGAGGAGTCTGTTTGTGCAGCCCGAGGAACCGACGGAGGCCTTAGCCCAACAACCCTGGAAATGGTGGCTATCCTACACACAGCCTACGTATTTGGGGTTACTGGTGTCAAAACTTCCCCACGGGCAGATGAGCCAGGTCCCAGTCATGTAGTATGGGGAATCGATCGAGGGTAGTACATACATAGCGTTGGATCGATGAAGGGATTGGCAGGACGCGATATGAACCGAGCATGGATGTGGCTTGTTGGCAACTTGGCAACTTGGCATCGTTCTGGAAGTCGCGACGGGCACGCACTTCCTGCTCTTGCGTGGAGTCGTGGACCCTATTTCAAGTTCGGCTCCACCATCTCCGACAGATTTATCTTGGCATAACCAAGCATTTCCCTTGTAACATTCTAAAAATCCCGATCACATCAGGAGCGGTTTCCCCACCGGCTCTTAATTTAAAGTGCTACCACTGGTTTGTTGGTGCGCTTCTTGTTTCTTTCCATTACTCCTCATGATCGTGGCATGTAGCCTGTCTGTCGAAACGATGCAATCCATTCGCGTCTTGTTCCCGACCTCCCCGCAAGACGACTCAGGAAGTTTCCAAGCCATTGACACGCTCCTGCTCAAGTTCGTTATGTCGACACATAGCTTCTGATAAACTTCATTGGCTATTGTTCCATGGATAATGCCATAACCACCCATAACATAGTAGTGTTGTTGTGGTGCGTTTTAGCGGAGATTCGCTCAGAGGTTTGCAGACTTCCTCGCGCCTCGTGGGCTATTCTTGCTGGGTGGAAGATGGATGGGTAATCTTCCTCACCACGTAATGTCATTACATATTCATCCACTGTCTCATTCATAGTTTATTTCCGGAGTCTTTGGTACCCGTCTCCACATGTACGTGGCAATGGCCGTTTGATTACTCCATCAGTTTGCCATCCAGTTGGGTAGAAAAGAAACCAGGTCCTGCCACGAACTTACCGGCAGAAGAGAAGATATTCTCAAAAACGGTCGTCTGTTTTTTCCCTTTACCTTTCATTCCATTCTTAGCTTCACCTAATGGTGTCTATACAACGTTTTTCTTTGTACAGCGTCAACCAGCCGACATGGGAAGACACTAGATTGCAGCTCAAGAGGTTGCCACTCCAAGAACACAAGTCTCGTCCAAGTTATTGCAAAAAGACTGTGTTCAGAAGAACTGTTTACCTATTCGAAAAAATTAAATCCCTAAGACGTCGCTACTATGGGATAGCAGTTGGGACTTCCACTTGACCTCCTCTACCGTCGAATCACCAGATCAAACAAGATCTCGCCCGATCCCCTTGGGAAAGGTTGATGGTACCAGGACACTGACAGCTGCTGCAAGGCTATGGCAAGCCTTGGTACTCCAATGTTCGGTACCCCATCTCTGTTTGTCCGCCATATGTGCCCACGGAAAACCCAACGGGTACTAGTCGACACATATTCCATGTCCTGTCGACCTGGGCTGGAGACTCTCAGCTGAGGCTAAATTTTGACGTCTTTGATAGCGCTGGTCATGTTTGGGTTAACGAATCCTTGGATTGAAATGCCTAAGGCTCCAGAAATCATTCCGAGTTTGAAATCTCGGGTTTTGTTGGCCGGAATGAGCCC